ACTTCCCGGTTGAGCAGATGGCACCGAAAACCATCACACTGGCAGGATGTGAGGCTCGATGAATTGTTCTTCCTTTCTCAGAAGCTTGCTGGGATGTCTGGGCAAGTACTCGATGATTTTGTGGATTGAATGCCGCCTCCACAGTGAACAGCTTCTCGTCGGAGAAGACAGTGACGAGGTGTTCTCCAGACCGCGTGCGAGCAAGAAGTCGTTTTGCTTTTTCGTAGCGTCTCTGCTTGTTGACGGCCGATAGAATTGCCGCTTTTTGGACACGATATGGAGTCAGTACAAGCTTCGTTTTGACGATTTGTTCCATAGCGAAGATGCTCATTCCCATGTCTGACGCCATCTTTCTCATGCTCCTGTGGGGGTTTCGCCTGATCCTCGATTTGACGGCGTTGATCTTCTGAGGAGTGGTTACCGAGACGGGTCTTCCTTGTCTGGGACGGTCACTGGTTGTATTTATCTCCTTGAAACGTTTGATGGTGTCATAAACCGTTCTACGAGGCACACCGAGGCGTTGAATGATGTCTCTTGGGCTCTCATTTTGCTTATAAAGTTCGATAATGGAAGCGCGATGGATGTTAGCCTTCGCCATTTCTCTGAAACCCATCCAAATGAGGTGAAACTTGGAAAGTAAGTAAAATATACCTTATTTAACAGAAATAAATTGTATTGGTGCACGAAAAGTGCGTCAGCGAAGCTCTTCATGACGTCAAACTTTTGTGCGGGAATTTAAATGACACCCTGTACATATAATTTTATTATTTTGGACAAATTTTTAGTTTTGTAGAAAATTATTTTTTGATAACAAATCATTTTCAACGGTTTTCAATATTCGTTTGCTTTTCAATTTAGTTTAATTACTAAAGCGAAAACTTTGAATTTTTCCGCGCGCATAATTTACTTCAAAACAAATTATTGCGACCGCACGCGAACCGCAACACGTCGGACGATATACAAGAGATCAATGAAGCAAATATATCTACAAACATTGCCTTTTTGATTTTCATATTCACCAATCAAATGATGTCTAAAATGAAGTACCGCAAAATTGACGTTATACGTTATCAATGCAATTTTTTCCGGACTCCATTGACGATGATTAATCCGCTTAAAGAAATATTTTTCAAAAATGATTCAACATGTGTTTTTACTCGTTGTGCATCATAAAAATGTTATAGAAATGCAATGCGAAATCTAACAAATTAGTGATTTTTTTTTATTGTACAAATAAAGTAAGAAACGTCTGAAATAATTGAATTAATATGAATGTTGAGAATGACTCGAATCTAAAACTAGTTGTTGGGGTGTGGTTCTGCAGAACGCTTTTTCACAATAGATTCATTGTTACAGCAAATATTGACATCTTCAATGGCTAGAGAGGGAATGAAACAATTTTGGACTAACGGTCGAGTGTGATTTCAGCAAAAACAAAACAATTCAGAATTTTAAGAAAACGCATTTTTATTATCATTGCTCTGGTTAATTTTAACAGATTACACTTTCTATTTTTAGGACATCATGCCGTTTGGAGCAACCGGAAATCTTAATTATATGTCAACAATTGTCAAAATAGACTAGAACTCACATGAGTCATTTACACCTCCTCACATTCCACACATATTTGCCCTATTATTGTTACCAATGGCTGAAATTTTTTCGGAGTTTGTTCAAAGTTGAAAGAGCGATCTCGAAAAATGGTGATAATTTTTACGACCTGACGTTAATGAAATGAAGCATTTTCCGGAAAAAAAATGATAAATTGATTGATGCACAATTTTATTGGGAAATTTTTGTGATAATATTTGGTGGCATTGAATACATGACGTGTCAACTAATAGGAAGCATATTTAAGAATGTGAAGAAGGAGGGTGGGGTGGGAGAGCTACAGCAGCATCATAAGAAAAACATAAAAGAAAATTACGTTGCTATATACGTTGTTTGATTGTGAAGAAATACGAGAGAGAGAGAGATGTTAGAGTCTGTTCCCCAAAAAAGCGGATACCGTAATCATTGTCGGATGCTTTGCGATCGATATCCTCTATGTGAACGTTGACTGCCTCGCGTCTGAACTACAAGGTCTTGTAGTGAGCAAATCTGGTAGCCACGCTTTTGAGAAACGCAACAGAATGTTTATTGTCGTCAAATAAAATGCACAAGTCCGCAACGTCATTTTTAGCTTTGTTTACAACTGGAACAGCTGGAACCAACTTGTATTGCAATGGAAAAGAGCCGAATTTATGAATACGTGATTATGAAAAAAATGACCGCACGCGAACCGCATCGCGGTTGACAACATTCCTAAATTTATTTACGAAACAGACAATACTTCTCAGTTTTTGACTGAATCGATTTTTGTTTCTTAAAACTCATCAAGTTTGTTCATCAAGAAAACAAGAAGAGAGAGAGGTTTTTACCAGTTACTTTTCAGTGTGATCTCCTTATATTCTTTGGGCTTATGGTCATGATTGCAAAATAATTATCAAAAATCCAACGCGTAACTGTTTTGATAAAAATGCAATGTTTGTCATTAAGTTTTCCAAAACAGCAATAAAGATAAACAAATGTCAATCGTTTGGGAGTTTAATTTTTAAAAATTAAATAAATGAATAACACCATTAAAATCGGATTTTTCAATTGAATCTATAGTACGAAATAACTATTTTAAGTAATAATGTATTTTCAGAGCAAAACATTAATTCGCTCGAAATGCACAAAGTAAAATGTTTGAATTAATAATAAGAGTACGTGCACAATATTATGATGGATCTTATTAACAATTTTATGTTTTAGCAATCAATTTCCTGAACGAAGACGATCTCAATTTTAACAATAAATGTAAGCTGATATTACTTTGAAAACGAATCATTTTGTAAAGCATTATTTTCTTCAACAAAAAACCAATTTTAAATATGCTAATAACATACTTTGGTGTTTTTTTTTGTTCAGTTACGAAAGCTCAAAAATTCATATTTCTTATGGTTTTCTTTTTTTTTCAAAATTCGTTGGCGGATAAAATATAAATCAACACGTCAATCATTTTTTAGCAAAAAAAATTTCAGCAATTTGTAAAAATCTTCATATCAGTTTTTTTTGAAATCGCAAAAAACGCGGTTTTTGTAGATAATTATTGCGGTGTCGGCGTCCATCCATCCAGTGAAAAATGTGTTTACTTCTTCTTCAAAGGATGTTCGAAAGATGAGCGCGGGTTACGGTAGTGACGTAGCGACGATTTCGGATTGAGACGTAGAGGTGTGTCTTAGTCATGACGCAAACTTATTTTCCAAATAAGAATATGCGCTGCATTGAACGAAAAAAAAACCCGATCCTGTTATCATGCAAAAAATAATGGAATTTGCGCAAACCATTTCCGGAATTTTGAATTGTTCTCTTATTTCTCCTTCAACCAAACGGTCTCAATTAACCGAAAAAATTGCGTAGAGCCTATTTAGCATATTGCGTTCTCTAAAATGAAATGGATTTAATTCTTACACAAATTACACATACTATAATTTTTAGTGTGTAGATTTACGAGGTTGACCTAACACGGTGGGTATAGCGGGTACCCATCGAATCTTTCAAATCACATTTTTCGCGTCACGCCCCTTCGGATGCGCCTTTAATTTGTGACGCAGTTTCTTAGAGATATCAAGGCCGACTGTACCCGAAGAAAGTTGAGTTCGAAGTTTTTCGACTTTGACCGATTTAAAATGGCTCCACTGTACGTGCATCGTGTCGCCATAAGCTCTTATCAATTTTCAACGAAACGATTCGAAAACAGTATCTTGCCTTCTACGAAATTCTCAAATTCTTATCTATCGCCTACGCTTTTTTATCAGTGATTATGAGTTTATTGCGAGGAAATAAAATTGGGTCTGACATGCTTTTTGGGAATTGGAAATAATTGGGACCAAAAAGAAGATGTTCAATACAAGGATTTTTCGTACACGAAGAAATATGAATTAGATTATCTGAAATAAAAATTTACAAACACGCTTTAAATTTTGGGTTTTATTCTAGGAAACTCCTGAATTCAAATCATTTCGAGAAAATCGTGCACAATTTGCACAATGCAGTCTTTTATTGGCGTCAATAGTACGAATTTCCCTAGAAAACCTAATATCTCATTTCCAACATTTTAATTTTCGAATTTGCCGAAAATTTCAGTCATCATACAAGGAATTTCATAGGGTTTTTTTTTCTCAATTCATGCAGATCTACACCAAAAACAATTGGGGGGGGGGGAATCCCTCCGAGAATCTTCTAATCACTTATATCATCTATGGGTCAAAGTTTCGAAATATGTGAATCACACTGCCGTTACGCACCGTCTCGTGTCGTCAACGAAACGCGGCGTCGGAATTGATGTATCAAGGAACAACAGTTTGGCCGGCGACGAAACCACTGTACAAGCGTATCTTATGCGAAACTTCCTTCAGGAATTTCATATAAACAAGTCCTTCGTTGAAGCGAAAGTGAGGGGTCAGACATTTGACGGTCATAACACATTGGCGATAACGATGTTATACCCAGCAAAGAAGCGACCAAATGTTCCTGGTTTCACGCGAATGCGCAGAAATGTGGAAACCACATTGTCCAATCAGCAAATCATAAAAATCATGGTGCGATTGTTCTTTAAGGATCAATGATATGTAATCGGTCTGTGTTCTCCTTTGCATTATAAATGCGGACACTTTCGGGCAAAACAAGATTTTTGATCGTCCCCGGAATTTTTTTTCGTATTGTTAAAACACAAATTCATCCTAAAACCGTCATTATTAATACGGGTCATACATTTTTAAAATTCTCTATTTTCTTTAACTTCCAAACTTCAAATATTCTTTTCAATACCCCACGTGTAATCTTATCTTTCAAGGTTACGTAGAAGCATTTATCTGTTTTTGAAGGTTTAACACATGCAATGTTCAAAATTAGGGACTAACACAATTATTAGAAGACTATCACAGATTTTCAGACTAGAATAACAATCACAATAATTAATTTGAATGTTCAAAGCGATGAAGCAGCATATCACCAGTCACCGTAATGGCGTCGACGTCTTCTGGAGAATCTCCTTCTCGGTAAATAAACTTTATAAATGGCTGCCCGTCGACATCAACCTTTAACCAAAAATTTCCGCTTTACCTGAATCTCACTTCCTACCGTAACACTTCTACCATAAGCAGTAAAAACAACATCGTGTGTGATTCCCTTATGGAATGGGAATGTTCCAAAATTTCTCTCCTCCGTCTGCCATTTCACACCATTCTTCGAGCTGTTTCGAACAACAACCGGCTAAAATGATGAGTAGATTCAAGCCATTTTATGTTACGGGGAATTTTGTGACAAACAGTTCACCAAACACCTTTCCGATCCAACAAAGGGCTATTAATCAAAAACGGAGGAGATTTTTCGACTAGAGGAAAAAAAAAAGAATGTTGTATCGTTGTCGTCATAAAATATATTTCGTCGAATGGTCATATAGATGTTCGTTTGTCACGTTAATTATCGAAAAAAAAAATTTGAAAAATGCTATAAAATGCTAATAAAACCTTTCCAATGGTTTTTTTTTTGAAAATCATCGCTTCAATTCCACAAAGATAACAATTTTTGGAACAGTTTTCTACGTGCATTATTATTGATATCATGAGTTGAGAATTTTTGTATTAAAGGTCAATGCAGCAAAACAGAGAAAAATAATATTTTTTCATATTTTTTTTAATGAAAAACTATGTCCCTGAACATGTAAAAGTATTTCCGAAATCCTTACCTTGATTTTCTGCGCCGGATTTGGCATATCAACTCGGAAATGGAACAAATATTCATCCTTTGCCATCAAATTAATAGTGAATCTATATATTATATTTTTATGTGCATGGTTAATAGAAAAGAATTACCTTTCGGAAGACAAAAACGGAGTTATGGTGAATTTGGCAGACTGAGGAGTACAGAAACCGCCTGGAGGAAGCGGCAAAACGAAAGGAATCGCCTGAAAAATTGTTAAATTCCTGAATTAAAATTCCCCGAAACATGTTGACTAATTGGATCCCAATAATGATCTTTGAAACTAAAAAAAAGAATTTTCAAAATAAGAATTGTTTAAATAAAATAGTTGCCATTTGCAGAAATCTGAAGTTCATTGCCTCATCCGAAAATATTCTTCAAATCCATAAATACAAATTAAAATATTTGGAGAGACAATTTATTTCACGGATTGCCGAAGTTCCAATTATTTCCATTCATAAATATGTTATGATTCTTGCAACGATTTTGATTCTTTAATAAAACTGTGATTCTGAAAGTATCCAAAAAACCTGGCCGTGGTAGAGTTTTACGGAGTATTTTATTCCCGCAATCGTAGACAATATTTTTTTGATTTTTACTAGTCTCATAATAAATTTCTAAAAATATATTTTTACCGTATTGAAGTTTAATTTTTAATCTTTAAAGAAAGGAGGTTTTTAAGTATTCTACAGTATCCGAGAGAAAACCTTATTGACATCAGTTATTTAATGAGCTTTGATTTCTCCTTTAATCGGTAAACAATTTAGGTTAAAAAAAAACCTTACCGGTTTCTCAATTTTTGTAATAACATTTCGGCGCACTTCCGGCAGGATTGGTGTTCCATCAGTCGCATTCTGAATTTTGCAATCAATAAACGGACAGAATGAACCAATTTATGCAAAGCAGCGACAAAAGAAACATTGCGCGAATCATAAATTATTGGCAAGAATATTTGGGCACATAAAATAAAAACTCGCAACTGCGCTTAAATTGAGACCAGAGTCAGAATACATTCATACATGGGAAAATCGTTTTCTTTTGTGTTTATACACTCAATTGGCTAATTGTTCGACATAGGAAAATTCTAACATTAGGAACTACATCAGGTGTCAGTACTCACTGGTGGGTTGAATTCAATAAAATCGACTCGAATATTGCCTTTGATGGCGATTGTTTTAATTTGTTCGAGTGGTACGCGATGCGGGAAATCACACACATGTTTGCCATTTGCCGAAATCTGAAGTTATTTGTTTTTTTCTGATTGATATTCGCTTCAATACCTTGAAATATTTCTCGAATGCCAGAATTCTGACGTGGAACGATTTTCCTTCTTCGAATGGATTATCAAATCTCTCTTCGGTTCCCCATTTTCCAGAAACGTACGAATTTATGACCAATTTGTTATCCGGCGCTCCAGAAAACCTGAAATGGAGATTATCGGATACAACTCTGTCCAAAATTCGTCAAATTAAAAATTTAATAAACGTACCATCCCGATTTTTCATCAAACCTTGGATTCACATGAAGTGCTTTGTTATCCATATGATCGCCATCGATTAATAACCCACAGCATAAATTGATTTGAAAACTAAATAGAATTTTGTCGAATTTTCTCGAAAAAATGTTACCGCTTCTGATCAGATGCAAAGCCAGGTAAAACCATTCCGCTGACGACAATTGATCTGCCAGGAAAAACTCCGCCAATTATTGCGGATACGAATGGAAGTTCCTGAAATTTCCAAATATCACATCCAATTCGATGTTATACCGTCAATTTCTGAAAAAAGCGGCTACCCAAGTAGTCAGACAGTATCATTTTTTAAAATATCCTTGTGGTCCGTTAAAAAACCAAATTATAGGAAAAATTTGGTCGCTCGAGAAGCGCGACGCGTATGAAAACGTAGGCCCAACAGGGGCCGATCCTGGTAGCCGTTTTTAGTTTTAGAAAAAGAGCTAAATTTAATTCATAAATTTTACCGGGTTTTTTCGAATCCAATAAATTGGAAAATCCCAGATATTATGTGCAAAAAATGTTGATGAATAGTACATGGATTAAAAGATTTCAACGAAAAAATGCAACTGACAAAAAGGTCATCGATGGAGCGAAACAAGTTGCAGTGCGTAATAAAACCTATTATTTTCACTCCGCTCGCAAATCAATTATAATCGAATTGTGTTGTGGTGGAATTAACATCGCGTGTAACGATGAAATTCGATGTGGAGGTTCTCAACGAATCAAAAATTGAGTTCAACAGAAGCAAGCTTGTAGTTTCGGCACGACCGGGCCAAGGAATTTTTCTATTATTCGAGTGAGTAAGCCGAAATTATCAAGTTCAATCAAACTTTAAATATGTTCCATATACAAACTCTCCAATGAGATTCATTCCGAAAAAATTTTTTTAAATTCGGTCTATGCCCAGCCCGGCTTAGAACAATAAGCCTGAACAGAAGTGAAGGAAACATTTGATTAATTGTCGAATTCGAAGAGGGTGGACTGCCAGGGCGGCCTGTCATCTGCTCGTGCCGGCAATTTAGGTGAAAAGTCGGCTCGAAAGCCATTTTACTTAAAAAATTTCAATGTGAAAATTAGGATAAAACGAGGGCTGGTACAAAATATCAAAACGTGAGCAAAAAATAGGGAACCCCGGAAGTTTCTGCCGACTTTTGCCACTGGTTTTCTACAAATACCTCACAATTGTTTGAACTATCCAATTAAAAATAAGTCTTCCTACGAAAAAAATTCGCAAATTAGACAAGCTGAACTTACTGGACTTCGAATCACCAAATCGTCTTCTTGTGGAGGTGCTGACATTCTGAAAGTTTCAATTTTTCAAATTTCCGTCATATTAACAGGTAGATATTCTTGCATTGTTAAAGCAATGAATAAATGAAAATGAAACATAATTACACATACATTATTTTATTTAATAAATAAATATACCCGTGAAAAAGATATGAAACATTTAAACATAGCAGGGGTGTTTCATAACAATATCCCGAACTTTGCTCTTCAAAAAATTCGCGTCTGGCTCCTTCTCAGTTTTCAATAATGATCGCGCCGAGTTTGAAACTTCCGACCAAGCCTGATATAGCTTTTGAAGAAGCTCCCTCACACCAGAAGCGTTTGGATCAGTATTAAGAATAAGTTTTACGCCAGTTGGAGACTCGAAAAATGTCATTTTATACGTGGAAGTTCTGAAAGATTGCGAAATTTTTAAGTACGTCGGTATGAGCTACTTGTAGAAATTGATGGATTGGTTAACATCAGATCCGGAGAGCTGCTCGGCAAATAGTTTCATAGCAGTCATCATGCCGAATACTAATTTGTGTTCCTAAATTTATTGTTTGGGCAATATTTCAACAAAATCAAATACTTCTTCCGCTTTCATATCTGAGAGTTTTGAGCGAAACCATTCATCATAGAATAAACATTTTCCCTCGCGATTGAAGATGTACATATTGAATATTGTCATTTCGGCACTTAAAATTTCAACATGAATGAATATAAATTATTGGAATAAGAACGAGAATTTAAAAAATTGAATAACATGTTCCGGTTTTAAATATTCAATAAGACAGTATGGATAATAATTATCGAGATTTAGAAAGATATGATTTAGAATATCTAGAAATCTGCAGAATGAAATTTTTTGATTTATTTTTATTTTTAAAACATTAAAGCTTCTAAATCTTAATGGGAAAATTTAAAAAAAAATAATAATAACAACTGAACACGTTGCAGAAACATGAAGCAAGCCACATGATTTTCGGCAAACAAGGAAGTATTCGAAGGGAATATTCTCTGTGTGCGTGAATGCGTATCGGTGTATGCACAGTGGAAAACGCTATTTGTCCACCGTAGTGTATTGAAAATTGAAGGAAGGAAGCGGTTAGCTCGTTTTTGCACGTATAAGCCTGGGCATATGGTTAAAATGTATTATTATTATTGGAAACCGTCTATTTTTTGTTGGCTAAAAGATTTTAATTAATCTTTTCAGCCATACCAGCTCAAACTGTCAATTTGATGTGAATTTGCATGCGTCAGTTGTTAATAATTTCTCATTCAATTTTAATAAATTCGTAATTCTTATGTTACACACAAATTTCAATCAAAACTTCAAATTTATCTCAAAAAATTGCAATCATCCTTCAACGCCGTATTGATTGCCTGAAATGATTTCAGAAATCATGCGATAAAACGAGAAGAAGAAAAAGAAAGTGAAAAAGAGAGAAAATCGGGTACACCAAATGTGTCAACTATGCGTCCAATGTTATTTTAAAAAATCCACTTTCCTCTTTCGTTTTTTTGTTAAAGAAAAAAAAACCTTGTATAAAACCATTTTCTCGAATAATAAATGTTGGAATATGTGCGTTTATTTAAAAATGAAATGATAAATTTACGCTGTGCTGTGCATGTGGTTGCTAATGCTATTGATTATAATGTGTGAACTTGTTTCAACTCGTGAATATAGTCTGCCTGCAAATTCTGAAGTCTACACTTAATTTTGAAGACAATCGGTTTTTCTGTTTTCATGAAATTGATTTTACACGAGAAAATGTGATGTCGAAGAAAAAATAGTTTCTAAACACTTGCAAAATAATTAATGATACACACAAAACTAAAATTTCCAAGTAATTTTGTATTAAGCAAAGTCGCATGAAAAGTTGAATGTTTTGTTAGTTCAAAGTTCAATTGTCACGTTTTTCTAGTCGAACTTGTGAGGGTTCATTGATCTCATTGTAGCCATTTTCCTCTTTTTATTCTTTTTAGATAATAATTGCAAATAATTGTTCAAAAAATGATATGCTTAGATTGGCGAAATTCTGTATCTCTATTATACTTGTGGAGACCCGTTATTTAAACAAACTATATAGTTGTATTTGAACACATATGTACTCGTCACATCGGTAATTGTTCAAACTAAAACTTGCCGTTTTTCTTACACTGCGATTCAAATTAATAAGGCCACTTTTATTATTGTGAATAACTTTGTTCATTGTCAAAATTTTGAAATACGGATTTCGAAAATGATATTAAGACTTAAAATTGAACCTAATTAAAAATCGATATCTGAACAATTGTCCAAATGATATTGCTAAACTGAAAATTGGTTTTTTTTTCAACCATATCTTGTATTGTAACTATCTTTTCAAATCCTCAATCACATTTTGTTGCTTATTTGTTAATTTTTATTTGTTTAATCTTTTCGAGTGAATATTGCATTTTTAAGCTTTGAATGCTTAATTGTTTTATTAAATATTTTCCACATCGCATTTTGTTATAAATTGTGACATTGCAAAGAACAACGTGTCCCGTACCAAACAGGTGTCATTTTTTGGCAGGTCCATCAGCTGCACAGGATAAAGCACGGAGACATCAGTGAGTGATGCAGCTGTCCAGAGGTTCACCTCAATTCGGTGGTGGTTATCGATTGAGCGATCCGACGACGACAACGACGACCATCGCACCACCGCTTTCGCCTACCGAACATATCACTGAGCCGTACGTCATACCCTTTTCGACGACTCTCATTCTTGCTGTAACTCTACTCTTTGTCACTATACTCTCAGGATTAGTACCTATTGCGGTAAGAAGTTTATTTAAAAAAAATGGCGGAAGTAGCAGTAGATCAAATCAGTCTCCACAATAATTAAAAAAAAAAACAATTTCAGCTCATTGAACATCTGAAAAAGAAAGGACGTGATCCATCAAAACGAGGATGGCTCTCATACTTATCATGTTTTTCTGGCGGCGTATTTTTAGCAACATGTTTTCTAGGAGTTGTTCCACACGTTGAGTATGTCACCTATTGTATTTTTTTTACAAACATTTTGTAATTTCAGCCGATTATTTTTTGAGCTTCAACATGAATGGCAGTTCACAGTTGGCTTCCCAATCCCACAAGCCATTATCTGTGTTGGATTTTTTCTCGTTTACGCAACCGAAGAACTTATTGGAGCGGTAATTGTTGATTTTGCAGTTTTTGTGGTAATACTTGTTCATTTTATAGTTATTTACTTTCGAGAGAGTCCCACTCAATGAACAGGATGAGACAAATATGTTCAAATTAGCGGATGAGAATGAAAAGTTGACGCCTCCTGAAGATCATCGCAGCGTACTTCGAGCTTTAACATTCGCAGTTGCAATATCTTTTCACTCGATTCTCGAAGGATTCGCGTTAGGTGTTCAAGACACTTCCGGTGGCCTCATCTCATTATTTCTTTCGCTTTTGATCCACAAAGCCGTCGAGGCATTTTCGGTTGGAATTCAACTTTCAAAGGCTGGATCCCATGCACAACTTCGAATTTTGATCTCAACTATTGTAATATACGGGTTGATGACCCCGATTGGCTCAATTCTCGGCGCATTCCTTCAAATGGGTGGCAAGAGTCTTCAAAAGGATTGGGCGATGTTGGTTCTCGAGAGTTTAGCTGGTGGCACATTCATTTATGTCACCTTTGTCGAGGCAATCTCTTCTTTGTTTTTAATGTTCGAAATTATTTTTTTGCAGATCGTTGCTCACGAAAAACAGAATCATTTCAACAATTTCAAACAGCTCATTTGCATTGGATTTGGATTTCTGCTGATCTGCGCAATGACAGCAATTTTCGGCGAGGCCTAATTGTACATTCCCGTAGTCCGGAGATTAATGGGCACGGTAAAAAAACGAAACAATAGGTTTTGAAAATTAAATTGAAAAATTAATATTATCTTTGCTGGCCAAATTGAAAAACCTTGTTTCTGCGAACACTAGCTAACATCAATACGGCCTATGAATATACGGATTTCAATATGCCATATTAACTATCTTTATTAATTATTAAACAATTCAAAATAAAATTGTCATTATTATTAGAAACAAATATCGTTATATACAAAAAAAAATCAAATGCTCTTTCTCAAAATTTTAGTCATTCAAATTATGCGCTTCAATATCGAATCTTTTTGACGGAATTCCTTTTCTGGCATTTTTCTCTAAAAATTGTTTTCTTTATTAAAGTGCAAATTTAATGTGTTAAAAATTTCAGTTCGATTATTGTTTTCTGAGATGTTTAAGTTTGAAATCTTACGCTATAAATGAATGCCGGATAACGTGGTGATTTGAAATATTGCTTTTTCGCGATTTTCGATGGTACGAAAAGTGTTTTATCTGGATCAGCTTGTGCTCGCACAATGTAATCAGAGGTCTCGATGCGAAAACTAGAAACTCCGAATTCATCGAGAAGATCGAACATCTAGAAATCGGATTTAATTTGTTTAAATCGTGAGTGTTACCTTCGAATTGAACTCTGCTTTTCTTTCGGCTGCTTTCCTTCGAATAATTGTTTTCGGCAACTTTTTTATTGGCAGATTTAGTGGCGAGATTGCCTTTTCAAACGAGTCGTTTTCAAATTCGAGACTTTGCCCGTGTTTTTCGGCTTCAGAAATCATCTGGATATTTCAAATATAAAAGGCTTTTTTCAAAACTTCAATCAACTTTTTCCAATGTTTTCTTCGAAACTCTTCGTCGTTTTCCTTTCGATGGTGATCGACGGAGTTCTCGATGCCGAAGTAACTTAGATTCAGTCGATGTGCTTCCAAGAATGACGTCATTTGAAGACAGATAGGCGAGTTTCGTCGGTTTCAGCGGTCTTATGGATTTTGCTTTTCCAATATTAACAAAGTGCGGGTGATGACCTTCAAAAACATTTAGGTCAGCATTTTTTTTTAAATGAAAAACAAGCGCGAATTCATTGAATTTTCGAGAAGTTTATCACGACAGAAAACTAGATATTCACGTGAAAAAGTTTAAAATGTCGACTGAAAATTATTCATAAATTTCGGAGGTTGTCGAACAACTATTTTTCAATCGATTACCTTGTTTGATTTGAACATCAGGAGCAATGGGCAAATCGCGAAGAAAATTGGTTTCATCAAAATGATTTTTATCCTTTTTCGAATTGATTGAAATATCATCGCGAGTCTCGTTTTTCGGCGGAATTGTTGCTCCAAGACTTCCCAATATGGTTTCCCAAATCTTATCCGAATATTTCCATACACTCGATGGTATTTCAGGTGATTGGAATTTTTTGAGAATGGCGTCCAAAACCACTTGAGGACCATATTTGTGCATGTATTTTTTAGTTTCTAAAATTTATATTCGGAATATATTATTTTTTTTTAATACAATCGTTACCAATTTGCAGTTTCAGAACTTTACTTTTATCGCTTAGATCAATAAGATGATTTGTGAAGTCTAAAAAAATAATTTGGTTATTTAAGGGCCAAATTTTAATATAATTGCTGACCATTGAGATCGAACGGATCGGGTTCATTATCGGGAATATTTGCAGTATCAAGTGCCTGGAAATATATTTGTTTCCGAAATTTACAATAATTGTAGACCTCTGTTTGAGAATTTTGTGATGTTGGATCTCTTCGAACAACACTAATTTTGAATGGTTGGAATGTGAAACCGGGATGAATATTAGAATAGAAAAATATCGCAATGAATAACAAACGATGGCTCATTTTCAATGACGAGACCAGCAAGTGAAATGACAAAACAAAAACGATTTCGCCTAATCGCAATAAAATAGGCTATCTGCTAATATAATCTCACAATGAAAATCCCACCTACTTTTTTCTACTTGTTCGGGATTATTATTTCATCTTGATTGGATGAAAATCGAGAAGCGATCAACTATCGAGATTAAATTATTAGGCAAGTGAAAGGACGACTAATTACCGGTTGAAATCGCCTTTTATTGCTGAATCAATTCGAATCCTTGAGCATAAATTGAAACGTTACCTTCGAGGAAATTTTTGTTAAAAAAAACATTTTCATTAGTAATGAAATTTACAATTTCCTTGATGTAAAACCATTAAATTGTCTGTGAAATTTTAAACCGAATTATTCGCGAATTAATCGTGACAAAGCGATATCAGAATGTTGAAATTTCATTTTTTTTGCCTACAATGAACACAATGTTTCATAAGAATTTTGTTGGTAATTTTTTTGGGATGCTGCCTAACCGGTCAGTTGAGTTTTTTGTAGCTTTTTTCTATAGGCCTTCGGCGGGAATTGATGTATCGTGCTTACATGTCGCCAGTATCTAGCGAAAATGTGATATTTTGTCGGAAGTGTTGACGAAATCACTTCAAAATCTGTGCGCAACATAAGCCGCGCGATAACGCAACACTGTCTGTACACTCGCTCTCCGAGCAGCTCCTGTATTTGACTCATTCATTTAACATCGCGAACATTCTCTACATATTCCACACCTATGTATCTTTCGAAAAATGTCGCTGGATAACTTTGTAAGTTTCTATTTTAAATATTTTAAACTTTATCATCAAAAAATTGCAAAAAACTCAAGCCACCTAGGGGACTCGAACCCCTGACCTTAAGATTAAAAGTCTCACGCTCTACCAACTGAGCTAAGGAGGCCCACGTGGCTTCGAATGAAACATGCCGACACAAAATCGAAGCGACGCATGCCTCCACTCTCTCCATCGTCCTCCCTTGCAGTAGATGCAAGTTGGTTTTCGAGTGTGCAAATGACCGCATTGACACTTTCAAGAGCCAAAACACTTATCTGAAGAAAATAATCTGCATACAAGACTTTCACAGACGAAACGAAATGCGAAAGAAAATTTACTTCTAAATTAAATTGTTCGAAAATTTCAATAACAACCCAACGGCATTAGTATTTAAATGATTATTTTATTACATTTTGGAAAATGTATATTTTATTTGCAAAAATAATGAAAAGCCATTGTTCTCCAAATTAATTTATTAAAAAATTTTTTTCTTATCGAGCGTAAAAAATATAGTTCACTTCGCTAATTATTGTAATTTCTTTCAATGTGTGCATTTCAAAGGCGCAGACTACAAAATCAAGCAAGTCTTTGCGCGAAAATCGTAATTTACACTATTTTTAAATATTTATTTTCAAATTCTCGAAATATAATTTTTGCGCGCTTCTGGTTAATTGTTCGAAATTATGTCCACACGATTATGCGAACAATTTAAATCAAATTCAGTATTATGAATTGGCGCGAAGTTAACAATTTTTGCATACGCATTTGATGTGTACTGTAATTTTGCATTCGTTTGATACTCAGCTAGAATTATAATTGATATGCGCCGCCCCCTGAGGTCGTCTGTCACCGACAATAAAACATTATTTAATACGTGAATTTATATTTGGCACCGCCTGTCATTTTCCTTCTTTGAACGGACGTTGTTGTCGAGGAAAATTATAAATTGAATAAAAATGAACTATGAAAATTGTTAAAAAACTCAATTTTCCGTTGAGACAAAGTTTCCCGGCTTTATCTGGCTGAATTCCTACAGTAAAATTATGCATTTTTATTAAAAACTGATATTTCTAAAGGATAAGCGAAAACGAAAAAAAAAATAAAACATAATAAAAATTAATAATAAACATATTGTCGGAGGTAAATGACACATCGGTGGAGGGAAATTCAATAACTCAAAATGTACGATTTTTTCGAAATTTACGTGATTGCTAAATAGTGAAAACTGCAAAGAAAAAACGCACAGTTTTGTTTGGCTCGAGACATCTTGACACATTGGCAATTATTTATAGAATTTCGACCTGTCGGACGATATATATATATTTGTAGTCCGTTCACTAATAAAGTGAGTCTAAGCCCAAAAAACTACGTGCACTTTCCATTACCGTATCCAAAAGTGCATATTATGCAAATTCGAAATTTCCTTAAAATTTCTTACGGACTTATTCATGTAATGAAAAAATACATCTCATGAATAAGTCCATTAAAAACCACTGCTTTAGGGTTTTTTTTTTCAATTTTTTTTTGAAAATTAATTTTTGAAATACGAATATCAATAGATTTTATGAAAATTGTGAGTGAATTCAATTCAGTCACGAGATTAAAGTAATACAATCACAATAGAACGGCTACAAAAATCACAATAGAATGTGCTGATTTACGGTGATTCGGTTGTCCGTAGTACCGGACCCGAGTTTTTTCTTTTTAAATCAAATCTTTATGCTCATTTTTTTGCGATGGTAATAAATAAAATATTAAAGGCTCATAATGCGGAAAATGAGTTGGGTCTTGTATAGGCTCAATATGATATCCGGTTATTTTTCGGAAACAGGGAAATGCTGCATAAAACAAAAAATATTTATAATATGATTAAAATAAAATAAAAATAACGAAAATATAACAATTTTTACACGTTTTATGTCGGATAAACATTTAAACATTGTGCAAGACATTTAAATTAAGGGTCATATCAAGAAGATCTCTTCTACTTAACAATAATTTTTACACGGCTCAATAAGAAAAACAAAACCAATAATCGTTGTATTTTCAATTTTCCGAATAGTTCCAAAAATTGATTTAAAAAATGTTTTCATTGAAAATCTTTTTGTCACAAATGTGCAAAAACTAGTGTTTTTTAGAAACAACATTCATTCGTTAATCAATCAAATATTGAATTATCAAAATCTTGTGGAATATTATAATATTTAATATTTTTTTCTAAATTTTTAGCTCTAATCTATTTAACTTTTGTTCGAATTATTGCATTGTTTAAATTATAATATAAATAGAACAAAAATAAAATATTGCAAATGATAAGAATGAATCGAACTTTGCACTTGCGAATGAGCGGAAAAAAACGAGAAGCCGAAAATTGGTTATGTCATTTTTGATAGGTTATATACTCCCTCCCAATTATCAAACAAACTGAGTCGGCTTTTGCCTTTCCGCCCCAAGACGACCGTGCTCATTTATTTATTCATCCACGCAACAATCTCGTATGGTATCCCGACTTAATGTCCCTTTTGTCGAAACGCGAAACCTATCCGAGCACGCAACAACCAAGTCGCTCACGTCATCGCGAAACTGTACACCATCAACATTCATTCATTTCAATTTCAATCTGTTTTTTTAGGCAATTGACATCGAGGGACCAGATGAAATATCTTCCGAAAATGTGGACATCGAAACTGGATTATCGAATTCGAGGTGAATCAAACGGATTTCTAATTATAATTGTTTCTTAAGATGTCGATTAATGTATAATTTCGAAGAAGAACGACCAACTTCTCTTGCAATGTCGTTGCATGAGAGTGCGAGGAGTTCAGTGAGAAAAGCGTGAGTTGCTGCGAATGAAACATTGATAGCTTCGAGTCGAATTATTTCAGGAAATATTATTTTTCTTACTATACGCGACCGTTGAAAAAAATAATAGGATCTTTAAAATTACTCATTATTATAGCACTATATTCATTCTTAGGAGCTCATTTATTTATGTATTTGGAGGTTAGAGCATTTGAATGAAAAATAGATGATCATATTGAAATCTTCAGGTTCCCACTGATATCGAGGAGAAAACTCAACAATATCATAAACGACTTATAGCAAGAGAAGTGATGATTTTGAAGTAGGAATCGAGATCTGAGAGTACATAAAAACTAGAATATTCATGATTTCAGTTTGAGAGCGATTCATTATGAAAACAAAGAAAATCGAGAGGAACGATGGAAGAACGCGATAATCAATTTTGAGAATGATTTGGAACTTGATGAACCCGAAATCGCCACAGTTTGGACATTCTGGATGTCATTTTTGTATGCTGGAACCATTTTCACAACAATTGGCTATGGAAACATCTCATGCAAAACACGTGCCGGCCAAATTGCAACCATGGTTTATGCATTTTGTGGTATCCCGATAATGCTTTTAATGCTGAGTTCTCTGAACAATTTTCTTTTAAAATGGATTAAAATATTGACAAATTGGTGCTCGGATCTTATATTATATATTGGTGAGATGATTCAATTATTGCAAGTATTATACTTAGTTGAATAAGGTGTTCGAACCGGCATAATTTCAATACGACAGGATGAAGTGCAGAAACGATTACGATATGCTAGTTTTTTAAAGAAAATGCACCAATTAGGATTTATTAAAGAAGCTAGACCGACAAGTATTATGGTATTAAAATTATATTTTAATCATATCATTTAATCATAATATTTATTTTATAGGTTTCACAGTCTGAAGAAGATCATTTGAATTCTGGAAAACAGGATGAAGAAGAAGAGGGCGAAATCGAAGAAACTCCTCCAGTCTATTCCACACTTTTTGGTACTAAATTTATTGAATATCGAGCAAGATCCATTAATTATAATACAAACTCGTTTTTCCTCTTATGCTAGGCAGTTTTTAATTTGAAAACAATCTACATTTTGCAGCCACGGTTTCGTGGATTATGCTGTCTGCAGCGGTTTTTTGTCTTTTCGAAGAATGGTCTTACTTCACTAGTTTCTATTTCTGCTTCATTTCTCTAACCACAATTGGTAATTTTTTGTCTATCTTGTTGTATGTGTGTTAATCCGAAAGAACAGGTCTCGGCGACGTTACTCCGGCAAATCCGGAATACATGATTGCGACATTCGGTGTCGTTCTCGTTGGACTCTCAATGCTCACAGTGTGCATCGATGTGATCAAAGAGAAAATCGCGCAGATGTACATGGCACTTCTTCAGAAGCTTTTAAAAGTTAGAACCATTATGTCATTTCCTCCAAATCATTTCTATTAAGGATTATATGGAAGCTGTGAAGAACGGTGATCCTAATGCCGCCACAACAATGATGGCGGGATTTCAAGGAAAGGCAAAATTTCTAATGCCGTTGATAAGTAAAAACGAAGGAACAAAAGTAATGAATAAATTTAAGGAAAATTGTTCAAAAAAGGTGAATATTAAATGATTCGTTAGTTTCTGAATTTACACATTTTAGGGAATCGATCCACCAGCTGTTCTGACTGATATCAATTTGGAGACAGGAATGCCGAACTTTGTCTCGGCTTCGAGAGATGAGTTTAATGACTACATTGAAGTGGTATATAACGAGATATCATTTAACTAGTGGAAAATGTGATTTTAAGGCTGAGAAACGGCATGCTGAAGAAATAAATCAGAATCAAACGAGCTCTCGAAGACCGTCTCTTCCAAAGATGGTTTCCACATGCGGTGCCTCAACTCAGGCTGGCCATGGCATTTCAGATATCGAGTCTTCTGACGAAGGAATCCAAACTGATTGGAGCGATAGCGAGGTTGCCTGCCAGGTTATTTTTAGAACTGATTTAAACAAAAAAAAACCATTGTTTTCAAGACATTCACAACAACTTCCACATTTGGTACGCAGTTTGGAAAACCATTGCCACTTTTGGTCGACAGTTTCACACAATACGAAATTTTGAAGTTTGGAAAAAAAACCTATTTTGGACTAATTTGAATAAATATCAGATCCGCTTCCGTTGGAATTCAGCCGGAAGTGTCTTCAATTTATTTGGCTAACGATTTCGATGACGACGAATCTGATCCATTCAGTGATTATGAAACCGATTCTGAAAGTGGCGAAGAGAAGAAAGAAGATGATGTCCTAGTTGGAAAACAGTAACACATTTCATTAATGTTATTTAATGTATATTGTTTTTTTTTAGATTTATGAGCGAGACGAGATTGCAATCTCAAGGTCTGAGTTCGCCGCCAATTGAGATAGATCCAGTAGAGTCGGATAGAGATATTTCTCAATCGACAGTTGGACAAGAAGATGAAAATACACTTCCAATTCCTTTAAAAATGGCAAAATCTGGATCAATTGATTCGGCTGAGACAGTAATTCATATGGGCGAATCGCCGGATGCCGTTAGTAGCTTACAAAGACAATCGAAAATGAAACGAAGAAAGAGAAGGGAAAAGAGTAAAAAGAATCATGAATTAAGATTCTTGAAATCGTCCGGCAATCAAGTATAATGCTAATAATCATCATTTCAAATAGTTAAATAATCTAGGCATCACCTATTATTGTTGATAGTTCAACTCAGTATGAAGTGTTCGTCGTCGATGCTTCAATTGAAACTATTTTGGTGGAAAAAAGGAATAGACGATGTCAGACGAAACTCGCGAGGTTTTCGAGAAATATACAAACAATTCTCTTATCGGTCCATTTTACAGCATTAATCGAGAACAACTTCACGGTTTTCGAGAATCCATTAAGAGGAAAAAAAATAAAGCAAGTATAAATCGATCGGACAGTACGGAGTCTGATTTTTCAAGTCGTGCAAGCAATTTTGGCGATGAAGTTGAACAGGTTTCTTGATTTATTTTCATCCCTCCCATATTAATCCTATACAGATCAGCGTTGATTTGTCAATAATATCTGTTGGAGTTAATGAAAAGGGCGAAATCGTCGATCCCGTTTTATTATCAGACGAAGAAGATATTTTGAGCTTAGACAATCTGGAAATGTTTGCGAAAAACAGTTCTATGCAAACTGAAACGAGAGAAATGCTTGATAAACAGGTCAATTTATGTTTTCTGTTCCATTTTACATATGGCTTGATTGTTTGAGACAGGAATTTGCCTAAATTTTCCTTATTCCCTTTTAAATCCAGTGTTTAGGAGACCTCAACAGAATGCTTGGTACTTTCTGATTCCGCGGTTCAAACATCCCTAGAACTAACAAATGTAGCAATCTCTCCCATTGATTTCGACAACATTGATAATTGGGGTGTGCTAAATCAGGATAATGCTGATGTTCAAAATGGTCCGTTATGGTCCGATTTCGATTATGTAGCGGCGACTTATGATGAAGACGGAAAACAAATTTTCGATTTTGATGAATCTAAAGGCAGCTTGTTTGATGAAGAAGAACCTCATAAGAATGCTCAACCAACAACTGATAGTGCTGAAATTAAATATGTTCCGGTATTTGAAGAAATATCAGTTCAAACTGAATCTCCCGAATATGAAAATATTGCCGTCCAAACTTCTTTTAATGTGGATCCACCTGAGGTTGAAAATGCTGGAATGCAAACGTCTCAAGTTCTTGATGAGCCAGAATATCAATCGTCAGATATTTCTGATGTTGAACGACGACGACAGACAGAGGATCGGAAATCGAAAAAAGATGAGGAATTGCCTCAATCAAAAAAGAAAATCAAGAAAAAACTCAAGAAGAAAGTGGATTCCTCGATTCAAGCAGCTCCTACATTTGCAAATGAAGAATGTCAGACGTCACATTTTTCAAGCGCCGAAAAATATTCTGAGGCAAAAGTTTCAACTTTTGACTCAAAAATTTAAGCAGTCGCTGAACAAACGGAATGTGCTTCAGGCGGAATTGAAGACGATGATTGGCTGCATTTTCTATTTCCACAGTTTCAATCTATTACTGATCGGCTGCTGCTTATGGCTAACTCACCTGAATGTTCTTTGCATGAGTTTTTCTTGTTACTTCTCAGTTCCGATACATCCGATACATCAATGCATTCAAATAACGAAATAATCATTCTAGGTATATGTAAAAGAATTGGATGAAGAACGACGTTTGAACATGTCTGATATAGGAATTCAGGTATGATCATATTTTAATTCGTCTTTTGTCGGTTTTTTTAAGTCTCGAAAAAAATTTGAAAATGTAACCTGCAAAATTGACCAATGATCGCTAGTTATTATTGAGTTTTGCTTGAATTTTGCAAAAGGTTTTCTAAAAAATCGCCAAACGCCTTAAAGTTTGCTAAGGAACTGCCATCAATAAGAAAAAATTATTCCGATCATTTTTTTGCAGACTGGTGTTTTGGCAAGGGTTCAGCACATATACACACTGCCAATGTCGGATGAATCAGCGGTATCAATTCAATTCCAATTTTGCTAAATGTAATTTTTTAAGCAGAATGCTGGAGTTAATCCTGCTGCTATTACTGTTCGCAAATCGTCGGAATCTTCAGAAGTTGGCAGAGGGTCTCTTCAATATGCGTGATATCGCCTATGTGTTTAATTGTTATTTTAGAAGCAGCGAATCATTGGCGCTTTCTGTTCCAACTCTATCAAACTCCGAATCCCTTGACGAGAAAACATGGGCAGGGACGAAGACGAATCCGTTCACTTCCAGGGGCTCATCTCTGAAACTGCGAAAAACAAAGACAATGCAAGACGTGGAACGAAAAATCGATAAAACAAACTTAGTATGGTTTATTAAAAGTAGGCTTAGTCAATTTCCCTTTAAAGGTGCAAGAAATAAGAGCTCGATTCGAGAGTAAGTCGCCAACACCTCCAACTGATGATGGTCAATCTTCGTCATCGAAAAAATAATATAAATTCAATAATTTATTGTTTTATCTGATGAATAGTTGTTACGTGAGATTTCGATTGCCATCATTTTCTGCACACCATAACACTTATTTCGGTTTTAGATGGAGAATAATAACCTAAAAGAAAACAACAAGCAAGATATGGTTGATGACAAGTAAGTGAATTGAATGATCGAAATCGCGAGTCTATTCGCGGTGTTTAGCTTAACACCACCAGTATCACCGATTGGTAGTCGGAGGTACGGGAATAAAAAAATGAGTGTTGGTGTTATCACGAGCGGTGGCGATTCACAGGGAATGAACAGCGCGATTCGTGCAGTTGTTCGCGAAGTTCTTCGACGAGGATGTGCTTGTTATTTGATCCGAGAAGGATTTTCTGGATTGATCAGTGGAAACATAGACATCGCTAGTTGGGCGACTGTTGCTAATGTTACTAACCTCGGAGGCACTATGATTGGAACTTCGAGATGTCATGAATTCAGAACTTATGAAGGTCGCAAAACGGTAGAGTGAAAAATAATTAAAAAAAAACAATGGTGTTGGTGTTTTTGTAGGCGGCGAAACAAATGTTTCTTCGAAAAATGTTTCATTTGGTCGTTATAGGAGGAGACGGAAGCTTGACAGGAGCTCAGATTTTGAAGGAAGAATGGGGAAAAATTGGAGGTCATTTTCAAAATTTTAATTTTTACAAATGATAGCTTATTTTATTATCGGCCATGATGGCCGGAGTTTTTAGTTTCATAATTATTTTGGATAAAAAAGTCAAAAATATACTTAGTGATGAATAATTATTGTTTAGAGGAACTTTATGCCGACGGTTCGATCACGGAGGAAGTTGCAAATGCTGGTCGTGAGCTGCAAATCGTTGGAATTGTTGGATCGATTGATAATGATTGTATGGAGACTGACAAATCAATAGGATCCGACACGGCGTTGCATAGGATTGTTGAATGCATTGATGGTCTCGTCATGACTGCTCAATCGCATCAGCGGATTTTCGTTGTTGAAGTCATGGGACGATATTGCGGATATCTGGCACTAACGGCTGCTCTCGCAGTTGAAGCCGACTATGTCTTCTATCCCGAACAACCCCCAACGGAAAATTGGCCGGAGAAATTGTGCAACAGACTGGAAGCCGTTCGAAAGGTATAAATTATCAGAAAATGACCAACAATAAACTATAATTATTTATAATTTAGGAAGGAAAACGACAAAATATTGTTATATTAAGTGAAGGTGTTACCAATGTGAAGGGTCAGAAGTTGGAAGCGAAACAAGTGAAAAATGAAATTGAAACTCGGTTGAATGTTGAAGTACGAATCGCAACACTCGGCCATCTTCAGCGTGGAGGAGTTCCATCATTTCTGGATCGATTGCTAGGGCTCAGAATGGGATACGAAGCAGTTCGGTAATTAAAAAAACACAATCACTTACTTGTTGAATTCATTGGGTAATAGGGAAGTTTTAAAATCGGGACCAGATGGAAAATCAACGGGGTCGCACAACACTGCCAGAATAATGTGCTTAAAAGGCCATTGCATGGCTAATCAGGATATGGTTAAAACATTGCGAAAAACTCAATGTGTGAGAGCATTCAGTATTATTGACATTTTTTCAAACTCTTGCTCTCAAATTTAGGCAACCGACGAAGCTCGACATCGCAATTTTGATATAGCAATGAAACTTCGAGGTCATGGATTTACTCAGAAATCCAATATTATGCAAGTTAGATTGTGAACCTACAACATTTCTTACGCCAATATTCTAGTATGTTGCCCAACCTCTCAAAGAACCAGTGGATACGAATTCAAAAGTTTTCGCAATTATACATGTCGGATCGCCGTGTGCTGGAATGAATGCCGCGACATTTGCATTCACAAGGATAGCTAATCATTTCAACATCTCAGTGATTGGCATTCGAAATGGATGGGAAGGAATGATAAATAATGACTATACGGTATGAATATTTATTGTTGAAGATTACAAAAAATCAATGTCTAGCTTTTGAACTGGCGGAATGTTGAAGGATGGTCTTCGAAAGGTGGAAGTATGCTGGGAACACGCCGTCAAATTCCCACGGAACTCGACAAAATTGCCCAAGCAATGAACGACTTGAAAATTGATGGTTTGGCTATTGTTGGAGGTTTTGATGTAACAAAACCAACCGTATTAAAGCTGCATTACATCTTTCTTAAGGCTTATTTGTCAACGTTAGTCTTATCACAAAATAGGCCCGACTATCAGGCGTTTAATGTTCCGATGGTGTTGATCCCAGCGACTATTTCCAATAATTGCCCTGGAACTTGCACATCTCTTGGGAGTGACACTGCTCTGAACGAGATTTGTCGACAAGTTGATCATTTAAGACAAGGAGCAATTGGAAGCGCAAACAAGTGAATTCGACAATGGAGATAATGTGCATTGATTGCTCGGTTTAGAGTGATGATTATTGAAACCGGAGGAACACGATGCGGATATCTGACTTCGATGGCAGCTCTTGCAACGGGTGCCGATGTCGCACTGATTCATCAAGTGAAACACAACGAAGAAGACATTCATCGCATGGCACGAGAAGCAAAAAAGAAATTGGCCACCGGAAAACATGAACAGTTTATTGTTATTCGTTCGGAGGGGGCTAATGATGATCTACCGTCAAAAAAAGTTCGCGCTATTTTTGATAGCGAACTGAAAGGAAAGGTGTGAATTCGTATTGTAGTTGTACAGAAACAATTCGAATTTTCAATTTCTTTTAGTTCTCTTGTCGTGTTACTACTTTGGGATACGGACAACTTGGAGGTCATCCGACATGTTTTGACCGTCAAATGGGAATTCGAATGGGGATTCGGGCATTTGAAGGAATCGTGAATCCGGCAAGAATGGGAAAACGAGATTGTTGTGTTATTGGTAGCGTTTTCGTCTTTTTTTTAATATTAAAATCGTTTTATTATAGGACTTCGTGGAAATAAGCTCAAATATGTGCCAGTTTCTGGTTTGAGAAAGAAAATTTGTCCTGTTCATCGTATCCCTCTTCAACTTTGGTGGCTTGACATTCATCCTCTTGTTGAGAAGCTTTCTTGTAATTTATTAATTATTCATTTTTCATTTGTTTTCTTTTTCTTTAATAATTGTGTTTTAAGGGAAACCGCTCGATCGAAATGTCGACGATGTTGTGAAAGTCAAACCAGAATGAAACCGTTCACTCTCTCTCTCTCTCTCTCATTTTTATTTTTCTTTAATAATGAATTTTGCCACTGATTGAGATGGAGAAAATAAACACTCGGATAGAACAAATTGGTTTTCCTCAAATCGGCGAGACATTGAAACCTGCAAAATCGAGAAATGCCTATGGTTTGCAAGATGAGCTCGCCGAGCAAGTAAAAGTACAAACCGCAATATTTGGTACTTTATATTTACACAAACCGGATATTTTTAGAGGTTATGCCTTTTCTTTGTGTCCGTTTGTGTTCATCTCGTTATTTCAGAATTTTTGTACTCGTATCAGAAATCTTCAACCAGATTTCGAAGTTTTCAATTTAGTCAAATTATTTTATGAGAATTAAGAATTCCCTTGAGACAATCAGAGATAATCAATTAAATATAATTATTAAGTAATTGGTTACTGAATTTCGTTTTTGATTAAACTACAGTAATTTCTGATTGTTGGAAGTTTATATTCAATAATTATGCATTCAATTAGGCGTTTTGTTTTGAATCCGAACAGGGTTAGGCCGAATTAAAAATTACTTGATTAAAGAATTTTCTCGAAACGAATGTTATTGAATAGTTTTGGTGCGAAAATTATTTAATTTTGAAAGGCTTGCTCCTGTTTCAGGTTTTGCGAACCACAATTTTTCGATTTTTTTGTAAGTCTCCTTGCTGTCAATACGATGTTCTTGATTTCATACCAAAAACAGCATTTGACCCACAATAATTTCTATCTGTCTGATTTGATATACGAGTTTTGAATTTCTAAAATAAAGTTGACATTTAATTTTTAATTCAATTTCCATGAGATTATCGTCCTTAACTTGGATTACATTCCAACTTATCATGATTTTGCTTCATTTTAAGAAATGTAGGAAATGCGATTAGCATTTTTCGGTTATTTCAAGAATAGGTTGCTTTCACGCGAATTCAAAATGCTTCTTATTTACCACCCGGAAACCTGCTATCTAATAATAACCTTGAACGAAAATTTAGCCAAAGGTTTTCCGTATTAATAACGCAGAAAATATTTTAAAAAATCAAACATTAACTGATATTTTGACGGGAGAAATGTCAGCAGACATCAGAGCATCTTTCATTAACTATATGCGGCCCATATAGGGTTATATTAATTCCGAATGATAATCCACACGTATATTATTAATTGAACTATGAGATTTCACAAGAAAAAACGTGTTTTCCTGTTTTTTTTTAGCTTTTCTTTAAAATCTATTATATGTATATTTGAATTCTTAAATACTCTGACAATCAGAGGTTTTCAGATTTGTTTCGCTCGCATCGTTAATGAACTTTTTTGGATTCATCATTTCGTTGCAAATCATATCGATGAGCAAAAAAACTTTATTTCAATAAATGAAAATAATGATATACGACAGAAAATGGTGTACGTGTGAAAAATGGTTTGTGCATCTCATTGAGCAGCTTCATCACAAATTCATTTGACACTGAGCACGAAGTTTCAATTATACAACGCATTTTTCTTATTTCAATAGTGTCCTCAATTGATTGCAAAAGTTAGTTTTCCTACTAATTTTAATTGAGCAACTAAGCATCCATCTGCGCCCATTTCCAATATTTTCATTTTTTCTTCTCGCAGTCCTTCCATTTCCCATCCAAACTATTCATGCATTTAAGCAAACCTCATAAAGTTATAACCAACCAGGGGTGGCTCAAAATCTAGTTTTGGTCATTGGGCCGAGCCTGCGTCTTTCAGCTTAGGATGTTGACCAATACGAACCCGCAGAGTCCATGCGAGGGTTGACCCAGATGGCCCACCCCTTGGATAAACTACTCATTAAAGGCAATTACTCAAAATCATACATTCTTGAATTTATACAGTTTGTTAAAACAAAAAAAAAACTTGTCATGTTTTGAATTGTGTATTATTGTTAATGACGGAGAAATTTGAAGGATCAAATATGTTTATCATTTTGATTTTAGTGCTAAATCAATACATTTTTAATTTGTCTTACCTACGGTAGGTTTCAAATCAATTGCACACTAGATCAAATCGAGAATTTTTGTAAGCATATGGCGCCAAAACTTTATTCACAAGCAAAACTTATTCAGAAGCAATACCTCCCTCAATTGGTCCGTCGGCGACAATTTTATTAGTCTAACAAAATAGTAAACTGCAGCTCAATTTTGTGACAACTCTGGTAAATGATTCCTAGTCGTATACGAAAAAAGCGAATTTCTTCATCGTATAAGATAAAATTAAAATCGTATACGTTAATGGTAATCGTATTAGTTAATGTGAATCGTATAGGATCGTATACGATTCTGATGAATGGTTTGTAATCGTATACGAAACATCCGCATTTCCTCGTCGTATTCGTTATTGCAAGGATCGTATACGATTTGGATTTTATCACAGTAGTGTAACCACCACAATTATACACTGCGGACATGCATTAAAATTGACGTCTAAATTCGAAAAACAATTTTCGAAAATTTTCGAATTTTTTCATATTCGATTTTTATGCGTATATTGTGTTTTAATATATATACTTTCCAAAAAAATCGTGCATTTTACTGGCTCCGCTCTAAGAAATCTATATTTTCTTTGCAGATATGTCGCAAAATTCAAAACTATTTGCATATCGAAAGCGATATCGTTACACCACACGAGAAATCATGGAAAAAAATATATAGGGAATATCGGAACGAGACAGAAACAGGTGATAACAACAGAAAAAATGAAGAAAATAACTATTTTCAGAAAATAGAGAAACTTAACATCAGGTATAACTAAAAGTAAAAACAGAGCAAGATTTAATTTCTATAGATTCTATAGAATCGTCTGAAGATGAGCTCACTTGCGCGGAAGAAGATTTTGTGTCAATGTCGAGCTGTGACAACTTGCAAAGAGTCATTACGTCGAGAGGTTGTTACCGTTTTTGCATATTTTTGAAATTATTTCGCTTTAGGCCAATGGGAAGCATTATCTTCGCGAGATTTTATTTTCACAGTTTGAAACGACTATTATCGTCAGAAATCACAAAGGGAATTGGGCAAAGAATGTTGCGGAAGTATGCTTTATTATAAAATTGTACACCGTAGAAAAATTTTAGTGCTGCAATTTTGCAAGATTTGACGACCGAAGTTCGTGCAAGACTTGATTCGGACCCAACGAGAAAACAACATGATGTGTCTATCGTGAAACTGAGAAAACTGCTATTTCGATATTCGGAGAATGATGATATCGAAAAAACGACAGATGTACCACTGAAGTACTCAATGCTGGCTCAAAAAAGCGATTTGTTTACTGAGAAATACAGCTATCAAGGCTCACACTACTCAATACAAAGAAATATTGCTTCGGATAATAGCGTCGTGATGTTTCGTTGGCGAAATTCACTGCAATATGGCGATGTATTGGGATTTCTCCTCAATGAGAAGTTCGGTGACCGGGTTATTCTACAACCATACATTCTAAATGAAAGGAATCATGTTCACGGTATGTTTTATTTATTGTTCAATCATTCCAAATGTAATGGTACCAGATTCCGCGAAAAAAAGCATTAAAATCATCAAAAGCCGTAAAAAAATATCAGAACTCGTCAAAACCGGCAAAAACCATTATAATTATGGTTACCGCTGTTTGAGTTTTTGGCGAAATCTGCATAGTACCACAATAGAAACTATAGAAACCCTATACTTCCAGATAGAAACTTTATCCCAAAAATTCGCGGCAAAGCCAAACAAAAACAATGTGAGTATTTTTTTAAATTTTGCTATTCTCTAAATTTAGATCGACGTGATCGCCGTATACAACCCTGAAGCTCTTAAAGACGCAGAAATAATTATTCCATCACTGGATGGAAATAGTGGGTTTTTTGTGTTTCGAAAGCTTTGAATTTGTATTAAATCTTTTAACAGGAGACATCAACGTCGCCCAAATATTTTTGGAAATTCCGTTCATGAAGGCAGCTCTGAAGCATGTGATAAATACTACAGTCAACAGATTTGTCGATAAGGTATCTTACAATTATTTAATGTTGCAAAAAATATCTTCAGACAATTCCCAATAACGATCGTGTGAATTATTCAACATCGTTTAAGCCAACTCCGCCGCACGCAACGCTTCCAGTTCGGTTTGTCAACACAGCGATTGGTATGCTCAAATAGCGCGAAAAATGTTTAAAATATGTTTAAATTAATTTCAGCTGTTTTACAAAAGACGGTTACCATCGCTGGAATGGCTGACGAAACGGCGAATTCTACAATCTCCTATTTGGTACACGGTCATATGACCTATCTCCTGTGAGTTTTCACTTTTTTAGTGGGCCTATGCAGATTTTGAAAAGAAACGCAGTAAAAACCTTTTAAAGAAACTCGACAACATTATAAAGATTCGGCTAAACTAGTCTTAATCAGATTTTTCGCGTTTTTCTCCAAAATCTGCACATGCCGAAGACTGCCTCATGATTAATCATTCAAATGAACTTAATTCAGAAACAATTCACGATCGAAAGCGCGAGCAGTGGAAAAAAATGGTTGATGCGCCAACCAAAATTAATTAATTTATTCCTTTTTCTTTTTCATTTTTTTGTCTTTCATATTTTTTTTTTTTAAATAAACAGGTATAGAAATCTTTACATCATATATTTAAAAGCGTTAAAATGCCAAACGAGTAGTGTAAAGTGAAATGGTATACGAAAAAAATCTCAATCGAATACGAAAAAATCTCAATCGAATACGAAAAAATCCCAATCGAATACGAAAAAATCCCAATCGAATACGAAGAAATCGTTACCGTATATGAAGAATTGTAGTCGTATACGAAGAAATCACAATCATATACGAAGAATTATAATCGTATACGAAGAAATGCCAATCGTATATTAAGAAATCCCAAACGTATTTGGCCGCGTTTGAAGAGCGATATCAGCGTATACGATTGAGCTTTCTTCGTATACGACTCGGAATCATTTACCAGAGAACAAAACGAAAAAACTTAACCATCGCAAAAGTCCTGTCGTTAAAATCAAATCGAATGTCTGAAATTCTACCTCAATTAGAAATGCCATCTTTTCGATGAGTTCTTTTTTTTACAAAGTGTTCTCCGTGGACTCAAAACTATCCTAATGAACCCAATTGTTGGCAACTACCTCCATAATGTCAAAAATATTTGATTCTTGAAGATTAAATTCTGAAACATCCCGAAAATTAATATCTTTTTAAACCTCCTACAATGATTATTTTTTTTTAAAGTTTATGATTTGAATTTCCTTTTTAATTTGTTACATTAATGGAATCATATCCGTTTGTATTTATGATTAATTTCTTATTATGTCTTCTGCAGACGTAAATCGCGATTTTTCACGAAATACGACGCAAGAAAAACGAGTCCGTTTTGCGTATTATTTTAAGTCTAGTATTAGTGTCAATTTTCCTCCAGAAATAACCAAATTGCTTAAAATGTTTATAAATCAAAAGTTAAATGCAAAAGTGTGTTGAGAATTTTATAACCAACATTTTTTTAACCATTTAATTAACTATTCTGATTAAATACATAAAAAAATAATAGTTAATTTTAAAATTTGCGAAAGTATTATCATTTTTTTTGAATATCCATGTTAATAAGTGGATATACCGAACCTCAACCTTAATCAACGAACTTTGATGTAAAGAAAAAACTCATTTGAGTTTTTTGAGCCAAGAGTTGCATTTGAAATCAACTAAGCGAATAATTGATTGTTCTCCAACATTTTTTGCGTCATTGCAAAGAACAAAACTTCATAACATCTTAGTTTTTCATTCGTTTCTTAATTATTTTTATCTCATCAAATTGTCATCTTTTTCGTTTTGAGGATATTATGGAGAATAACGACGCGGTCTGCGGGTATACTGAAGAGGTCACATTCACTAGATTTGTATACATTTCAATCGGCGGCGTCGTAGCCTTATTTGGTATTTAAAAAACACAATAATTTTCTCTCTTAATGAAATTAACAGATAATTTCTTACAGGCTGCTTTTTCAATATTCTTCTAGGCTACTTATTCACATTCAAAAAATTGGCGAACTCTCCTCCTCAGCTTTACCCGGCAATTTTGGCATTCCTTGATGCGCTTCTTTGCTTGTTCTTTCTTATGATATTCGTTGTGGATGTTAATATGATCTATAATAAGAGTGAGGTAACAATTTAAGTTTATATTTAGCTTTTAGTCAAGTATTACTCATTTTAGTGGATGTTCGTCGCTTTTCACCGCTACGTCATTTTGACATTTTGTGCAGCAAAATTAGTCCAATTTTTGATACCATATATGCTGATGCTCGGCACTTTTGAAAGATACACGTGGATCGACAATCAAAAGTAAGTATATGTATTTTTGGACATTTTCTCATAGCATAATGCAAATAAAACTCGTCGGTAGTTTTAATTTGATATCCACTTCTATACGTATATGTATATATGCCTGTATCATTTTAATTAAAAAGAAGCTGTTCGAAGAAGCATGAGAACGCTTGCAAGAAAATGCGAGGCGCTGAACTTGTACAATGTTTGATTACTTAGAAATTCTCGTGATGTCTTCCGCCGCCCTCATGCTGATCTATGAGCATTTCCAGCCATGAGAAATGATTAGAATGAGAGATAGACCCCGATTTATCATATTTGTTTGATGCGTAATAGAGAAGGCGAACGAGCAGGGCCCTTTGAAATGTTTGTGCAAACGCTCGTGACGGCTGCTGCAAAAATATCTAAAAAAAAAACATGTGTAGGTGTAGGCGATTGACAGATGATTTTTCTCGAAGTTTAGATCGGATCTTTGACGAATAAATTATTTCGAGCTTCAAAGGTTTTCCACTGTGATAATTTGTTTCGAATCGAATACAAATTGCTTGTTTTACAATCGCAGACGGAAACAAAAAAAACAGCTTGCAGTGTGACATTCGTTTATTGACGTTCACGTGCACTGATTACACACAAAACACTCAATCATCTCAAAAGACGATAATTGATGGCAAATTGCAGCCGTAAGCTTCTGCTGTTTCGACCGCGCTATCGCACTCTGACGCTGCTTATCCTGCTCGCCACCGCAATTGCGCTCCGCATTCCATCGGCACTTGCATTGACCGTCACCGAATTTCCCAAGTGCGCTGACTTTTTTCGAACACTCGCCGTTGATGTCAGAGAATGGGCGCAGGTTTGTTGTTCATTTCTTGCATGTTTCGAATGCTTTCGCCGACGACACTTTTCATGAGCAGTTTATTGAGGGAAAAGCGTTTTGAAAAATACATAAAAAATACATTGCGGTGTGGGTTTATGTTGTGTAATATAGCATGAGAAGGGTTTGATGATAGCGATGATGGGCATCCATCGGGGGTGTTTTAATGACTTGAACATGTGCTTGTCGGAAGAAGGTTTCACGCGGATGGGGCCGCCACTTGTTGTGATTCTGAAAGCAAACACCATGTTTCAATTCAGAAAATTATGCAATTACCAGTTGCTTGTTTAAGCTCGAGAAGTTTCTTTTTCTTCAATAGCTCTTCCTCTGTAACAACTTCTTTCGATGGAACCGGAGCAGCTTCTTCCGCTGGCGCTGGGGCTGGGGCAGCTTCTTCTGCTGGAGCTGAAGCTGGGGCAGCTTCTTCCGCTGGAGCTGGAGCTGGGGAAGCTTCTTCTGCTGGAGCTGGGGCTGGAGCAGCTTCTTCCGCTGGAGCTGGGGCTGGAGCAGCTTTTTCTGCTGGAGCGGGAGCTGAGGCAGCTTCTTCTGTTGGCGCTGGGGCTGGAGCAGCTTCTTCTGCTGAAGCGGGAGCTGGAGCAGCTTCTTCTGCCGGAGCTGGAGCAGCTTCTTCCGCTGGAGCTGGAGCAGCTTCTTCTGCTGAAGCGGGAGCTGGGGCAGCTTTTTCTGCTGGAGCGGGAGCTGAGGCAGCTTCTTCTGTTGGCGCTGGGGCTGGGGCAGCTTCTTCTGCTGAAGCGGGAGCTGGGGCAGCTTTTTCTGCTGGAGCGGGAGCTGAGGCAGCTTCTTCTGTTGGCGCTGGGGCTGGAGCAGCTTCTTCTGCTGAAGCGGGAGCTGGAGCAGCTTCTTCTGCCGGAGCTGGAGCAGTTTCTTCCGCTGGGGCTGGGGCAGCTTCTTCTGCTGGCGCTGGGGCTGAAGCAGCTTCTTCTGCTGAAGCGGGAGCTGGGGCAGCTTCTTCTGCTGGAGCTGAATCTGGGGCAGCTTCTTCCGCTGGAGCTGGAGCTGGGGCAGCTTCTTCTGTTGGCGCTGGGGCTGGGGCAGCTTCTTCTGCTGGCGCTGGGGCTGGAGCAGCTTCTTCTGCCGGAGCTGGAGCAGCTTCTTCTGCTGGAGCTGCAGCAGATTCTTCTGCCGGAGCTGAAGCTGGAACGGATTCCACAACAGCAGCTAAGACTGGCTCTGGAACGGATTCCTCAACTTGACTTGGAGTGTGGGCAGCTTCTTCTGCTGGAGCTGGTGCTGGAGCAGCTTCTTCCGCTGGCGCTGGAGCTGGTGCAGCTTCTTCTGCCGGAGCTGGAGCAGCTTCTTCCGCTGGAGCTGGAGCAGCTTCTTCTGCTGGAGCTGGAGCTGGAGCAGCTTCTTCTGCCGGAGCTGGTGCTGGAGCAGCTTCTTCCGCTGGCGCTGGAGCTGGTGCAGCTTCTTCTGCTGGAGCTGGAGCTGGTGCAGCTTCTTCCGCTGGTGCTGGAGCAGCGTCTTCTGCTGGAGCTGGAGCTGGAGCTGGAGCAGCTTCTTCCGCTTTAGCTGGAGCTGGAGCAGCTTCTTCTGCCGGAGCTGGAGCAGCTTCTTCCGCTGGAGCTGGAGCAGCTTCTTCTGCTGGAGCTGGAGCTGGAGCAGCTTCTTCTGCCGGAGCTGGAGCAGTTTCTTCCGCTGGAGCTGGAGCAGCTTCTTCTGCTGGAGCTGGAGCTGGAGCAGCTTCTTCTGCCGGAGCTGGAGCAGTTTCTTCCGCTGGAGCTGGTGCAGCTTCTTCTGCTGGAGCTGGAGCTGGTGCAGATTCTTCCACTGGTGCTGGAGCAGCTTCTTCTGCTGGAGCTGGAGCTGGAGCTGGAGCAGCTTCTTCCGCTTTAGCTGGAGCTGGAGCAGCTTCTTCTGCCGGAGCTGGAGCAGCTTCTTCCGCTGGAGCTGGAGCAGCTTCTTCTGCTGGAGCTGGAGCTGGAGCAGCTTCTTCTGCCGGAGCTGGAGCAGTTTCTTCCGCTGGAGCTGGAGCAGCTTCTTCTGCTGGAGCTGGAGCTGGAGCAGCTTCTTCTGCCGGAGCTGGAGCAGCTTCTTCTGCTGGAGCTGGAGCTGGAGCAGCTTCTTCTGCCGGAGCTGGAGCAGTTTCTTCCGCTGGAGCTGGAGCAGCTTCTTCTGCTGGAGCTGGAGCTTGAGCAGCTTCTTCCGCTGGTGCTGGAGCAGATTCTTCCACTGGTGCTGGAGCAGCTTCTTCTGCTGGAGCAGCTTCTTCCGCTGGCGCTGGAGCTGGTGCAGCTTCTTCCGCTGAAGCTGGTGCAGCTTCTTCTGCTGGAGCTGGAGCTGGTGCAGCTTCTTCCGCTGGAGCTGGTGCAGCTTCTTCTGCTGGAGCTGGAGCTGGTGCAGCTTCTTCCGCTGGAGCTGGTGCAGCTTCTTCCACTGGTGCTGGAGCAGCTTCTTCTGCTGGAGCTGGTGCTGGAGCAGCTTCTTCTGCTGGAGCTGGAGCTGGTGCAGCTTCTTCTGCTGGAGCTGGGGCTGGAGCAGCTTCTTCCGCTGGAGCTGGAGCTGGTGCAGCTTCTTCTGCTGGAGCTGGTGCTGGTGCAGCTTCTTCTGCTGGAGCTGGAGCTGGTGCAGCTTCTTCTGCTGGAGCTGGTGCAGCCTCTTCTGCGGGAGCTGGTGCAGCTTCTTCTGCGGGGGCTGGAGCTGGTGCAGCTTCTTTTGCTGGCGCTGGAGCTGGTGATGGAGCAGCTTCTTCTGCTGGAGCTGGTGCTGGAGCAGCTTCTTCTTTCGGGGCTACATTGGCTTCTATCTGTTGCTTCTGAATAAGCTTTTTCTTCAACAATGCTTGTTCATCAGTGTCAACATTAGAATTTGGAAGCTCATTGGAAACAGGATCCTGAAATTTAAGTCCAATAATTACAAGTTATGCTGTCTGCGTAGGCATCATCACCTGAATATCTTCAACAGGAAGAAGAGACGGAGCAGATTCAATAGCACTCATGGCAAATGTCTGAAATGAGAGAATTGCACCAAAAGTTCTTGTTTGATTAACAATCATATGGCAATAGTTGGTAAATAATTAAGAGGAAAAGCAAAGAAAGTCGATCACATGACAAAAAGTTAAAATGGGAATCTGCAGAAGCGTTGGAATTATTTGCTTATTTTTTACGGTAGACGGCAAGCAAAGATTGCGCAAAACCAATCGAGATCCCGAAACGAACACCTCAAAGCCGATATTTGTGTGCTTGAGGAGTGAAACGATGAACGAGTGGGTGTTTGTGAGGAGGCCCACGAGGTCGGCTGGTATTTATGCAGTTTGTCGCCCCGAGCCTCCGCCTACCGCTCACGTGAGGGAACCGACATCTGTGCATGTGAGTGTTTTTGAATTGAACGACGAGGCGACAAAAAAACGAAAGTCATATGTTTAAACGAGCGCATGAAATTGCATTGTGGAGGCAGTGAATCTCGTGATTTGTGAAGAACCGAATTGCGAAAACCATCACAAGACTCGCCTTTATCAAATAATTATTTAACCTCCTCGGACACTTTCTAAAAATAAAGACCTGCTGAAATTCCGATGATGAATACGAACATATAGGCATTCACACTAACATCACAACACAAACACCCACAAAATGAAGAACAGAGGGCGAAATTTAAAACGTGTGAAGGAAGAGAAGATGAAACGATTCTCATGATATCCAGATGTTTTCGGAGAGAATAATATGCTTTGAAATCTCAATATTTATATTGTAAACTGGTAATGCGTTGACCTCCAATAAAAATATATTTATTATGGGGTCAAAATAATTTTAAATTTCAAATTTAATCGAAACCAGACCGATCTTTTCGAAATCAAAACTGATAACTCAATTTTCAGGAAAGCACGTTCTACATGGTCTACGACGTATATGGAATCGCTTGTCTTCAGACATTCTGCCCATTTTTATCTCTGACTATGCTTAATCTTGTTATAGTTCACAAATTAGCAAAACTTGATTCAAACGCAATGAATAATGCCAAGGTTCGAAATAGCATAGTGCTCCATGTTCGTTTAATTGATTTTTAGATATCTGATCCCGACGCCACCGTGGTGTTGACACGAAAATCTGGAGTTTTATCCTCTCTGAGAATCAATAAAATGACAGGCTCTGTGAGGAATGCTATTTATACAATGGTGTGTTTCGTTTCTTAGTTTTACGATTAAAATTTTCTTCAGGTTGCTATTGTATCGACATATTTAATTTCGAACTCGCTGCATATAATGCTAACATTACTGGAAGTCACGAAATCGCCGATATTGGTCGAGTGAGTTTCACATTCTTGTCATCATAATAGGATTAATAAATTGAAGAAGAAATAGCTCAAAATTATTAAGAAAATTGAGTGAAAAAAAATAAAAAAATAGAAATAAGAACTGTTTTTTCTTCGGTCATTTTATACGCCATTCGGAGTCATGTGCTTCGAATTGAAACAATGCGACGAATGACGGGAATTCCAATGAATCAGAATGTTTTCTTTGATGTTCCGTTTAAATGAATTCGTCATTATATTTGAACATAGCTTTTGTTGTTTTTTTTTAGCGAATCGGACACATACAAGGCATCGATGCTTTATACACTTCTCGGCGATGCTGTCAGCATTCTTTATATGATTTCATCAGCGATTCGAATCTTCATCTACTCCTACTGCAATCCGGCAATCCGATATCAACTGCTTGACTTACTTGGATGGAAGAAATGCACAAAGAACAATGCGAGTTTTTGCACGAGCAATGAATCGACGAGTGTCTAACGCAGATCGCATATTTATGATGAGATCTCCTCGAAAGATGTTTTCGATGTGATCATTCGTTGCGGGTACATGAAACAAACTCAGTTTTATAAATATTTGTACGGAAGAATAAATTTTGCATTCTTTGGGATGAATTTATTTTTGTCTAGTTAAGGATAAATATTATTCGCCTCAAAACAATGTGCGTTAATGCCCAAATGTTGGATTATTTTTTATTTATTCATTTTACAAAAGAAAACAATACGTCAAGATTAGGTAATTGCGAAGGGATCAGTTTCATGAAATTCCAAAAATTCGGATAAATTTATCACGACTTCGTTATTTTTGAATGATTCATAAATCGTGATCTTTTTTACCGTAATATGAAATTTTCATATTTTCTCATGTAATAATTGTAATTGTTTGCAATTTCTTTTTCTTAATTTTATTCGTTTTGTTTCGCAAGTTTCTGAACAACCATTCCCCCGTCTTCCAGCTTTGCAATTTTCTCAAACCACGACCGCGTAATGAGGAAAATTGGCATAACCGAACACATGTTTTCCTGGTTTTCTTCCACCTCGATTGAATCTCGAAAATAACGATTTCGAACACTTTCCTCGTGCTCGTAAATGCACGAAATCGACAATATGTGCGTGCTGCTTTTTTCCGACTATTAATATGCATTTTCTCTTCCGGATTCGCTTCCTCGGCTCCCACTTACCCAATTTAACCACATCTGTTTCTTGTTTTTTTTTGTTTTCAAAAAATGATTTACACGGCTCTCGGTTACAGTATCGCGTCAAAAATGCCCATTCATTTGTATTTTATAAATGTACAGATGTTCCTTTTTCAAAAATTCGAAAAGCATTATTTTTAGATATTGAAAATTGACCGAATTTTGAATTTGGAAATTAAGTGCTACCGTTTTTTTGCACTTCCCTCTTTGTATATATTGTTGAAGTGCGAATGGCGCAGTCCACTGTAGAGTTGGGTCTCGCAACATGAGAGTCGATTTAAGCATGAGGATATTTAAAGGGGGAGGGGGTTGGGGGATATTTACGTTGCATCGTGTCGAGACCATTTCCGACATTTAGAATATTTTGGCAGATTTCCTCAATAACATATCGCTAATAATTTTTAACTTTCATATTAGGAAATTTCAAAATCATCAAAAGTTTCAATTTTTGATTTTCAAAACTGGCGCTGATTCATTGCGATGTATTTAAAATGAGTGACTCATTTGACCCACATATCTTAGGGATTTCGAATATTTACGCACAATATCCTCAAAAAATCTTCAACTTTGCCGTTTTTTTTTATTATTAGTCCTTGAAGCCCCGTATTTTATTATTATTTTTTGAATTTTTTTCGATAAACAATTTCGTAAAACGTTGAAGAGTTTTTGTTCAATGATTTAAATGAAATATTGAAAAAAAGATTAGTGAAAACTTCAACGAAAAAAAAAAAACAAACGATGTAAAGTGAAAAACAATCCTTCAATTGTTGATTTCGAAAATGTTTAAATTTTAATTGTGTTGGCGACTTTACTCTGCTGCTGTGAACAAATCATTATTTATTATCACAATGAGCTTCTCTAGTTTCAGTCAAAAGTAAATAACTTCAATCTAGTTCCGTATAGTTAATTTGTGAAAAGCGTTAAAAAATTTAAATAAAAAGGCTTGTATAACTAAAATCATGTCGATTTTTGCCAAATTTTGTATTTTTCATTTCATTCTACGACTCACAAATGCTGAAAATAATCACATAATTCAATGTGTTCTGTTGTGGTCGGAAAGCAGTTTGATTGCAAGCTCTCCAGTCCAATAAATAACACATTCACTCACACGCATCTACATACTTTCAAGCGTTCGGTAGTGGGTTCTCGACACGAATCTCGCAGATGAAATGTAATGTGGTGCTCGATTCATTTTTTTTAAACAAATGCTCATTCTACCAACCCGATTCAGTCATTCATTAATCTTCGTTTTTCACACCATTTCATGGCTGTTCGCCGCAGAAACGCGCGATTAATCAAATTTCCATTCTTCGCTCTTGGTATTTGTTATTTTCAAACGATTTTAAACTGAGCAGCGTTATATTCCGCTATATATTTTCTTTGTGTTTTATTAGCATTCTTCTAACGAATATCAACCTATTTACCGGATTTTCGTTGATCTTTGACCGTTTTGTCAAATGTGTAATTTGTCTTGAAAAGAGTCCATTCTTATAACATGCTTATTAACAACATACCAATATTTTCTTATGCTGTTCACAAAATTGAGGCCTTTTTTGAAAAACAGTCCATTCTTTATAAATAATTTCAATGCAACTTCAAACAGTCAAAACTTGCAATTGCTGAAAATCTTAATTCTCGGTGAAGATCAGAAGAGCAAAGCTCGTCAATATCGCATTATGTTTTTAAATTGGGCCAGCAGAAAAATGAGCTGTTTGATATTCATGCACACGAGTATCAACTATTGAAACGCACCAATTTGAAATTCATGGGTTTTCTTCGTGTTTGAGTTGTATAAATATATTTTTTGTGCGGTCCTCATCCTTCTTTTTTTGTGCATAGTACATCAGTAGCTGCCATTTCGATCCATCATCAACACGAGAGACACATCGTCAAATTCATATTGTTTTGTTTTTCTTCTTGTTTTGTTGTTATCGTGCCCCCTATGTCCTTTCATGTGCTTTTCTTGGTCTGATTTCGAAAACGGCGACGATTTTCGTGGGTAAGTGACATTTTTTGATATTCGTTAATAAAAAAAATCATATCTTATTTATTAACAATACATGAGAAATATAAACATGAAACGAATTTATTAAAACGCTTGGAAAACTGTTATTTTTTTTCTAAAACTAATTTGCCGATTTCTTAAAAGACCAATTAATAAATTGGTTGCGGTGGCCGTGTCATTCCTTTATTTACGACAATAAAAAGAATGCATTATACCCTTTTCTTTTCAACATTTTTTGTTTTTTTTTTTTCATTTTACCAAAACGGATTCGTTCGTTTTATGTAGCTCGCGTTGAACCCCAACAAATACTTGTGTACAAATAACCAATTTTTCTGCCCAATGTATAATCAGCACCCGGCGACTGATGTATGGGGGTAGATTTACGGGCGCTGTAGTCTCGAGAGGAATAACTGCTTATTTAACAGCTGTTTTCGATAATTTTTATTTTTGATAATCTCAAAAATACGAAGAGTTTTGAAATTGACCGAGAAAAGATAAAGGGTTGCATTCACACGTGGCGAGACCGTTTTTTCGAAAGGCGAACCCCATACATTATTCGTCGGACACCGACGAATTGAATACTTCATTTAACTCAGTTGGGAATAATTTTGTTATTCGCAATGTACGGCCAGTTTCCTTATAATGTCCTTTCCAATTTTTCCATTGAAAAGAAAACGAGTATAGATTTTATTATGCACGTAAGAATAATCTTTTTTGCCTTCTTTTCAGTCATTCCCGATGAAGTAAAATTTAGTAGAAATGTGCCTAAATATAAAAGATTGCATTGATTTCAAAACTTAAATAAACATATGCAAATTGGTGGGAAAAAAAACAAAAAAAGCTGAGAAACATTGAAAATTAAGGCAATAATTATAGTTTACACTCAATCAAAATCGATTGTATCACAATTGACGATGTATTAGATTATTGATAAACAGTTTGGTTTAAAATTTGATAAAATTGTAAATTTATCCACCCAAACTTCATTTTTTTTTGAGTAAAGAAAATTTTTTACTAATAACGATTTTTTAATTATTAATTTTTACATAGTTCATTGATAACCCATTGGTACACAAAATCATGCATAAAACGTAGGAGGTCAATAATTCTTCTCTAGGAACCCCTTATTAGGTCAGAAGAATATAAAATATTTTTAGTGCGGAATCAAAGAATGGAACAAGAAAAAATACCATTATCCTTAACAAAACGAGATTTCGTTTTAAAAATCCCTATTTGGCGAAATGTTTTTATCAATTACATATATTTCCTTTATTTCAATTGTTCTATAATATCATGATCACATTCGAACCGGAATTGTGAAATATTCATCAAATTTGTATACGTGAGCTCTCAAATCATTTCCGCGTTTTCGAATTAAACTTGTCTTGCATCAGAAATGGCCTCTTTCCTTGAAAACCCTTTGCAATCGTTGTTTTTTTTGCCGAGCCAATAAACGTGTCATTTTTGAGTGATCTCAAGCGTTTTCCGTGTAAGTCTTCATTGTACTTTCTAGCATATCCAGAGAGACACCCAAATGCCCAAATAAGAAAGATGCTGCTCGTTTTGTAAGCGAGACAAATTCTCTGTAATCGGCGCTTCTTCCGGTATAGGTGTACACGCAACCGCATTTCCTGTTTTCTCGTTTTCAGCGAAAATACTCTTTCAAGCATTGCTAAATGAAAAAAGAAGAAATCCGCAAAAATGGAAGCAAAATATAAAGTATTAGTTGATATATCATCATTTGCAAATTAATACGGAAATTTTCGGGAAACTATGCTCATTTCCTAAAAAAAAAAACAAAATATCGAAAAAATTCCATTAAAACAACGCGCTGCCGATAGTTTTTAACGACGATTTGAATACTATTGATCGCCATTTGTTTTGTTGATTTTTTTCAATGTGAATTTTTGGTTCGCATTTTGTGTTTCATCTTTATGTCCCATTAATAATTCAAACGAAGAATACCTAGAAATTTCAGAAGCGTAATAATCGAACTAAATATATAAACATGTAATCATAAATGTATATAATCATAAATATATTGCGTTACTAATTTTTATATTTAGACAATTCTAATCAGAATAGTAACGTATTCTAATAGTAAGAAAATAAAAATAAATGTGCAGTACATTAAAAATGAATAGCAAAGTGCTTGTTGTTTTCTCATAAAACAACACTCAATTTCGAATTCAGATTCCCGTTTACAGCCCAATAAACAGATATACATATAACATCATATTTTCGATGATCTTATAAGGAAGCAATAATTTTTCGAAAAAAAAAACGGCATAACCAAGCCAATAAAAATAGGTTTTTTTTTGCATTTGATGACGCACGTATATTTTAAATTTGTGAACAAAATTTGTGTCCCCGAGCATGCGAATAGCTCAAATACGGTTCAATTAGCATATTTATGTGGAAATGACAGCCATCTATTTTCTGCTTTCTCGCTTTTAAATCTTAAATTCAATTCTTGAAGGGTTATTGTTGAAAATATTTTCTGCTTCAGCAAACTTAAATTGATATTTTTTTTTAGAAACTCGTGTTTTGAATTTTCATCACTCTTCATCATATTCAAGAGTACTTGCTGATTATAAATATTACTTGTACACTTCATAAACGTTTTTAAAACCACTCAATGCCGAAGAATTTTTGGAAAAATTTAAAAGAATACTTTTCTTTTTTCTCTTCGGTTAAAAAACATATTTGTCTTAAAAGAACCCTCATGTCGTAAAAATTCAAACATTACTTCTCAATAAATATATGTAGTTCGTTTTTTTTCTATTTGCAACTCATCAATCCACATTTTTTTGATGAAAAAGGTAGTCCTGCAAAACGAGTCACCAAATTGCAATAATAAATTTAGTCGTTTGAAAAAATGAAGCTCACTTTTTTGCAGCAAGAAAAAACTTACGTTTTACGTTATTCGTGTGCGAAAAAGAAAATGGGTAACTAGAGTTGTTCTGTAAATTATAGCTGACAACGTTGCTTCAGTTCAACCCAAGACTCTTTCATATTTCTATAAAACCTCGAAAATAGAATGAGAACTTTTCAGACCAAATGAAACAAATTTTTATTAATTTTCTGAAAAAAAAAACGGGAAATTTTAAATAATGGACTTTTCTCTCTTAAGAATTTGAATTTGCCACTGTTTCGAAGATTTGCTAAGTGGACCATACTATTCAGATTTTGGAAAGAAACTTAAAATTTTTTTATCGTACTGATTATGTTTTTAAAAATGTTTTGTTAGTTGTTTACCGTTTTTTTTTGGCGAAATCTGCATAGTACCATTAATCATTTAATGCTTTGAGTACATCCATTCAAATCTTCTTCGTTTTTATCCGAACCAATACACAAAATCCATTTTCATTGCTTCAAAATTCTTCAATCATACATAAGTATCCCAACTTAAATGTATTCTGCATCTGTTTACCTATAATTAAAAAGTGAATAAGAATTGGTCTTAAAGAATATGTGAGCAACATAAAAAATGTCATCAAACTTTTTTCCATTCTAACATAAATATATATTTTTTTAAAATAAACTTTTCGACTTAGTAAATTGCGTTATTTTCACCTGTTACTCTATTTTTGATTGGAGAAACCTTTCAGTTTTCAATTTTGATTTTTGAAAATAACCTTTCCCGACAAACTGCGAAATTGTGCTTTTAAATGTGCTAAACGATTCAAACGTTTTCTAGAAAAATTTAAAGATTTTTTATTTAATCTAGGCGGATTAAAACGGCTAAATTCTGGGACACTTTCGAAAAATGAAATAGTCGGAAATGTTTTCTCTATTTGTTTTTAGTCAACTTATTATATAAAAGGCCAGATGGGTTCTTCATTTTTTTTGGAATGCCGACAACAAAAATGTACACATGAACCTAATTGGATTCATAACATTTGCATAATGTGAATTATTTAAGACGTGCTTATAGTATACATAGTTTTCGTGAAAGAAGCGATATTTACGTAAGAGGCCAACTAATTCCACATACGACATTCGAATTTCCTGCCAAAATCTCGCGATTATTCCAAAATTCCAATAACGTTGTGACAAACCAACTCAAGAAACTCATGCTGAACTTATTTATGCAAAATTTAAATGCGTAAATATTTATGACTAAGGTTTCAATCACGAGATCCCGATTTTCGATGCATTATTTCTCACTTATGTTAGCATTTATTCTTTATTGTCTAAATACCTCTTAAAATGTTAAAAATGCTCGATAATATTTCTTGGAAAAGTAAAATAGGAGGAGAAATATTAAATCTTGAGATTCTCTCTTCTTCCATCGTTTTTGTTTAATTTGTAAACGACAATAACGTTTAGATGACGACAACTGAGACGAACATAAGCACCACCATTGCCACTAGCTCGAAATCGCCGAGTTCTTCTGGAGACTCTATTGACGTCTATATTTATCTTCTTCCTTTGATTGTGGTGTTTGGACTCAGCGGGAATATCATCTCATTGGTTACCATCTTTCATTCAAGATTACGAAGGGTTCGTTAATTAATTTACTTTTAAAATAAAATAGGTCCAATATATACAGGTTTAGTTACTTTTCTTCTGACAGTGTGTTTTTCGATTTATTTAATCAATCTGTTTCAGGTCAACGCAAACATTTATCTGATTGTCTTGACGACAGCGGATAGTGTGTTTCTCACAGGGATACTTCTTGTTTGCTTTAAGGTAAAAATGATTCAAAGTGTAAAATAATCGATTGTTTAGGTTGACTGGATTTCCTTCGAGTATTGTGTTGGACTCGAGTACGTTCTAATGACTGCTTCGTACATTTCAAGTTGGTCTACTGCAGCTCTCACTATCGAACGTTACCTTGCCATTGCACACCCGCTATCACATATGAAGGTTTAAAACGTATTATTCAAACTTTCCCCAACCCTTAATTTTAGTACGGCCATGTCGACCGAGCTAAAGTGATGATGTTCTGGGTTCCAATTCCATTCATACTCCAACTCTTTCAATTTTTCTCGCTCGAAGCAGCTGAGCATGATCGTAAATGCGTTTTGAAAGAAGCAAATTATCAGGTATCGTGCTTGAGCTCATTTTCTGTGTAAGTAATTATACGTAATGAATTTTCGATGATCAATAATTAGATTACGTCAGATGATTCTCAAATTGACAAAAGAATAATTTTCGAAATGATTATTTCAGATAATCGCCCAAGCAATTGATACCATTCTATGTTATCTACTACCATGCTCAATAATTGTTGTGTTGAACCTCTTGGTTTCTCTGAAAGTTCGAAAATCACAAGAGAATTTTGGGAATGATGTCAAGAAAGCATCAAGTAATTCGCGGAGAACTGGCGGTATGAAATTCATCGAAAATTAATTCGAAACCGTTTTCGAATTTAGGATCATCCTCTTCTACAGGAACATGGACGAGAATTCTTTGGGTCATGCCACTGGTTTTCGTGGTCCTTAACACTCCATTCTATGTGATTATGATGGTTGAAATCGTGTTCCAAATCATCTATTCATCTCCACCGAGTTTCGAAACTCGAAGCGAAATGTTTGTCACAGTTTACAACACAGCCCATTATATGTACTATATAAGCACTGCTATTGACGTCGTTGTCTATGCATTCTCAAGGTATTATAATAAAATTGTTTGGCATTTGATTTCAAAAAAAATATTTCAGTGCGAATTTCCGAAAGACTGCAATTATCGCGTGGAAGCGGATTTTGTGCCCCGGTTACGCAGATTCTCAAAAATCCAAGGTATTCAAATCTTATGCATTCATTGAAATAATTCCGGTGTGATTCATTCTAAAACATGAATTCATTTCAATTCATGGTAAATTCGGAATTGCCGTTTTTATACGCAAAATTATTTCACGTAACATACAAATTTTAAGAGCACAATGGCAGATCAAACATCTCGTCTTAGCTACCGTACAACTTCTGAACGTTATCGACATACTAATAACACAACCACAACACCCCTTCTTACGACGGAAATTGGATCGAAAACGGTCGAATCAACATCTATTTAAATGTTTTATCCTATTGTATTTTGCATCGGGTATAATACTCTAATAATATTTACGCAACTTGTAATACAAATCGTAACGTGTAAATTGATAGAAAACACGAAAATTTAACAATAAATCATTTATTATGTTATTACATGGTAGAACACGTAAAGCCCGTAAAATGGTAACAAAGTTTAAATTTTAATACTACTTGTGGCGAATTTTTATTTTATGCAGGTGCAATTCCCAGATATTTAGCAACGAACACTCGAACAACTGCTGTGATATGATCAATAGTTGGCCAATGAAGTGCATTAGCATTGTCGCTGATCTTATGCCAAACCGAAGGAAACGGAACAGTGATGAGATGAAGAATGGGCACACCCCTCTTCAAAAATGGTATGTGGTCGTCTTCAATTTGGTTAAACGAAAGATTCTTGTTGAACACGTTTCTTCGAACAGCTCCAAGACATCCAAGAGATCGCATGTTGGTTTCAACATCTGCGAGCTGACTGAACAGTTCAGTGGCTCCCATGCCGATTGTGTTGCTGATTGTTGGATTTGCTGCTCCGAGAAGATCCAAAAGCACCATCACGTCCTCAAACATGAAATAAAAACCAACTCGAACGAAATATGAACTTACGATTCTATCAATTTCCTTGCTGAGCTCGAAATTATTAGCACTACTCGAGGACGGATACCATTTTTGCTCCCATTTGGAAGCCAAATGCCTCGATCCATATAAAGAATCTGTTGATGTCCACTGTCTGAAAGCCTCTTCACCGTCGAAAAATATGAGTTGAAGTGCAACATTCTGCAACAACTTTGATTGTCCAATGTTCTCTGTTTGAACAACAAACTTGAGCTACTCTTTTATACATATAAGGAGCCAATTTCTCCGCAGTATCGAGCATCATTGCACACGGAACAGCGGAATCTGTCGCAGCAATCATAGGCTGGCCAGGAATAATAATCGAATCATAATGACATGCGAGAACCAATCGTCGAGGGGCATGTTCGTCGCTAGTAGCAATTAAATTTCTAAAATTGCGCTTTCCGAAAGGTGTGGTGTCTTGGAAAGCATCCCATTCTATCGCAAATCCTAATTTTGTCATGAAATTCGCAAGATACTTAAAATGTTTTCGAAATATATATTATTATTGCAAATAAGGGTGCTTACGTCTCCGACAGCCCTATGTGAGGGTGTGTCTACAACTCGTGTCACCATTATAGGGTTCAAAATTTCTTGGAATCTCGTGCGGTTGGTGAAATCTCGACATAATCGAAGTGTTGATGATTCAGGGAGTAAGGAGAGTTCATGCTTTCTCTAAAATAATATTGGCTTCGAAAGTCAAAAAGAAAAGGAATATGAGATTATTCAATAATCGGCACCCTTAACACACAAATATGCACATCCAGGGACATATAAAAATAGCTTAGTTGGAAATTATTTTATAACTAAATTCATCGTCATGCAATCACGGAAAATCGGCAATAAAAGGAGCACACCGACACCTTTTCTGAAATTTTTGGCATTTAGCCAATTTTCCGCAGTCGTGCAAAAATCGACAATAAAATATTGAAAGATTGGTTCAAAAAAAAAAGTGTTACCTGATTTGTTCGCCATTGTCCCCAGGCGCTTGTTGAGCATATTAAAATTCCCAAAACGAGCGTTAAACTCATGATTACAAAAATTACCCTCCAATTGTAGCGAATAACCTTAAAAATTTACAATGTAATTTATTTTACTTCGGACTTTCAATGATATTGCGATAAAAACATAATATTGCCCTACTCTCAGTGAAAACTTTCCTTACATTTCTAAGAAGGTAAATACATAGTTCATGGTATAACAATGGAAAAAAAATCAAAGCACGCTCGTGTAAATTACCGTGATTTCGATGTGTAGGTTACTCGAATTATGAAGAACTTCCGATTGACTCTTTAAATATCGCGTTGAAAAAATGCGCTGATACAAAAACCACAAGGCTCTTGCTTTCTTGCTATGGTATTTTCGTGTGACTGCGAGAAATTGATGTAAGGAGGGACACCGCGAGCAAATGTAAGAGGTTTCCCTAGATTTTTTTTTGCATTTAGCCAACATTTCCAGACGCATATTTTCGGTTTCGTTTTTTTTCTCAATGGACTGCAATTATAATTTTAAAAAATATATATATTGTGACTAGAATCTGACCGCAACCGGAGCCAACTTATTTATGTATATTGAAGTGGAGAGGAAATAATATTTATTGCTTCAAATCTGTGAAAGAAAATAAAAATTGGTTTTACTAACAAGATCTCCTAGTTTCATGTTGGTTTCAATTACCCAAAAACACGTCATTTAAGTGTAAATCCAAAAATAAAACCAGCCATCGGCATTTTGAGTAGCATAACTCTATTTATTGGAAAAAAAAGCGAAATGTAGTCCTAATTAATCTAACAACGGGCTTGTCTACATAATTAGAAATAGAGTAAGTTTCTCTCTTGAATTTTATTTTTTTTTTTAATAAAAATTGAATATGTGGAAAATGAATGCATGTGCCAAAAAATGGAAGCGAAAATGAAAAAAAGAAGAGAGAAGAGAAAAAAAATGCAAACAAACTGGACGCATAATAAATTGTTATTCTTTGTGTTTTCTTTATTCATAAAAAGATCGGCAGTTATGAAAATTTGGGGTTGAAAAATAATTTGAAACAAGGAAATCAGATTTCGGAAATACTGAACGACTTATCGAAACAATTCTAAATTGAAAAAAAAATAATTTCCAACTTTAATCGAGTAAGCGTCATCCTAGTTTGAGAGCATTTCTTATATTTTTCTGGGAATATAAATACATTTCCCACTTCCTCAATAGAATCATTTAAAGCAAAGTATGAAAAGAATTGACTTTCGAAAAATGATAACAAATTGAACAATCGAAATGCAAAACGCACAGAATGCATTATTTCTGCTCTGTTTGCACAGTTTGGACACCTGTTTGTAGTGAACAAACCTGACGAATTGCTCAGTTCCCTTTTGTATTTGCATTTCTAAGCATGACTTTCCCGGAAAATGGAAAATTTACGAAAAAATAACACCCGCAATAAAACCTATAAAAATTTCTGATGAACATGACCGGAAATACACAGATCAACTCAAATAGGCGGTTAGTCAAGTGCAACTCAACCAGTTTTTTGTTGCGATTGTTGCAATTTTCAGATTATGACATAAACGACATTCTAGTAGACATTCGTCTACTATTCAAATAACAATAAAACATACCTTCATTTCGGTTTACAAGCGTCGTTTTTCCTATTTTCAAGGCACTTCGATCAATATGTGCGAAATATGCAATATATGAGGGAACGGCTGGATTAATTTTGTATTTGCGCAATATTTTCAAACAGTACGTGGAAAATAATGGAGAGATGCAGAGAAAATCGATGGAATCATCGTTTCTTTCAAATTTTTTTATGATTTTGTGTTTATGTGTGTCATCAAAATATTGCACCACAAAAATCATATTTGGATGATTCCTTAGGAAACCCAGTTTTTCAAAGGCAAAAATGACTGCGAAATATATGTCAAATGTATAACCAAAAGTTACTGTTGTCTTCATTTTCATTTTTCATCAATGTGTGCATGATTATTATTAGCGTACATAGCGCACATAGATAAAAACATGTACATTTCAAAACAGATTCTAGAAGAAATGAATTGAACAACAAAAATGTATTGAAACAGGTTAATGAAAACTTGAACAAGTACCAAAATCCCAGATTTTTTCCAAACGAAATCTATTTTTTTTGTTGAATATAAAAATTCGTCGTATAGAATTAAAAGAAACATTTTCACGTTCATCCCTACAGCTCGCTGATTATTACTCCAATAAATTTCGATCTTACTGAACCAAAAAACCCATACATGTATGTTTTTTAATTTGAATTTTCTAAGAAAAAATTACCGTGTTTTTTTTAAACAATCTTACAGAGCACGAGGTTGAATTTCGGGTTCGCGAAAAATTTTTTTTAAATGAAACCACAGTCAATCTGTTTAGTTATTACGCATTTTGAATAAAAAGAAGTTTTAGAATAGAAAATGAAAGCCAAACACTTTCGGGATTATCAGAACAAAAGCGAAATTGATATCATCAATTTCGGTGATTTGAATTTTCTCTGCGTCTCCGCACCATGTCCCATATACGGAAAAGGTCAATCTTCAAAAGATTAAAGCGTCGAAAGAACGCAACATTTGAAATAATAGACATTGGTGCATCCATTGGATGATTTCTCAACGAGTTTAGTTGAACTAAATGCCCATACGAAAAAAAGTATATAACAGTTATATTAGAATGGACGGAAAAAAAACATCAAAATCAACAAAAATAATATATACCGGCTGAAAGAAAAAGAAACAACAAATCCTAAATAAACTTTTAAAAACAATCTACAAGGCTACGAATATATCTGAAAAGCACAGTGAAAGATCAACTTTGAGAGTTGTTTGTTGGTAATTTTCAAGGCACAAGAGAACAAGCATCGTAATTAAACAATTAACTCAATGAATTCAGAATAATATGTCTTAGACCGATGCATGTCGACGGAAACCGAAAAGTTTTCCAGTGTATCGTTTGATCATTGATTGATCTTCTTGTTGAGCATGTTTTTGAGATTCCTTCAAATTTTTCAAATAATCATTTTTTGATTTGAAATGAATATCATGCCTGTTCAGCCAAATAAATCGCTCTGCGTCTGAATTCCTTTGCTGGATCATCATACTGAGAATAATATTGAATCATTGGCCTAACATCTTCTGGATCACTGAGATGAATTGCTAAAATATACGATAACTATAGAAGATAATTCATAAACAATAACAAACTTTTCAACAATTCTGCCAAATCGACAAGCGATGTGTCATCCATATTTCCCTTCCATTCCGGCACGCGCAACATATTTTCAGGATTAAGTTGTCCAGATTTTGGATCGAAATCGATAAAGATGACTTTCGAAAGATCGCGATTGAGTTTTGAAAGATCTTTGACGTGATGTCCATTCATGTACTTGGTGCAGTCACGGAAAAGCTTGTACATGATTCGCTGTTTCGGGTCGAAACTGTCAACAACTGGCGCGGCGGTCATCATAGACTCTGAAGAGTACACAACGACCTTAATTTTTGATATATGCGAAAATTGATAGGTGTCTAAAAGCGAAAGGAACCTCAAAATTTGGATAGCCAATGACGTCAAGAAAATAATCAAGAGCAGGACGTTTCAAAAATCTGCATTTTTTATAATGTATATTATTCATAAGATGAACTTTTGTACCTGTATCCTGTCTTGTACGTCCATTCTGGATGAACAAGAACATTCTTTATTTCAATGACGATTGTGTATTTTGGCTGGAGATAGGGTGCAGGGAGAGGGTCTGGTAAAAGTTGCTCCCTTGCTGGTTCTACCACATACTGAAAATTAATTTAAACAGAAATTATACACATAAACCCATACGTCTCTCCAAATTTTGAAACTGTTGGCGATTCTGTAGAATGGTGCAAGGATAGAACCTGTGAATTCGTCCTCAATCACGTTGCCGTTCTCATCTCGTTTAGGACGTCCTAGAAGTTAAAGCTTATTAAACTAAGATAAAAGAAAAGGTTCTTCCAATTTTTTTCTCATAAAGAAAAAAGGTCCGTTATGAATTATTAGACATAGTTTTTCACTCACCATAGTAAACACAGAAGGCAATGAGACCAATAATTGAGCTACCAGCAAGAACCATTCCACCGATTCTTGTGTTTCTCTCCATTTTTATACGACGTTTTTCAATTTCTTCAGCTCGAATATTCTATATTAGTTTAAAAATAAACAATAAAAATGACGTAATTCTCACTTCTGAATCATCATTCGAGCCTCCTGAACTGGATGCTGTCCTCGCTGCTGCTGCTTCAAGATGTTCCAACGTATTTTTCAGTTTACTAAAATCGTCTTCTTCTGGTATTTTTTCGGGAAATCGGTCAGGCTTTGAAACATTTTTTTCAGGAGTCACATTCTTTTCGATCAAATCATCTATTTTTTGATAAGAGCTTGAATTGTAGTCTACAGCTTCATTCGTTTCTTCTGCTATTTTCCGGTTTACATAAACACTTCCATTCTGAAATTTAATCATTCATTTAAATCCATATAATATAGCAACTTACATTTTGCGAAATAATAGTCTGTGGAATCGTTCTTGCTGGATCCTTAAATGGATTTGGAACTTTAGGTCCTCCTAATTGCGAACGAAACTCTGAGCTGAAGAATTTGATGAAAACCGCAGCGCGAGGTCGTGATAGGTTCCCTAACTTGCTCAACGACATAGTGTTTACCCTGAAAACAAAATTTAAAAAAAAATTACTATTTTATTGAGAATTAAAGAAGAGTTTCGTATAATTCAATTTATTCTTACGCAATTTTTATATATTTTCAGTATTTTTACTGCACTTGGTTTACATGTTTCCATACAAATGACAAGAAAATGTGAAATAAAAAAAAGACTTAAATTCAACTTCAACTTCAAACCAAAATCGTCATACTGAAAACGTGCAAAATGTGAAAGGACTTTTCCTATGAAAAGAGGATGAGTAGCAAATGAAATACGATAAACAATGGACATCTGTAAAGAATGGAGCATCGTTGCCACATTCAAATTATTAATAATTTATTTAAATTCAAATGTGAAGATTTTCAAATTAATATTCTGTTTGATATACATTTTCATTACAAATAACATTATTCTTGTTTGGAATTTGTCTCTTCGCACTTGCATAGAAATGTGGTTCTCTTTTACGTTTTAGATTTTTGGGTTTTATACCATTTCTCCGTAGGAACACTAAGTAATTTCACCTAACCGAAATTTCTTATGAAAAATTTGTAAACTTTTTAAAAATAAAATTCTAGTTATGTATTTAGGTTAAAATTGAAAAATATATATGATGTGTATTACTATTACTATTAATTATTACACATGCCTCTTCGCAGTTATTGTGAAAATTATTGAATTCAAAAGCGGTTACTTCAAAAAGAAATTAATCTAGCACATTTCAGCTTTAAGCCATGTCAACTTTTTATGCAGAAGCCTACTTGATATCGTTATCACTGCTTTTGGGAAGTCGGCGTGATCAATGAGAATAGGCGGCAAAAATGCCCACATGCTCACAGGTCTACGCGATTTTTGTCACCTCGGCGCAATGTAAAAAGGCTTCCGACGTTGTCACCTATCAAGAAGGTGTCAACACTTGCCATGCACAACTCCACCTTCTTCATTAGGGGCGTTCCCAATTTGGCACGTCTGAATCGGTATAAATAGGAGTCTCAGAGCCAGTTTAGTTATCAAGTCAATCAACATGTCGTCTTGCTCACTTCCATCAATCTACACCACCCCGGTCAAGAAGTACTCTATTCCTGACGCTGAAGCTTCGTACTTCTACATTCCACCATGCCAGAAGTCGTTCACTTCGAAAAAGGTATAATTTTTTTATATTTTTTTAATAACTTATATGTATTTTCGTTCAGCCAATGATGATTGATGCTCGAAATTTGACGGAAATCGATTCAAAAATTGATATCGAATGGGTTCCACACACCACGAAGAGCGCTCTGATGTATCTCGCTGTCGCTGTTTCCTTCATTACCTACTACGCAGCCTGTTTTCTTAAACAATATGGAAACTATAGATTAAGATCAGAGGACGGATGGCTAGGTAAGTAGTTATCTCAGTGCGATAGAAAATAATTTATATAATTTTAGAACAAGCTTGCTTGATTCGTGTTACAATGATTCAGTGGCTCGTTGTTATGACTCTTCTCATCGCTGGTCTCGTCGCCTACCGTCGTGTGCTGATGCCGATCTACATCTTTCTCGCTGTAATTGCCACCAATGGAACGCTGGTAATCTTCATCGTTCGCTTCAAATCCTACATGGACGGTCGAATTCCAATTCGTAAGTGTTATAATAAATATTTCTGTTAGTAATCTAATTATATTTCAGATGACATTACCTTGAATCTTCTTGGAGTTCTACTTTTCGTTGCCATTGTTCATGACATCGTCTACCTGTATGCAATGCATCTTCATCTTGTCAAGAAGCAGTTCAATTTCAATCGTTCACAACGTCTTCGCAAATCCAACCAATATTCGACAATCAGTACTGGATACAATTTCAAAATTCACGAACCCTCTTATTTTGTTTAATTTAATATTTATATTATTATTACTATATTGTGTCATTTATACCGGTTTGTATTTGTATTTTAGTATTATGTGCATAATAAACATTAATAACGAGAATGTGTTATTTGACACTTTAGTGATGAAAACATGATGGGCTGCGCATGGACAATGTTTTAGCACATTATTGTCATTATGTAGGAATGCGCACAACCTACGAAGACAATAGCGGCCTCAAAACGTATAGTATAAGACAAAACTTTTATTTGGATTTTTTCAATATTATTCAAGAATTCATTTATTTGAACTTTAGCGTATAATAAGTGCTGCGGTATAATATTTGGAATGATTATTGCAATTATTGAACACACGGAAGGTTTAGATTTTTCAAATGAATTTGGCATTCCGAGTTGAAATCTTTTCCCAACTTCATCCAAGCAGCTCGCTGTTCATCATTGAAGCAGCCAACCGACTCCAAGTAACCGGTCCACACAGACCAGAAAGCCTAAAATTCATATATGTATAGAACCGATTAATTTTTCTCTCGAATAAAACATACATCCCATAGAGCCGGATCCATCTTGAATTGTCGATGGCGATTCACAGTCTCGCGAACGTAAGCTTTGAACACTTCGTCATTGTCATAAACATTGGCACACAAATGGCATGCCAATAAGAGACGTTGTCCTTGTTTCTCAAATCTATAAGCTTTCTAGATAATTAGTTAAATTTTTCTCGAAAATTAATAAAAATCATGTAAATAGTTGAAATATCGGTTAGTACTTGCCTGTCGCTCTTCTTAACATCTTCGGCTGTGTATTTCTCAGCTCCTTTGAAGTAGACACGCAAATCGGGGAAGTTGGTAAAAATGCTGAAAAAAAAAGGAAATTAATTTGGAAAAATGGGATTAAAACTAACTATTGGTAGAAACCGTTTCCATTTTCAATGTTTTTGGGTTCGGTTCCAACCATTAGATCTTTAAGAGATTCAACACAAAGGTCTCGGGCTTTCGAACGATCCATGGCGAACGACTGCAAAATTTTGAGAAGTTTGTGAGTAAAAATGCGAATAAAATCGTTCTGGCCTTGATTTTATGGCGACATTCGAAACTAACACTGTATAAATAATGACAGCAAGTAAACAATTATACCTCATTCGATCAAAGATTTAAAAATGAAACGAGCAAAACATTTTGAATAACATGAATTGAAACGACAAATAAATGAACTGGAAACCGCAATTCCTCGATGCGCACTTTTTTTTCAATTGGAAATCGAAGATCACATCGAAAACTTTTTGAATGCAACTATTTGAGGACGTCCTTCCTTATATAGCCACAACTTTAATTTAATTTTAATTATTGCGGTACTTAGCGGGACGCTGTAAACATTTTACGACTTCACTCAAGCACTCTTCAGTTCGTTGAATGAAAAAATGAAACTTCAAACTTTGACCGCAAAAGATTAATTACTCAGTACTCAGCAATACGAACCGAGTTTTTTGTTGTTTTGGTTGAACCTAAAAAAAAAAACCGCAAAAAACACACGAGTCCCCCGAGAGCCAGGTGCCAGAGGAACCTAGGGCGGTACTCTCATAGTTTCATTTTCTCTTGTTTTCTTAAAAAAAAGGGGGTGGGGCTCCGGCTCAAACGGGAATGACGAAAATAGGCAAAATTCTAGGCGCACACTATGGCCGAACTACTATGTATTAGAGTAAAAATGGTTAACCAATTATTCCGTTTAGCCTGTGAAGCAATGTTGATAAACAAGGGTAATCATCAAAGTGGTCGAACAAATGTCGGCGGCATTAACGTTGACTGTTAGTATTAAAAGCATTTGGGACTCAGCGACAGCCCAGTTGTTCGTTGTTTCGTCCTTTCTATTTTTTACCAAAACTGTAGCGACTTCATGCCGCAACAAAAATGAACGGCGGTTCGTACTGAATTACTGAGTGCATGAAAAGCTTAGAATTCATACGTTAATAGTTTGCCATTCGAATGTTTCCTATTACAATAATATATTTCTAAAAAACGTTTCCGGAAATTTTGTTCAGTTTCTAAAATTCAGTTTTTTTTTTATTAAATGTCAAAAACGTTTTTTTTTCGTAAGGAAATCGTGCATTTCATTTTAAAAAAGTGAAATATATTTATTATGAAAAGCAATAAGGAACAAGCGAACAAATGAAGCGGAAATCCTCTATATACAACAAATGAAAAAAAAAAGAATAAGAATGTAAAGCTAAAAATTCGACTAAGAATAGAATGAAAGTGATTCTGTTGTTTTTTTTTGCGTTCAGAAATACATAAAAATTGACCGTATGAAATCAGAAACAAATTAGTTGTCTTGCTTTGAATGGCGTTTCTAGAAATAATTTAGTGTGTTACCACGAAATCGTCAAAAGAAACTGAGAATATTTAATGAAATAAAAGTAGAACAATTTGAGTGAACACGTGATAGAGTTGAGCCGTCAATTGTTGCTGGCAGTGAGCATTCATCGACCTGAAATTTCGAAAATATTTCAAGGGAGTGGAGTTAGAAGGGAAATTGGAGAGTTTTAGCGCATTCCGTGTTTGGGCGCAGTGCAAAGATAATCGAGGAGTAAATAGAAATTAAGCCAAGCCTGTACGGAGAAATTTTTAGAATCGTAGAGGTGGGAAAGCTGCATAGTGTTTCAGTGTTTCTTTTCTTTTTTTTTGAAATTTTTGATTGGTATCAGCAGGTATCAAATATCTATTGATACGCACTAAGATTGAGACGAGCTTGCGATGTTGCGGCGCCCTTGTCGTTCCTAATGATGATTTGATATTCGCCTGCGCTTTCGATCTTGACTCGAGCAAGCTCAAGGATTGCAAGTTTTCCATTCCGCGATATCTTGAATAAGTAATATTAGATTAATCCCTTCGTATTCGTTTTTACCTTAATATCTTTGGATGCTGCAATTGGTTTTCCGTTGAATTGCCACTGGACTGTTGGTTCCGGATTGCCGTCAACCTCAGCAGTAAACTTGACAGTGTGTCCTTGTCTAGCAGAAATATCTGTTAGTTTGGCAACAAAATGCGGAGCGTCTGCAGCCGGTGCGGATGACGAAGATCCACCGCGCGTTATCGTCGTTTTGGCGACTTTGCCGGATCTTGGCGATAGGAGAAGGTTGGCAACTGAGGAAGCTTTTCCTGCTGGATTGCTTGCTTCCACTCGGTATTCGGCGACATCCTCATTTTTAGCACCGCTAATTTTCAAGATAGCCTCATCTTTGGTTTGAGAAATTTGGTAGCCATCCGCATGTTTTACTGGTTCATTATTTCTGTACCACCGGATTGTTGGCTCAGGGAATCCAGAAAATTTAGCCGAGAACTGCGCCGATTTGCCTTCATCCACGACGATTGGCTGGATTTGTGTCGTGAACTTGGGCGCCTCATATTTCGGCCCCTCTTCAACACCTTTTCCAGTCTTTTGGAGATTGACGTTTAGTCTAGCCTTGCATCGGGCCTCACCGGCAGGATTTTTGGCAACAATCTCGTACACACCCGCATCAGTTGAGAGAACATTCGCGAATTTCAGTTTAAATACTCCGTTTTCTTCGACAACCGTGAATCGATCATCATTTGGCAGTGGTTGTCCATCCTTGAACCATTGGACGGTCGGCTTCTGTTCGGCATTGATTTGGCAACTGAATTCAGCCGGGCCATTCTGTTGAATCCTCAGATCGGCTATTCGGGAAGTAAATGTTGGCGCAGTTCCGTGGCTAGTTGGAGCATTCACTGTCAGGTTGGCGAGTGATTCAACTGTACCGGCCACATTCTCTAGTCGCACACAGTATTCTCCGGAATGACTATTCTCCAATTTTGCAATATTTAAGCTCGAGCTAGTAGCGGTGGTGGTAATCTGAAAAAAAAACGTTTATATCCTTATTCATGTGTTCATAAACTAACCTGAGATCTGAATGTGCTCTTGATTTCTTTTCCTTCCTTGAACCAGGTGACTTTCATTGGAGCAGCTCCAGTGAACTCAATCGTGAACTTGGCAGATTTTCCGGCTTCACCTTGCAGCGGTTTAAGCTGCTGAACAAGAGCTGGCGGAGCTTGTTTCGACTGTCCGACCTTCTTGGGTTGTGGCTAAACAGAGACAATTAAAGGATGTCAAACGAACTGTTTCATTATTTGTTATTTCAATCAGTTAGCAAACCCGAATCATGTGAAATCCAACTGTTCGTTCCCGATTATGTGAACTGTAGCGATAGGTGAATTGTTCGGAAGAAATGCCACTCTATAATGCAAACCGTGCTTGTCAAAAAAGTCATTCACTCAATTCAAGACAAACATTGTAATGCGAAGTTGATTCCATTTGATATGACATGCATTCATAATCCGAAACAAAGTTAACACTCTGAAATTCAGTTCAATTCAGTTATAAATCTCAAGTTGAGGTACCTTGTTAGAACATTCTTCAACAACACGTTAGTTAAAGGGAAATTATTTGCTGAATATTTAACCTTGGTGCTGATTCGAGTTTCTTCAATTGCTGGTTTAACGACCGCTGGTGTTTGCTTCAAATCTTTCTCGCGTTCAACAACAAAGTGTTCTCCTTTTGGTCCAGCCTTCGGCAATTGTTGTTGCTAAAAATCAGTTAAGTGCTAGGTGCGAGGGGGTAATATTTGAAGGATATGGGGGACCATTGCCATGTGTCAACTGAAGCCCTTACCTTAAGCTGAACTTGATCCTTATGCACAGTGATTTCTTCTTTCGGTTGTTCTGGCTTCATCGCGATTTCTTTGATCATGGCTTTATCAGCATTGAGTTTGACTTTCTCTCCGCTTTCAACAAGTTTTCCTGTAGTTGGCTTAGCGATCTTCAATTTTACTTGATCTCTCGCTGGCACATTAAGCTCGGGTTCAGGTTCTGGTAGCTTCTTGAATTTGTTTTCAGCGACTCCTGGCAACTTCGGAATTCCATCTGGGGCCCATTCTGGCTTTTCTTGAGGGATTTCCTTGGCATCTTTTTCTTCGACTGGCCGAAGACTGACCTTTTCCATTTCTTCAACTGGTGGCTCATACTTTTCAATTTTTCCAGCCTTCAAGCTAACAGGCTCAAGCTCCATTCCTTTGAACTGTGGCTTTTGAATCTCAACATACGAAAGCTTTTCGTAGAAATTGTCATCACGAGGACGGGTGAACTTCTGAATGAGTTCTTCCGTTTCCAGTGGTTCGATTGGACTATGCGAACGTTCGACGTGCATGAGCTTCTGTGCATCTGGTTTTGGGGCAGTTTCAAATGCTTCACCAAGGGATCCAAGCGTCTCCTTCTGCCATTGTAATTCACGAGATCTCAACTCCTCAGATGTCTTGAAGGTTGTTGGCTTCAGTTTGGTTTGCCTGAAGTCATCCTTCTGGAAGATATCCAAAGTCGCGCTTGATAGAGATTCTCCTTCCGTGTTCGTCGCAATTGCTACGACTTCTCCTGCGTCAGAAATTCTACATTTACTGATTGTTAGGTAGTGCAGGCCGTCGTAGCTGAGCTTGTAACGGTGTCCGTGAAGGGCTTGATTGCCATTAATGAACCAAGTCACCTTCGGTCTTGGATAGCCCGTAACAGCACATTCAAATCGAGCAGGTTCGTTTTCAGTAACTTGCAAGTTTCTGACGGGGATAGTAAACTGTGGAGATTGTTTCTCCTTGGGCTGCTGCGCGACGGCTTGCTGCGACCAGTACATGTTCGTCTGATCATTTTTGACATTCGAAACTCGCAATCCTTGCGGCATCTGGCTATCGGTGATAACGTTGGATGTTCCTTGACAAGCAAGCTTCGCACTGATCATCGATTGACCGTACTTGTTGGTCGCAACGCAAGTGTATTCTCCAGTATCATCTGGCAAGGCATAAAGAACATCGAGAGATACGAATCCAAAATCGTGTGTGGACTTGAACCGGCGACCAAGGAGAACGGGCTTCTGGTCTTTGTACCATTCAATCTTCATATACGGATCGTTGATCGGGATGACTTGGGTTTCAAATCTACAGAAATCGCCTTCAAGCACACCAATATTCTGCAATTGTGTCTTGAATTCAGGAGCCTTCTTGTCGACTTCATTGTAGATGTCATTTGCAGTTAACTCGATCTTAGCAGTTGAATATTGTTTGAAGTGGGATTCAATAATATCTTGCTGATTTCCATGGGTTTGAGAAGTGTAATCCAAGGATGGTCTTGGCAGAACAACAAGTTTCGTCTTTGTTCTTGCTTCGCCTTTGTCATTAGTAACGACAAGTTCGTAATCTCCGTTATCTTCTGGGTAAGCATACAAGATATCTAAGCTGACAAAACCGAATTCGACGACTGAGCGGTATCGACTGGCATCAGACAATGGTTGTCCGTTACGAAGCCAATGAACTTGAAGACGAGGATCGTTGATTGGAGTGAAGCGGCATTCGAGATGAATCGAGTCGCCTTCCAAAGTATTCTCGACACTGTCAACCAACGGTTGGATGATTTGAGGAACATTTGTCTCAGTAAGCGATTCGACAGTAATGTGTCCAGTAGTGGTTGCCGTTCCTTTGGCATTGGTAGCAATGCACTTGTACTCTCCGGCATCAGCAGCGATGAGATGCTTGATGAGTAATGTCGCGACACCGAACTCGTTCGTGCATGAGATTCTGTTGGAATACGGGATTGGTCGTCCGTTGTGCTCCCATTTCACTCTCAAAGTCGGATCACCAATTGGATCCAGAACACAAACAAATGCGGTCGCATCAGTTTCATTGAGTTGCCCAAGATCGGTAAGCTCTTGTGAGAATGATGGTGCTGGATAATCAACGGCAAGCTCATTGAGCTCTTCCTTTGGTCTATGAATCCAGTCTTCAAGTTCAATAATTCTTTCCTTCTGCTGACCAACACTCTGCCATTCATATGAGATTCCTCCAGTTCCGAACACCTTGATATCTGTGCTAACTTCATCGCTTCCTTCGTCGTTTGTGGCACGGCATGTCCAAGTTCCAGAGTCTTGCGGCTCAGCCGGTGAAAGTTCCAACACAACAAAGCCGAAATCATGAATAACCTTCATTCTGTTAGAATGAGCCACTGGCTGACCGTTGTGGAACCATTCAATCTTGAGACGAGGATCAGAAACTGGAGTGACTTGACATTCCAAATGGGCTTGCTCGCTTTCTTGTAGTTCATTTGGTCCGACGAGAGCAGTTGTGAACTTTGGTGGTCCATGTTTGACATCGGCTGCGTCATCCGGCTTGTATTTTGGAGCCTCGATTTCGGCAATCTTCGCTCCGGCATTGGCCATTCTTTCTGGCAATTGGGTCGTTCCGATGATTCCTTCTTTGGCAGCGCAAGTGAGACTGGTGGAAGTGGTTGCTTCTCCGATGCGATTCACAGCACGGCAAGTGTATTCACCACTATCTTCTGGGTATACAGGGCTGATTTCCAAAACAATGGTTCCAAAATTATTGATAGTTTTGATGCGACTTCCAGTTTTGAGCGGTTTTCCATCATGATACCATTGAATGTAGAGGTTGTTGTCATTGATTGGCTCGTATCTTGCTGTGAAATGCGCTCTCTTTCCTTCTTCTGTGTCGATTGGTGCTGAAAGCGGTTCAATGAACACTGGCATAGCTTCTTTCAGCTCTTGTTCAATCTCTTCTGGCCGCTTCTTCAAGTTGTCTTCAAGAACTTCGATGGCCTTCGCCTTTTGGTCGTTCTGTGGATGCAAGATCAATCCGCTCTTTTCTTCAACGTTGAAACTTGTTGAAGTGGAAGCTGTTCCAGATGCATTTGAAACGTGAAGAGTGTACTCTCCAATGTCGTGCTTCATCAAATGGAGAATGTCAAGAACGGCGAAACCGAAATCTTGAACCATTTTGTAGCGATTTGAATTCAAAATTGGTTGGCCATTTCTGAGCCATTCGCATCGTAATGTTGGGTCAGCGGCTGGAGTGAATTGGGCTTGAAGATGAGCACTTCCTCCTTCTTCCAACAATCCTTGCACTTGAAGTTCAGAGACAATGACTGGGGCTTCGAATTGCTGTTCGGGCAGTGGCTCTGGCACAGGCTTTCCTGCTTCAATCTTCTGAATGTGGCTCAGAGATTGTGGCTGAAGAGAATCTTGAAGAATTCCATCACGACCTTCAACATTCAATGTTGCTGATGATTCTGCTTCTCCAGCGGCGTTCTTGACAATACACTTCCACTCTCCGGAATCTCGAGTATCGACTTGTCCAATATCCATGATAATCCATCCAAAGTCATTGATCATCTTTATGCGAGAAGAGGCGGCAATCGGTTGTCCGTTCAAGTACCATGTCACAGTAAGTGTCGGATCATCAACTGGTTCGATTGTAGCTTCGAAATGAGCTGGTTGATTCTCGACCAGTTGACCAACACAGCTGATAGGCTGAATGAACCGTGGTGGTCCTTTTGGCTCTGGATCAGCTTCTTCAAGTTTGGGTTTAGCTGCTTCAATCTCTTGTATTCTCTTCCAGCTTTCTTGATGTTGAACGTCTCCAATAATCGAGTCTTTTCCTTGACATTTGAGCGTAGCAGACGACACAGCTTCACCGTCGGGATTCCAAATCCTCAATTGATAAATTCCAGCATCTTCAGGGAACGTGTATGCAATATCAAGACTGCAAATTCCAAAGTCTTGCTGAATTGCGTACTTGGAGCCGTGAGAAAGTGGAACTCCGTTGCGGATCCATTGAACCTGTAACATGTGCTGATTTATGCAAACAAATTCTTATTACCTGAAGTCTTGGATCGTTGACAGGAACAATGTGCGCTTCAAATCTGATGTGATCTCCCTCGACGCACTCCTTGTCTTCAATTTGAGTAGTGATCGCTGGATGATCGTACGTTGGAGCAGGAGCCTCCGGTTCTGGGGCCTTTGGTGCTTCCAAATCTTGAATTCTTTTCCACGATTCTTCATGACGTGTCGCATCAAGAATTGGACCAGTTCCGGCAACTTTGACGGATGCCGTTGAAACTGCTTCTCCTTGGCTGTTCGAAATAGTCAAGGTATACAATCCATTGTGATCTTCATTGACAGAAAGAATATCCAGCGTAGCCCATCCAAGTTCATGACGGGTTTGAACCAATTGCGATGCTTGCAAGAGTTGATCGTTCTTTTTCCAAACAACTTTAAGTTCAGGATCTCTTGCTGGCTGGAAGGTTGCCTCAAGATGCAGTGGGATTCCTTCTTCGACATTTTCAGCGGATTCAAGCTGAGTGAGGAAGTGTGGCTTCTCAGTTTCAATGACTTCTTCGATTTCTTCCACAATCTTGGGCGCTTCCAATTCTTGAATTTTTTGCCAAGAAACAGGATGATGGGAATTGTAAAGGATCTTCTCGTATCCGGCTGTTGTGACGGTGGAAGACGTTGAAGCATCCCCATGGAGATTGTAGGCACGGCAAGTGTAGACACCAGAGTCGTGAGGAAGAACATGAACAATAGTCAAGATAGCGTTTCCAAATTCATATTCTTGTCTGAATCGGTTAGCATTCATCAATGGAGTTCCGTTCAAAAGCCATTCAATCTTCATATTGGGATCTCCAGATGGTTCAACCAAACCGTGAAGAGTGACCGATTGTCCTTCTCCAACTTGATCAAAGTTTTCGAAGCCTTGAAGCCAGTAAGGCTTTTCGTAGGTTCGTTCTGGAGCTTCCAAGCGAGCATTCTTGTCGATTGCCTCAAGTTCTTGAATTTTCTGGAGAGAAGCTGGATGAGCAGTGTCAAGAAGGAGTCCATCAGATCCTTGAACAGTGATTGATGCCGATGTCGTAGCGTTTCCGTAATCGTTCCAAGCTTTGCATAAGTATATTCCACTGTGTCTCGCATAAACCGGAGAAATTCTCAAAGATACACATCCAAAGTCATTGCTTGTCGAAATCCAATTGGACTCCATCAATGGCTGATCATTGTAGAACCATTGGACCTTGAGATTTGGATCGTTCACCGGTGTAAGGCGAGCTTCGAGAATTGCTGAGGCTCCCTCTGGAAGGTCAGCAATTGACTGCAACGATTGAACGAAAGATGGCTTTTCAAACACTGGTCCTTCTGGTTCTGGTGCTCTTGAACGTGGTGCTTCGATCTCTTGAATTCTCTTCCATGATTGCTCATGTTGGGTTCCGTCTAGAATGCCAGCACGAGAAGTGCAACCCAAGCTTGCAGTTGATCGGTCTTCACCTTCAGAGTTCTTGACGACAACAGTGTATTCTCCGTTGTCCTCTCCCAATGTATACTGAAGGTCGAGCGAAGCAAGGCCGAAATCGTTTCGAAGAATACGTCTTGAAGAAGCAGTCAATGGTGTCCCGTTCAAATACCATTGAACGACAGTATTTGGATCAGTGAATGGAATGAATTGCGCTTCGAAGTGCGATGGTTGTCCTTCAACAACGTCGGCGAGGCTTTGCAATTGAGTAACGAACTTGGGTGGGCCATGCTTGATATCTGGGGCCTCCTCTCCTGGCTTCCGGGCAGCTTCGATGAATTGAATCTTCTGCCAGGACTGTTCATTTTGTGTGTCACTAAGAATTGATGCGTTTCCATGAACAGTGAGTTGACCTTGCACTTCTGCTTCTCCTTTGACGTTCCAGGCCTTGATCGAATATACTCCAGAGTCTTCAGGAACCGTATGTGAGATGTCAAGAGCAATGTATCCAAACTCAGAAGTGAGTTTGAATCTGTTGCTATTGGCAAGTGGTTGTCCGTCCTTGAACCATTGAATACGAAGTTTAGGATCGTTTTGTGGTATGACTTTGCTATGGAAGTGAACTGATTGGAACTCAATTCTTTCAATGTTATCAAGTGGTTCGATAAACTGCGGAGCATCGAATTCGGCATCTGGATGCTCTGGAGCTGGAGCGCTTGGGGCTTCAAGTTGCTGAATTTTTTGCCAACTTTCTGGATGTTGCGAATCGGTGTAAATAGTTCCACGTGGAATGATGTTCAATGAAGTGGACGTGACAGCTTCGCCAACACGATTTCTAGCGACACACGACCATTCTCCGATATCCTGAACGAATGCGTAGAGAATGTCCAAAGACACATAGCCGAAATCGTAAGTGGTCTTGAAGCGATGCCCATTGGCCAATGGTTGTCCATTGTGATACCATTGCACTGTAAGCTCATTATCGTTCGTGGGTTCTACTTGACATTCAAGATGGATTGGGGCACCCTCGTTGATTTCGGCAGATGATGATGAAAGTGGAACGACAAAGTTCGGCGCGACTTTCTCGGCGTCTTCATAAACTTTTTCAACTTTTGGTCGGTTCTCGATTTCCTTCACACGATTCCATGATTTTTCGTGCATGGTGTCGAGAAGAAGAGATTGAGTGGCTGCGCAATTAACAGTGCATGTAGTCGCAGCTTCGCCACTTGCAGAAATCGCGTGGCACTTGTAGACTCCAGAATCTTCTCCATATAAAGCAAGAATATCAAGACTGACGACATCAAAGTTTCGAGCTGGCATGAATCGTGAGCCTTCCGGCAATTTTTGGTCGTTCCTTGTCCATGTAACAATCATTGACGGATCGTTGACTGGAATGAGTCGAGCTTCAAGGCGCAATGTTTGACCCTCAATCGCATCAGTTTGGTCGACGAGTTGCTCGGTGAATGTTGGCGGTTCGAAGATAATTTCTGGAGTTGGTTCACGTTCATCGACGCGATTCTCGATTTCTTGAATCTTCTGCCATGACGAGTCGTGATGAGTGTTCAAGTAGATGTTGCGTCTGGCTCTGCAGTCAATTCTGATCGAAGTTTCTGCTTGTCCAACAATATTCGTTGCACGACATGTGTAGACTCCAGTATCCTCCGGATGAATGTGCAAGAACTCAAGCCCAACATATCCGAAGTCGTGAATAGTGCGGATACGAGATCCGAACATGAGAGGTTGACCATCTCGGAACCACTCGATCTTCAAAGTTGGATCATTGATCGGTTGAACCACACAATCCATGTGAACTGATTGACCTTCTTTCAACTGATCGCTTGGGCCAGTGAGTGGCTGAGTGAACACAGGAGGCTGCATTGGCGCATCATCATCAGATGGTTTCGCTGGTTGAAATTGTTCCATCTCAATGATTTTTTTCAACGACTCTGGATGAGCAGTATCGGAAAGAATCGATTTCAATGGGATGACTTCGAATTCGCACGAGGTTTCGGCACGGCCAACAGAGTTGTACACAGCCAATGTGTATTTGCCGGCATCTTCAACATTAATGTAGTCGATGTCAAGAGAGACAAATCCGAAGTCGCAGAGGGCGCGGTATCTGCTCGAAGCCTTCAGTGGCTGTCCATTGAACAACCATTCATACTGAAAATTGAAATTGATGGTAGTTGTAGGTAAGTTTCAAACGCCTAAATACCTTCATCGTGTTGTCATCAATCGGAGAAATTTGAGCTTCGAGATGCAATGTCTGCGATTCGTGAACTGCGTCAATTTTGTCTGGAAGACTGCGCAAAATCTGTGGCATCTCCTTTTCCTTCTCAGGCAATGGTTCGGCACGCTGGTACGGAGTCTCAAGTTCAGCGATACGTTGCAACGAATTCGGATGGAATGAGTCGGTGAGATTGCCGCTCAAATAGCCGCAATTTATTTCGGTTGACGATTGAGCCTCGCCAGTCGAATTTCTAAAAAAAAACATTCATGTATCAATGTGTAACTGATGGCTTTCATTCAACCTCACAACAAGAGTGTAGATTCCATTATCTTCTGGATAACAATACAAAATGTTCAATGCAATGTATCCGAAATCTTGCGAGAGGACGAAACGATGAGCCTTGATCAAAGGTTGACCATTGACCAGCCATTCGTACTTGAAACGAAAATTTAGATTCGGAATAAAATTCAAGTCACTAACTGTCAATGTATTGTCGTCAGTAGGTGTAACCTGAGCTTCAAGGTAAACATTTTCTCCTTCCATACACTGAATTGGTGGACCCAATGGTTTCACGAATTGCGGTGCCTTAATACAACAAAATTAACATAAGGTAATTAATTAGTTTGAATTATATCTCACTTGTTTCGGCAATTCGGGAACTTCTTGTGGGGCCGGTTTGGCAGCTTCGATTTCTTGAATTCGCGCATAACTCTTCGGATGTTGCACTCCTCCGATGATGGCTTCTTTTGCTAAACGTGATCCATATCTATCAGAATTTGATCTATTTGTTCCTATCGATTTTGCCGGTCCATATGAAACGCCAAATACAAATGGTTGACTCATTGAATAGTATAATAATATTTCTAATTCAGAAAAACAAATTGGCGTTGAAATAGCGAAAGAACACAGTTAGGCAAATAATTCATTAGCTGATGGTTGCGACGCGCACGGCGTGCAAGCAACATAAGCTTTAAGTTCAACAACTTACGTGTACACCGAATGCTCGCCGAAGTCTCATCGGCACCGAGGGCGTTTTCGGCGCGACATGTGTATGTGCCGACGTCGTGGGCGTAAAATCCAATAATATCCAACGAGACAAAACCGAAATCATAGAAGGTACGGAAACGATGACCGTGTGGAATTGGTTGACCGTCACGTAACCATGTAACATTGAGAGTTCCATCGTTAATTGGAGACACTTGGCATTCCAAATGCACTGGTTCACCTTCATCGATCTCACCAAGATCTTCGGGAAGTCGGTTGACAAAGGTCGGTGGGCCTTCAGGACCGTGCTCTTCAATGTCACTTCGAGCATATTTGTTCATATTTTCCAAGTTTGAAATTTTGTTGAGTGATTCTTCGTGATGCGTATCCGAAAGAATTTGCCCAGATGCTGAAAATTTCGACATATTTTATCTCTACATGCACTCGGCATTATTTTTTACGTTGAACAGTAACAACACATTGCCGAATAGCCTCTCCAAGAAGGTTTGAAGCTTTAATTGAGTATGTTCCAGAATCTTCCGGAATAGCCGACTTGATGTCAAGAGCGATAAAGCCGAACTCATTGAGAGTCTTGATGCGACTTCCCGTCATGATCGGTCTTCCGTTGATGTACCATTCGATGACCATGCTTGGATCATTGATTGGTGTTACACGAAGATCCAAATGGATGTTGTCATATTCGTTGATGGTAATATCGTCAATGTCATTAAGGAACTTCGGAGCGGCATCGCAAGTGCGGTCATCAACTTCAGCGATTCCACGGCGACGATCTTGTTCAAGCTCCTGAAAATGGTATTGCCAAAAATCCGGGGCTGAAGAGTTTTTGTTTGAAATCATATCACGGGATCAGTGTTCACGAGTAAATACAAATTGAAAATTTGAAGTGATGTTTAAGCATCAGAAAATTACCTGAATTCGTGCAAGTCCTCCTGGATGATGGGGTTCAAGATAAAGAACCTTTTCGTTACCAACCACAAGTTCAACATTACTTTGAGCTTCACCGAGCTCATTTCTTGCGACCAATGTGTAGATTCCAGAATCTTCTGGATACGCATAGAGGAGATCCAAAGCGACATATCCGAAATCGAACATTGGACGGAATCGATGAGCAGCAGGAAGTGGTTTTCCGTTGTGATACCATTCGACTGTCATCTTCACATCATTGGCCGGTTGGATTCGAGCTTCGAAGTGAACTGGCTCATTTTCCATGACTTCAATGCGATTCGTAAGCTCTCTGGCGAACTTCGGAGCTTCGAGTGAATGGAATTCCTCTGGTCGCTCCACTGATTGCGGTCCGATGTGCACTTGATGACTATCGAGATATCCAATAATGGGCAAGCTGTCGGTGTGTTTGCTGTCTAATTGAAGAGAATCCACCCAGACAGTTGTAAGCTCTGCTGAACTTTGAGCTTGGCCACTAGCGTTGAAAAGAACGCAAGTGTAGACGCCAGCGTCTTCTGGATAAGTTGGATGAAGTGATAAGGATACGACACCAAAATTGTGTGATAACTGAATTCTGTTCGCATTTGGCAATGGTTGGCCGTTTTTGAGCCATGAGACACGTAATGACGGATCATTGATTGGTTGAATTCGCGCTTCGAAGAACGATCTTCCGAGCTCCTGATCGCAGTGGAATGATTGCAATTGGGTCAAGAACTTTGGGGTTAGATCGACCGATGAGTAAGAATATTGAATTTCGCGAACATCGTCGATATCATAAGCTCGATTGGTTCCAAATTGTTGCATATCGACTTTCGCTTAAATATTTGAATTGAAATAATTATGTAGAACTTCTACTTATATGCAGACTTACGATGAACAATCACAGTTGCCTGATTTTCGGCTTCTCCAAGTTCATTGATAGCTTTGCAAGTGTAGTATCCACTGTCTTCTTTGGTGACTTGCGAGATATCAAGAGTTGCGAATCCATTGGCAAATGTTTGACGGTATCGTTCGTCTAAAAGTCGAAATTGCAATCAAGAGCGGTTGAAATTACAAATTGCAAAAACATACTGTTAACAAGTTCGCGACCGTTGAGATACCAAATAACCTGAAGTTTTGGATCGTTGAATGGTGTTAGCTTCACTTCTAAATGAATCGATTGACCCTCAAATACTTCCTGACTACGAAGATCAGAATGAAAATTGGGAAGGTCAAGCTGAACACCAGCTGGTGCATGGGCCACTTTAGATTGGTAGGTGGTTCCAAAGCTGCTGCCATCTTGCTGGAAGAATGTTCCGTGTCCGATAACAGCGATGTTACTCGAGGTTCGGGATTCACCCAATGGGTTGACGGCAACAACAGTATACTCTCCTTGATCAAAAACAGTAACTGGGTTGATTTGAAGGGTTGCAATTCCAAAATCAACGCTTGTCGAAACACGGGAAGAAGCGAGAATTGCTTTTCCGTTGAGTAGCCAAGCAATTCTGAGGTTCGGGTCATCAGACGGTGTGTATTTGATCTCAAGCTTGGCAGATTGGCCTTCAATCAGTTGTTGGTTTTGAAGACTTCCGACAAAGTTCGGTGCGGACTTCGATGCCGACACATCTTGGAGCATGTTCACAGGGGTACGGGATCTTTCCACTTTTTCAGTCTTGCGAAGTGTGATCATTTCGCGATGCGCTGGTCCGGGGAACTTCTGTCGCGACTGAACAACCACACGACCTTTGAGAGTCGTCGTACCGTGTTTGTTCGATGCATCACAACGATACCACCCGCCATCTTGAAGCGTTGCTCCATTGATGGAAAGTGTGGTTTCGTTTCCCTTGACTTCCACAACGAAATTTCCTCCGGTGCTGATTGGTTCGTTGTCTTTGTACCACTTGAAAGTCACACCTTCTCCAGAACATTTACAGTAGAGCTTAACGGAATCTCCATCATAAAGGGTGGTTGACTGGAATTTTCCAACGAATTCTGGAGCTTCTGGAGACTTTGCTTCTGAAAAAATGAAACACTAGATCACATTATATACACACCTTAAAATTATTGTAATTTTTTCGAAATGATACATTTCAGATCTCGGCCTCAATATTTCAAATATTGTCAAATATTTATACAGATTTTGGAAAAATCCCGAAAAACTGGTTTAAACTAGTTTTTCAGCATAATCTGCGTAGGGTTTTGAAGATTTTTAATGTTTTTTTTTTGGATTTTAAGCTTTCTATTTCAAAATTCGTATTAAACCACTAGCTTAATCGTTAGACGCCGACATTAAAATAAGGGAACAAAATAATAAATTTCGGATCTTCACGTACGAATAAGAATTGTAAGAGTAAAAGTACCAACTAAAAAAATACATTATAGATGTATCGTCTGAAAACGTTTAGCCTCATATAGTGATTGAAGGTAAAGTTTTTTTTAATAAATTTCTTATCAACAAAATGTTTCTTACGCAGAACATTCAGTGAGAATCTGCTTTGTGATGATCCTCCATCGTTTCTTGCGACAATCATGTACATGTCTGCGTCATGAGCATCAACTTTCTCAATAATAAGTCGACTGCTGCCATCTGGTCCTTCTTCAATCTTGAACTTTCCTCCATTCTTTATCTGCGTTCCGTCAGACTTGCACCATATCAAAGTTGGTTGTGGTGATCCAACCACCTTTGCACTAAATGTTACAGTCTCCAATGCTTTCGCCGCGACAGATTGTGGATGCACAAGGAACTGTGGTGGTCTCGCGTTCACTAACGCCGCTCCATGAGCATGGCTGCGACCCGGCACTGGTGAGCCATTCATTTTAATCTCGCCATTTGGTTGTTCTTGCGGTTTACGAATGGGCATGTTGTTTCCGTGTTCTTCCCGAATGTGCTGCTGATAACGGTTTAGATGGAAATTTGAACTAGGAATTGGTTGATGGTAATGGGATTGCTGCTGCTGCTGATGGTATTGATGTTGTTGTTGTTGTTGACGACGATGTTGCTCGTACAACTGTTGATGATTGGGCCTTGTTTGAGTGTAACGAGGTTCTTCGTAGAACTGTGGTGCTTGGTGCCGGAAATTCTCCAAAGACGCACGTTGTTGAAGTTCAGCTACTCTACGACGTTCTTCCTCGAGACGTAAAGCTTCACGTTGTTGTTGCTCGTACTGCTGTCTTTCGAGAGCAACCAGACGACGACGTGCTTCTTCTAAACGCGCCGCTTCTTGCTGTTGTTCCTGTCGTTGTTGCTCTAGTGCGATTGCTCGACGTCGTTCTTCTTCGAGCCGCGCGGCTTCACGTTGTTGTTGATGCTGTTTCTCAAGCGCCAGCAAACGACGACGTTCCTCTTCTAAGCGTGCGGATTCTCGCTGTTGTTCCTGTTTCTGCTGTTCGAGTTGGCGTTGCTAAAACCAATGTTGATATCCGTTTCAAAAAAATCAAGAAACCAAACCTCTTGGAGCTTTTGAGCTTGATAATCACTGTTGTGCCTTACTTCCGGCACGCTCAATGGGTAAACCTCGATACGGGCCGAACTTTCAACCTAAACGTTTCAAGTTCAAATTATTTAAAATTATTTAAAAGTTGACAAGAAACTTCAATATGATGAAGTGGAAAAGTTCGTAGAAATCCAAGAAGAAAATGAATTGGTTAAAAATCTAATAAATCATGCAAAAACACCTATAAAGTCGCGAATGAGCATCATTTAACTGGTTTTTTAAAATTTTATATTCTATTTATACGCTTATTACGAAAATATGGAATTTACGTTTTAGTTTTGCAACAATGAAATCGATGCGATGAGAAAAATGAGCGGAAAGCAGAAGATGCATGATATTGAAACGATTGGCGACAATTGGCAGAAGACAAAAGTTTCGAAATAATTGCTTCTAGCTGATGACTGGGGTAAAAAGAGAAACTTCTCCGATCGTTTGTTTTTGCAATTCGCCGGCAGCCTCGATTTTGTGTCAAGAACCCTCCGTGATCACCGCAGTGTTCGATAGGAGACGCGATTCTCAACGATCTGAGCTCCGCTAGCTGGATCTGCCCTGTTTATCTTACCCCTCATCTATCCCACGCAACTCACTTTTTTTCGCTGCATCTATAGTGTTGATTCTCTAGCTTCTCTGTCTACGGTAGATAATCTCGACGAAGCGAGAAATCAAAAAAAACCGAAAATGTGTTCACTGGGTTCGCTTAGATAAGTTTATCTGTTGCACACCAGTTTATTGTGGACCTATCACCGACGGAGAATCGGAGGGCGAGAAAATGATGCACGGCATTCATCAACGAGCCTACGCAGATAAATGATGTGGGGTGAAAACAAATTGTAAAGATTTCTGAAGCATGATTTTTGACGTTCACCCAAATCGTTTTTACTTTCAATTTTTTTTTGTTTACCCACTCGGAACAACCGCTTGATTCGGGAGTTGCTCAATATTTTTCGAAGCTATATTTGTTATTTAAAGAAGCCAAAGAAAAGTGATCCATTGTTAAAAGTGCTTATTCTCAACAAAAAAAATGAACTGGCAGGAAATATTACAAAAAATCTCATCAAATCGGCAAAATCTCAAAGAGAAGATATCTATATTCACGAAGTTGATACAATTTTCCAGAAAATGCAAACAAATCTGAATAGAGCTTTAACGAAATTCTACGTATTTATATTGTTGATCAGTTAATGTTTTTATCATAAAATATTTCAAAGTGCAAAATCAGATATAAAGAGAACGTGTGTGGAATAAAAAATGTCGGGTTATGACAAATTCGTTATCAAACGGAATATGGCAAACGGAATTTGGAAAAATTGGCTTTTAGTATATTAATTTTTAACTGAACCCGCAAAACATAATGGGCTCATACTAACCACTTACTTTTACTTATGTTTTAAAATGTTCTTATTTTAAAATATTATTTAAAAAAAACCCGTTGATACACATGGTTTCTTCAAGACCCAATTACGATAAGACCATAAGGTTAGATTGAAGTTGGAACCTTGAAGTTTGAAAAAAAAACCTGGTCTTCGAAATTTTTTGAACATTTTCTTGGGAAGAACAAAACAGATAGCAAAAGATTGTCGAAAGAGAAAAACTTCAACACATAAACAACAAAAGTTGCAGTTGCTCACCTTTCCGAAGCGATTCTCCGATGAGACAGTGTACTCGCCAGCTTCTTCCGGGGTTATCATTGAAATTTTGAGGACAGCAAGGGACCCTGAAAAACAGCGAAAATTTTAAAAAATTTAGAACAGAAAAATAACGGTTAGCCTTGTTTTTAACACACAAAATTGATTGTTTTGTCAATTTTCTACTATTCGTTTTATCTATAATGGAAATTCTTTTAAAATCAAATAAATTGCACCTTTAAACGTCATCTGCATTCTTGGGCCTTGTAGTTGCAACGGTCGGCCGTTGAATAGCCATTGAATCTTAAATGCTGTGTTTTATTTAATATTTAAAAATCCACCAACTCTGGGCTTGGGATTTCCAACAATGTTGGCTTGAAGAATTGCATCAGTGCCTTCAGTAAGCCTGAGTCCTCTCAACGGAACTCGCACAATCGGTTTCGTTCCCACTGAATTTTTCGAGTCCAACGCCGAAAGTTCAGGTTCCGTTTCACTCTCTGATATTCCCCAAGATTGCTGAAAATGCGACGGATTGCTCAAAACTTTTCATTTAATTGATCATTACCATATCAACACTTCCCGGATCTGTGTCATATCCTTGCTTCTTCATCTGATTTTGGGCCACACTATTCGGTCGCAATGTTTGCGACATCATCCTTTGTTTTCTTTCTTTGGTAAGTCGATGTTGCTCGCTCGAAAACCATTTGTCGTATTGTTCCCTTGGTAAAAGCTGTGCAACACTGGTTTCCTCTCCGTGCACGTTTGATGCTTTCACAGTGTATTCACCGACATCGTCATTGAACATTTGTGGGATCGTCATTGAGATAATTCCCGATTTCTGGTCATGCTCAATTTTTGCCCTATAATTCTGCAGAGGTTTGCCGTTTTTCAGCCATTCAATTTTTGGAGGTGGAACTGCTGCTACGCGACCCTCGAAGGTCACACTACCTCCGGGCTTCAATGGCTGATGGCGAAGTTCTTTGAGAAATATTGGAGCAGATGGGCCAACCGGAGTTTGAGGCGGAGCCGGTGATCTACAATTGAATCGTATTGGCATTGATTAGCTAATATTTCAACATACGCAATAGTGTATTTAGCACCTGGAACCGGCGTTGGTGCAGGACCAACGATGAGAATACACGTGGATTGTTTGATGCCGGCCGAATTTGCTGCTTGCGCCGTAAATCTTCCATTGTCTGCTGCTTGAACTTGTGGAATGATTAAGCGATGCTTCAATCCGTCTTCTTCGATCTGAAGCATTGTATAAATAAGTTTTCAGTTCTCTATTAAAAAAAAAGTTACCTGATAATCAGGACACATTGACACATTGTATCCATCTTTAAGCCATTTGATAGCTGGGTCCGGATTACCTTCGAGTTGGCATTCGAGAATCACTCTTTCACCAACAACTGCGCGTTTATCCGTCAATGGCTACAAAAAAATAATAAATGATATTAGATTCATTTGATCTACCCGGATAAAAGTCGGCGCAACCCGATTGGATGAGTCCCGTTCGCCAAGCGGTTGCTTGAATGGCATAATTTATTAAAGCTACCACGTTGTTAAATGTTTCGCTGAAAAAGTAATTACATTATTGGAAATTTGGTATTTTTTCACAAATATGTATATGTATAACAAAAAAAAGAAGAAAAAATTTCACGGTTTTCAAAAATCGATGTTTCAAAGTGCAAAGTGTTTACTTTGAATAGAATTCCAAAGAAACAAAGGGGGATTCTTGATATCGTGCAACACAGAGCTTTGCTTGCGACCATGAGCAAATAATACGCAAAACGGATAAGAATAAAATGTTTCCAAATGACTACGATTGAGTGTTTTGATAGTTTTGGAAAACGAAACAATTCACGTGAAATACGAGAAAAACTATTGAAGTTTTAAAATAAATCGTTTCCAATTTTTTTGCCTAATAATAATATCATCGTTTGTTTCCCTAGAGAAAATAACAGATTTATTTTTTTTAATGAAAAAACCACTATGGTGTTTCTCAATAATATCGCTTCCTTCTTACTTCAAAAATAGGAAAATTAATCTACATCAAGTTTCTCATAATAGCCATGTATTGTCTTTTCGTGTTATTTGTATCTAGTAAGTACTAAATATATGGTATAAAATAAATAGCAGTAAATTATTATCTATTAGTAGAGTATATTCACATGAGTGAATCAAATAAAAAACACACATTTTAAATTGCCGGAATTATACACGAGAAACACAGAAACAAGACGAACAGGCGGTGCATATGAGATAGCCGCTCGTATTTGTTTCTGCTCCTCAAAATGCAATGCTCTTTATTCCCGCAGCAGCATCTCGAGACAACTTTCAGTGTAATGTTGATCGAGCAGAAGTCCCCCCACTAACACTAGTTCAACTCGAGTTACTTGTTCTGTTCTCGCCGTGTTGAAATAATTCAAATTCATTGGTGAAAAAAATCAAGTTTTCTCAATCGTCACCAAAAGGGAACAATTTTTGAAGAAGTGAATTTTGAACGAAAGTGTTAAAATCGTATATTTTGTTCAGTACAACCAAATTTTATTCATGCAGATTCAAGTAAGTTAATATTCTTCATTTGTTGAACCCGACGATTGAGAATCTTGGAAGGTTTTTTGATCAAAATATTCAAGATCTATGGTGTCTTTCTAAAGAGTTAAATTATTGAATATGAATAATGCAAAAATTCTTGCCAAAAACGGAATGTAAGGTGATATTGCCTTCTTATCCAAAATTGCTTCAAAATCGGTATCCTTAATTATTTTCGAATGATCTTTTTTCGCTTTTGAAACAAGTCAAACCATAAAAAATGGATGCTTCTTGACGTCTTTGGACGAATAATACCCGAGTCTTGCTAATGGATGATTGGCCATCAGCTGAAAATCATGTTCAACTATTATCATTGCAAGTTACTAAAATTTATAATATAAACACATTTACAAATTTCACAAAAAAAAATTTAAATTTGTATTCAAATTTCCACTGTTTAAATTCAAATTGGAATTTACGCGCGATAAAAAAATGCGCTGATCCGAAAATATCAGGGTCCTCGTTTTTATTGCAATAATATACATATAAATGATGATTTAGATGAAATTACCCCAATTAATAAATCATGGAAAATATGCCATTTGGTTATCCTTGAATTCCTCTCCATTTCGCATTCCCTCCCACCATAAAACGGTTGAGATTTTGTCTGAAAAGTGGTTTTACTGCAAACGTTTAGGGGACATACTCTGAGTTGGTACAATGAGACACCAAGTGCCCACCAATCGACCTCGATTCCGTACGGCTCGCGTCGACGCACCTCAGCCGCCAGATGTGTAGTTGTGCCAACAATTTCGTGAATCTTCTCTCGACGATTTTTTAGTTGTTTGCACAGCCCAAAATCAATAACTTTCACATATCCATCTCGAGTGAGCATCATATTTTCTGGCTTCAAATCTCTTCAATACCAATCAATACATAAATGTATTATTTGAAAGAAACGAGCTACCTGTGAACCAACAATTGATCATGAAGATATTCGACGGCTAACACTAAGGAAGCAGCAAAAAATGTGATCTGCTCTTCGTTGAATCCGAAGAATGTTCTCGACAAGTGCGTATGGAGATCGCCGGCTTCACTGAAATTCAAATAATCATGAACTATAATATTTGGGAATTAAATGTACCAGAACTCTAATACCAAATACAGTACACCATTCTCAATAAACTCTTCAATAAGATTACAAATAAGCGGATGATTGAGCTGTTTCAGAATATTGAGCTCAGAAGTTTCGAATCGTTTGCTTTTGCCTATTTTATCAATCTTTTTGATAGCATAGTATTTATTGTCGCGATGGCTTTTTGCTAGATGCACTGTGCCGAATGCACCGATTCCGATAATATCCATTATTTCGTAATTAACAAGATGTTCTCGATATATTGAATGGCTCAAATGCCTCCGGGAACTTGAAGACGTCTCGACAAAGGTGTTTCGTCTACGAAGTGTAGACCACTTTGATCTATGCTCTTCGTCTCTTCTGGTTTCAGCAACTTTTTCCGAATACGATGATTGGATATGAAGGGTTCCTCTGGGTAAAAGTTGAACCGAAGAATGAGTCACAGTATCACATGAATCGGGCATTGAATGGCCTTTGAACAAACTTCCCAACCAGAATGTTCCAATTGCGCATAATGATCGCGAATCGGTGTGATAGATTTCAAAATCCAAGTGTCGGCTCTTAATAATCATTAAAATTAAACGTTAGAATTTAACAGAATAGTTTCGAACATTCATTTGCGGCTTTTAATAAAAATTGGCTAAAAACCTCAAAAGAACCAGACATACTTTTTTGAGTTCGATTACTTCTTCGTCGCCACCACACATCGTTTTACTGTCATTCCAGAACACCATTGCCGCTTTTTTTCCTCCGACATGTATCACAATTATGAAATCGTGTGATCTACTTCGCAGTTTTCGATTTCCGTATTTCGAAAATCCGAGTTTACTTCCTTTCTTTATTTTTCGGAATAGAGCATCCGACGCATACTTTCCAGTTTTGTGAGAAGTTGATAAGTCGAGATCATGAAGACCAGTAACTCGAATTTTTAAAACTCCTGACACCAGAATAAATGAGTTTGAAAAACACGAAGAATCGCAAATGTGTTGAATACCAGTAGGTTTTATACTCCGCCTAAAATAAATATATTATTTTTCGCTGATATCTCCGTTATTTACATTTTCGAGCTATTCTGAGCACACTTTGATAATAAATCGAGTTTTTCATTGAGTTCCAGTATTGCTTGCACTACATTCTTCATCACTTTTCGATTTTGACTTTCTTCACTTAAAAGGCATTGTACTCGTTTTGCTCCATCTTTGAGTAATTGTGTTGTAATTATTTGATTGTGAATACTCATTGGACAAAAGTTTAGGTCATTTTCTTCTAAAGTATACGTATATCTAATGATTCATATGTGTCGGATACCATTGATATTTTTAAGGTACAACATCTTCATATTCATCGTAGCTATTTTACTGTTTGATATCTGTCAGATCCCGAGTTTAAGACTCAATAACACCTCTTACATCAATTTGCTGCTTTATGGAATTCATATCATATGGTTCCTGATTCTCAATTGATTGCTTACATCTCGAGATAATTTTCCATTCGCGATCAATATCTGCCTGTAAAATTTAGCTTGTTTTCCAATATCCATTTAAACATACTAGTAATGTTTCAACAGTCTCCATTTTATAATAAGAAAATAAATGAGTTTTCGAAATAAGAAAAACGTACTCCTCCGTGGGTTTTTGTTCATTGGGGCACGTGCCACATAAATTTCGATCTAAACGTCAAAGATTTATTGCGAATCGAAATTTTTATTTATTTATGAAACCTATTCCGAACGCCTTTTAAAAGATAATCTCAATTTCAACTATTTTCATTTGTTATAATATATTCTGTGCTAATATATGTAATGCATTATAATCGCTGATTTGTGGTGTTTCAGAGTGTCAGAGAAAATAAATTATTTGAGTAAAAGAGCAACGAGAAATGCATTTACTTATGCAAATTGCGCATCTCCGAGATATATTTGGGCAATTTAGAAAATCTTTTTTCTCTAATGGACCTATTCATCTAATAAGAAAATAAATAAATTACACATTTAATGTAATTTTTATATTCTGTTTTATAAAAAAAAAACTTTATGAATAGGTCCATAAATTGAATATGAAATGGGCGGAGACTATAATGCAATGTACGCAGTCTCGCGTACTTCTCGCTGTCTTGAGACGCTTTGGAACATAGCCAATACCTCTTTAAACTTCGTTCCATCGTTTGTCGTCAACAATATTCAATTTTGAAAGAGCGACCAACTTCGATACACATATTTTATTTCAATGTTTTAAATTGGGCTAATTTTGTATACAAATGTGCTCTCCGAATTAACTTTTCACTCACAATTGCACCGCGTTGTGTCTGTCGACGTTGTATTGATTAGAACTGAGCTGTGGCTATGCTCAAAGTTGAGACCCTTCATAAACAAAACTGCGCGACCTCGACGAGTAATTGTAATTTTCATTACGCACACTTGTGGTTCAAAAGACGCTCGAAACTCTTCTAAGCTAATTCAATTTTTTCGGTGCCACTTATTTAATTTGCTGAAATTTTTGAAATCATTTGGTCGAAATTTTGAATTTTGGCTTTTATTGTTTTCTAACTGGCGACAAAACCGATGAAAAGTGTTTGCTGAAATTTGCATTATATTTTAATGTTTTTGTCTCGGCCATTCGAAAAAGGGCAAAACCGAACTTGACTTTGGAATTAACAAGGTAAAACCAAGGACTTTTCCTATTATAGTGTTTTTTTTTAAAAAGAAGCGACTAACAAAATTTCTTGCTGCTCAATTTAATTTGCAATTATCGAAAAATATACAAATTACTCGATGATGTCGTAATTAACAAGAAATCGATTTTTTTAATTTTTATCATTTCATGATAAGATTCATTACAGATAAGCTCATTAATTTTTATGGACCTATTCATGAAATGTATTTTTTTTTTACAAAAAACATTTTTTTTCTTTAATTACATTAAATGTGCACTTTTTTACAGTTTCCATTGACAAAATGTGTAGATTTTTACTTTTTTTATTGGATGAATATATACATATTATAAAATGCTTATCTCGTCTATTACTTTTTTTGTAGTAGTATATTTACATTTGTAAAAACCAACACCTTTCGTTGATTTACGGTGATTTTAATTCTTTTCACAGTCAGAGTACGGTAGCCGGATTCCCACTGTTTAAATTCCAATTTGAATTATCGCCTCGAAATAGTGCGATGGTCTACGATTGTGCAAGACACTCGTTTTTGGGTATTGTCGGCATCAAACGACTAAAGCGAAGCGGAGCCTTCAACTGATTCGCGAAATCAGTGTAGATTTAAATTTTTCGTTGACTGAATACTTAATGCGCTTACACTACATATAAATGTGTACGCAGTATCGCGTATTTCTCGCTGCCTCGAAACTCATTGGCACATCTAATAATTTTTTTAAATTTCGTCAAGTCGTTCGCCAATAATATCATCGCGCAAAAACCGAACAACCAGACAAATAATGGTTGTCCATCGTAATTATCGGCGCGGTAATTCAAATTTGATTTCCACGGTGGGAATTCGGCTACCGTACTCTGGATAACCTGCAAGTCAAACTCACAGTAAATCGGCGCAAGATGCTCATCTATCCACGATTGAGATATATTTAAAAAAACGACAAGAGCTTCGAAATATTTTACGATTTTCCGAAATATAACGACAGTGCATTTTAAAACTGAGCTATTAAATAAAGTCGTAACTTATATACATAGATCATTTCACCGTTATAAAAATATGATTTCCTAGAGAATTTATATCTTGTTGGTTTTTTTTTCTGTTTTTCATTCACTTTTCAACAATTTTTGTCCGTTTTCCAGTTCTAGTGTTATAAGGCATACTTTTGTTTATTCCGTTATGAAGAGAAGGTATTATGAAAAAGGTATTACGTATTATGAAAAAAAAAAACACAAAAAGTCAGGTTTAAAATAGCATTGGATTTTTAAAGAGTTTTTTGGTGTGTCATTTGCAATATTGATTGTCGCATGAAGAGAGGATAACAAGATGGCCTCGAAATCCGCGGCCATGGGTTACGTTACTGCAAGTTTTTACATCCCTCTTGTTTTAAAACGTTTGGCTTTAATTATTTCAGTAAATTATTTATATGTCGTTATTATAGCTTTCAAATATTGTTGATCAGATTAAGGTTTTCCTCGTGATGCCGTGTTTTTACGTTAAACCTTATTTTAAGGCTTTATTAAATAAAACAATTTACTTGACGCTTTAAAATTTTTTCTTTTCAAATTTAAGTTTTAAATAAATACATTTCTTCTAAAAAAATGTGAACTTTTGAAATTACAGAAAATCGGGTGGTCTATTTCCAATTACTCTCTAACGGTTGGAAAACCGTTCGTCCATAATTAAAATTATGGTAAATCGAAGAGTTAATCGGCTTATAAATGCAATAATAGCATGTTGTCTGGTAAGAAAATGTTATATTCAAATGATACATTTTTCTTTCTTCAGGTTGGATTTGTTGTCATATTTTTGAAAGCCCCGGCCAATGAACCTCAAATACAAATGGGTGTTCCAGCTGTCGACAAAGATAACGGATGGTAAACATTTTCGTCAATAGTTAAATTAAACATTAATCATTATTACTCTGTTTTTTTTTTATTTATTTGCTTTTCAGTCGGGTGAACGAAAAGCAGATAATATTTTTAAAATATTATAACATTCCAATAAGTTATTAGGAATTCTGAAATATTAAAAAAATTTTAGCGTTTTAAATATTAAAAAACAATATATATATATATATATTGGCAGAATATTATAAAGGAGTTTTTGTAATATTTTAGACTGTTTACCTTAGTCATATTTATTTTCGTTTGTCTGAGAAACGTAGAAAATCGTAAAATAAACTAAAAATATTTCCAATTCTCTAGGTCACCTGAGGAATGGAAACAACTAAATAAAGAAATTGCGAATGATACTAACTTTATACAGCATGCAGACTTATCAGGATGGTCGTTTGTGCGTAAGTGTTCGTTGATAATGTCCCATCAACAGTGAGAACATTTTTTCAGCAAAAGAAGGCAACGCTACAATATCAGGTGAAGAAATTGTTCATTCTATGCAATTTCTTAACGAAAACTTTGATGTTCTCAACACTGACAAATTTGGTCCACCTAGCAATGTGAAAACGATTTTAGTAGTTCAAGTATTAACCAAAATAGTAATATTTAATTAAAAGAGAACCAATAAAGGTGCATAATCGCCCCGCTTACTTGCAAATTCTGATCGAGTCAATGCGAAAAACGAAAGGAATTGATGAGACGCTCATCGTTTTTTCCCACGATATTAATGTTTCCGTTATCAATCAAATGATTCGAAACATAACATTTGCGAGGGTGTGTTTTTTATTTTTATTTGCTAAGTCTAATTTTATTTTGAAGGTTTATCAAATATTCTATCCTTACAATTTGCAATTGTTCCCATCAGTTTATCCTGGGCAAAACGTTAAAGATTGTCCAGAGAAATTTTCTAAATCTGAGTATGTTTGTTAATTTATGATTATTAAAAATGTTCTATAATCACCGAATATTGTTGAAATATCAAATTATCAAAAGTGTTTTTTTAAAAGTTTTTTTTTTTCTAGTTTTTTTTTTTAATTTAAATGAAATCCCGTATGGCATACAAATAAAATTCTCGTTTATAGAGCTGAAATGCTGCAGTGCAGAAATTGGAAAACGCCGGATAAATATGGAAATTATCGAGTTGCGAAGTTAACGCAGATTAAACACCATTGGTGGTGGAAGGTTTTTTCGCAAAATTCGCAATGTTTCGTTTGAATGCTTTTTTTTTAAGATGAATTTCGTATTTGATGGAATTGTCGATCGGTTTCAAATGGATGATCCTTGGATATTACTACTTGAAGAAGACCATATTCTTGTGCCAGATGCTCTTCATGTTCTTAACACGATCATTGATAACAAATCAAGGTATTTTGTTACAGGTAGCTTTATCCTAAACGAAATGTTAAGTTTTTGCGAAAATTGCGCAATTATCTCACTAGGATACTATCTCAAATCAATGAATGGTTATGGAGACGATATCAACAAGGTTATCCTTCATTATTAAGTTTGCATTTAAATAATTGAAATTCAGCTAGCCGTACAGCCATGGTATAGCAGCCGGCACAATATGGGGATGGCGATTCAGCGTCAAACGTGGAATGTTATTAGAGATTGTTCTACCGTAAGTTTAATTATATGAAATGACGATTACTTTAAAAATTTTGCTTAGCGCTCTCGCTAAAATACAAAACACAATTTTCTTTGCTCAGAGATTTTTAAAAATATTTGTGCCAATAATATTTGATCAATGTATGGTTTTGCATGACCATGACGCTAAAGATTTTCTCACATTCAATGGCCCCTAAATTCGTCGATCCTCGACAATAATTTTTTTTCAGTCGTTTTGCAATTGGGATGACTACAATTGGGACTGGTCACTTATGCAAGTATCTGCCAAATGTGTATCTCAGCGATTTCGAGTAATTTTTGCGAAAAGTCCAAGGGTACTTCATATTGGTGATTGCGGTGTTCATACACATCGATGTGCGGCTCATAAAGCCCTTGATGCTGCAATGGAAACTATTCTCAAGCATAAAAATGCGCTGTTCCCCAGTAGTCTGGTGGTTTCGGTCGTAAGATACTACTACAACCTTTCCTTTTCAAATTTACAACAATTCAGGTATCACGAAAATCCCTGAAGCCATCAAAAGAAAATGGAGGATGGGGCGATGCAAGGTATATATCAAATAAATATAAATACAAAAAAAAACAAAAATCTCTGTTCGTTTGATTCGAAACGTTATTCGTAGTATTAATTTTTTAATACAAATTTAAATAATCAAAAAACGTGGCTTTAAAATTAGAATTCAGTGGTAATTAGTATACAGAACTGCGGATATCTTACGAATCAAACGCACTGGTAATTCGTTTAAACGCCCATGAAACGTGTAAGACAGTGAGTGGTAGCCAAATAATATGTTTCCCATGCGTTTAAATTCATCTCCGTTTCTATGGCTCGGTTTTCTAAGTCGTTATTTGAAACATTGGAAAGTTGTTTTTTGCTCTATAATATTACCCTACCCTGTGTTGATAGATACGGGAATAATATAGTATTTTGAAAAATTTAATAGGAAATCGCCATGTGTTTGAATTCCATGGTATAAGTGAATTACCGCATATCGACAACCACTAGTCAATAAACAATACCTCATATATCGCTGTTGTCCTCAATTTTTTAATGTTTTTTTTTACAGAGATCGTGAACTTTGTCAGCTTAACAAATATCCACTGGTTAGGCATACGTCAAGTGAAGAAACTGTTCTCAAAGAGTTGCTCAATTCGAAAATTTTACTTAATTCAACGCCTCAAAACAACACACTTCGTCAGTCATCTGGATCTCTCTAAACACTGCAAAATTTATTGATTTATTTGCTCACAATATCATGAAAAATCAGCTGTTTATAGAGTCAGGCATCCGGTGACTGATCTGTGGGGTCGGTTTAGGGGCATTCTCATTTTGCGCGAGCTAACTGGTTATTTTGCATTCTACGGCTCATTTAGATATTTGTAGAGATTGCGAAAAAGGTTTGTTTTTGTAAATCGATCTGCAAAGAGAAGTCGCTGGATGCTGTCTGCTAATTCAGTTGAGCGGAATCGGCTTTAAGCTTAAGTTTCCTTTTTTGATTTTGTGAACGGGTAATTATGAATGCTTTTTATTGTCGGAGAGAAGGCAATTAGAATAATTTAGGTCAATAATTTTTTTTCAATTATTTTTTTTTTTCAATTCTTTTTGCACTTCGCCTCGAAAATTGCATGTCTTCGACAATAATTGGTTAATATCTGCATCTGTTTGAAAAACTGTGTTTGAGACCGACACGGCTCAATTAAAATTCCCTCATATGTTAAATATGATGCTTTAAAATTCCCCTCATTTTTGACTGTGATTCTTCAGATAATTCTAATGTGTAACATTTCCCTTCTTGCCTACAATGTTTCGTGTACTGGTAGCAATTATTTACTTCTTTTGTTAGAATATTTTATTAAACCGGGTGAATAAGATATATTTATTGCGACAATATTTCCTTGATAATTTCTTGAATATCTGCAACTGCCTGGCTCCCCAACGCAATCTGAATACCTTCTTTTTTGGTGATATTAGCAATCTTTTCAGATTGTTGTTTCGAGGATTCTTTTTTTCCACCAGTCGATCCATTTTTAGATGCACTACTTCCGTTTTTGCCGGTCGATTCGGATTTGGACGGATTCTTCTCATTCTGATCAGTGGATTCGGATTTGGACGGATTCTTCTCATTCTGATCAGTCGATTCGGATTTGGACGGATTCTTCTCATTCTGATCAGTCGATTCGGATTTGGACGGATTCTTCTCATTCTGATCAGTCGATTCAGACTTTGACGGATTCTTCTCATTCTGGTCAGTCGATTTCGATGGTTTTTCTCCATTGTTATTTACCACTGAACTATTTTCTACTTTTGTGTCATCATCTCCTTCTGCAGGTTTGTTCGGAGCTTGTCGTTTCTTTCTCTGAAATGGGCACAGTTTATTATATGTGATGAAGTCTCAATATTACCCTATTATTCAGGGCATTCTCAAGGTGGTAGTTCTCTACTTTTTTCATTATGCCTTCGATTGCAAATCCAAATGATGTTCTATCAAGACGTAAGCATGTTACCTGAAGCAGTTTCGATAAAAAATAGCACAAACAAAATTGAAACCTCTTCAACTTTAACATTTTTCGAAAAAGTGATTGATTTCGGGTCAAAAATGTCCTCGAAGAACCTAAAATTGGGAAGTGAAAAACCAATTCGATGTAAATTTTGTTACGATCTTTCCGTTTCGTCGCATTTCAACGCTACACCAGTGCTCGTTCCAAATGATATGAAGTTGGACTTGCGGACATCGGTCTCCGTATTATTTCGGCCTGAATTTTCATTTATTATTATAAAACCCCAATTTTAGTTACAATACCAAAAAGAAGATTAACAGTATCGCGATTTGCGTCACACGTAACAATTGCGTAGTAGTCTCCGTGGTCATTCACATAGCGAATAATTGGCTCGTAAAAAGCATCCGAGGAAACAGTAACGAGATTTCCGATATATGTTTCCAAATTTGGGCATGGTCCTCAAAAAAAAAAGAAGTATGCGACAGACTGAAAGTGACTATGAGAACTTACTTGGCCTATCATATTTTTTGTAGCCGCCAAAATAATCCTCTTTTTGATAAATATCGTCGAGTTGGCCGTTTTCGTAAATGTTTTGTGAAGGAAAATAATGCGCGGAAACGCCGAAGCCTGCTAGGAACGCCACCAAGAGAAGAAGCATTTCTTCGGTTGATGATTCTCTTGTTCCATTCGCGAGCTTTTATATGATTGGAAACCACAAATAAAGCAACATTGTTCAGCCATTTATTATCATAACATTTTTTTTCTAAATATTTGAATTTGTGAATCATATTTTAAACATAAAAATGTTTTCAATTTTAAAATGTTAAATGTTTTGAAAAAAATCATAATTTGACTCACGAAAACATTGCGAATATAGGACAATCATATAATTTGCCATATATGTATGAGATATCCAACAATCTACCTAGCCTTCAAATTTCTAGATTCATTTGATAGATGATCAGTTTATATTTCCTCTAATCTCGTCCTGCTTTCTTTACAGAAATCAAAATTTACCGAAAGCGATGAAATTCAGAATTATTTTTCACATTGGTACCAGACTTCATGGTCTAGAGTCACTTGAAATGTCAAAATCTGACCGAAAAATAATAATTCTTCGAAGATGTTTTACAATTTACAAGGCTAGAAGGGCTACTTTAAGAAATTTCACAAGATTGATAAATCATGTTGATGAAAAAAACCACGAAGAAGAAGGAGAAGCTAATTCTGTAGAACGGAACCACATTGCATACGGCGCAAAAATCTGGTCAAATCTAAAGAGTAGTTCAAACAGACTATAATCTCTGTACAGAGTCAATTATGACCTTTGATGAATTAAGACAATTCACTCAAGTCAAATCAATTCAATGAACCATAGACCAGATAAGTAAGGTTGGCAATACTTTTTTGTTCATCCTGGGCCCATCTGTATCGACGCACCTTCATCCACGGCACACCTATGGTTTGATATTAGATACGCAAACAAGTAATTTTCAATCGAATTACGCACACATCAAAGTTAATGTCAGTCCTAGAAGCCTTCGATGAGAGATAAAAAAGATTTTAGATATTTGACAACACCTTAATTTCTTTTCCAAGGTGAAGTTCAGTTCAACATCTTCACATGTGTTCCACGGAATTATATTTCAGCAGCAAAATATTATTAGTCAAAACCTCATTTGTCTATTTATGTACTTTCCTTCCCAAAAAAAAATTGCGGATATGATTCGTGATACATTACTTTTCTTCTGAGTCAGCAAGAAAAGAAATGTTTTAAATAATTTTGTTTATCGAAACAAAATTTATGGTGAATCGTCTTTAAAAACAATTTCTAAGCACGACATTTTTTTCGTATAAAAAGGGTCGAAGCTGTCGGTTGAAATCAAAGATGGCGTTGAAGTTTATTCTTGGTTTGGCCTTGGTAGCCGCTGTTTCCTGCTACAGTGCTTATTCTCCACAGGTTTGTGAGTTCTAGTAAGAAACTTGGCAATTGTTTGCCCATATATAAAACATATAAAACTATTATTATTGAGCTTTTCCCTATTTGTTTCCCGAGAATGAATCTCACAAAAATTTTTATAGAATTTCCAAAGTAGGAACGTTTTCGCTTTCGACAATTATGGCAATCATTATCATCATCATCATCATCGTAAAAACTCCCGTATATCGAAGTTCCAATTATTGACCGACCATAATTATTTTAAGATTGGAAGTGTTATGCAATTAAAACGTTCATTCCGGACTCGAAATTGATCACATTCCAACCGAATATTGCGTAAATTGATTGGTGTCACACCAATCTCATATTGAATACGTTCAGATACTACGAGGAAGACGGAATAGAGAAAGCGGTTGTTGTTTGCGATGATAAACCGCCATCGGCCATATTGGCTCAATGGCCGAATACGACGCCGGATGCCGAAAAAAGCGATATCGCAATATTGTCTTATGGATCTCGCACCACCTATGTCGCCGAGTGCAACGAAGAAACTAAGAGGTTTGAAAATAAACGATATGATAACATATATATAATATTCAGATATGAGGCAAAGAATGTTTTAACTGGCAAAACAATTCCTTTCTCAAAAGTGGCTTGTGCAAATCTGTTTGATTTTTCTGGCGGCTCAAGCTAATAAGTGTATTAATTCGAATAATCAATAAAGTGAATTCTTCTATTTGCATTAAAAAAAAACGAATCTTGATTTTTCGATCCGAGTCCCCATTCTTCGTAGTAAACCGATTTCAGTGTTTGGGTTGATTTTGAACTGAACTAAGAGAAATTTTAGAATGTTTGATATCCACGGTAGTTAAAATACAAACTTTCATTGTAATTAATGATGATAATAGCAGCTGAACAGTTGATTAAAAGCTGAAATTGTTTGCAATTTAATTGTGCTTATGTGGCTCAACTCATATCTTATCTACAGATCTCACGCAAAAATGTCGACTTTAAAGGTGGAAAAAATAGTTTCCATTATCGAAATCAAATTACTTGTCAACTACTAATTGTAAGTGTTCTTTTTTGAGCTCATAAATGAGCACAACACATTTAGAACCACCAATGGCTTTCTTTTGGGAACTTTATGAGAAATCTACAGCGGGAGAGTTTACCGCTTTTCGAAAAGCTCAGTGTAAAGCCAAACCACTAACTGATGACACTAACACCAAAATGATCCCATTCGGATCCCCAAAATTCTATGCTGTTTGCGGTCTCGGAGGTTCATTGGCATGCGGATCCACTCATTTGTTCATAACACCTTTGGATATTGTCAAGTGTCGTCTTCAAGTGAATCCGGAGAAATATGGGGGAATTGTACGAGGATTTAAAATCAGCGTAGCTGAAGATGGATTGCGAGGATTGGTGAAGGGATGGGTTCCGACCACTATTGGATATTCCGCACAAGGATTTGGAAAGTTCGGTTATTACGAAATTTTCAAAGTGCTCTATGGTGGCATGTTCAGCGAAGTTAGTTCAGCTTCTTCTCTCCTGTAAACTTGTATTTGTAGGAAAATGCGTACTTGTATCGTTCATGGATTTATCTGGCAGCTGCATCCTCTGCTGAATTCTTTGCCGATCTCTTCCTTGCTCCATTTGAGGCTATTAAGGTTCGGATGCAGACGTCTCCAACAGCTCCATGTTCGATGATGAAGTGTGCCCCAATGATCTATAAATCGGAGGGTGTCTACGGGTTCATCAAGGGTCTTCCTCCACTCTGGACACGGCAGATTCCATACACTACAGTGAAGTTCGTGTGCTTCGAAAGAATCATGGAGTTGATGTATGAGCACGTTGTTCCGAAACCGAGAAGTCAGTGCTCGAAACCCGAGCAGCTATTGGTTACGTTCTCCGCTGGATACCTCGCAGGCATTCTCTGCGCTGTGGCCTCTCATCCTCCAGATACTGTGGTTTCAAAGCTCAATCAGAAATCTGAAGCGACATTGACAAGCATGGTGAAGGAGTTGGGATGGAAAGGAATGTGGGCTGGACTTGGAGCAAGAATAATTATGATCGGAACTATAACTGCAATGCAATGGCTCATCTACGACTCTTTCAAGGTATTCTGAAGGTTCTGTTTAATCGATTCAACACTGTTTGATTCAGGTGATTATGCATATTCCACGACCGGACCCAGCTAAAATGCCAGAATCATTGAAAGAGAAACTGCGACTCCAAGGAAAATTGTGATAAACATTAAAATAAAAACATTTCTTATTGCTATCACAAAAAAAAAACAATTTTATGTTTACGAATCAGCGTGTTTTTCGGGACGGCGAAATTTTTATACAGTGGAGATTTGTGCGTACATCGACTAGTAAGGGTGGTTGCACACACACATGGAATCACTACCGTCCTCTTCAGAAAAAAAGCTCCTATTTCGCCAAATGGGAGCAGGAACTGAAATGTGAATGGGACACTTTATTCGAGGTTACTATTTATTTTATATTTTGTGGACATGTGCATTTTGAAAAAAAACAAGCGTAGGTAAAACGGGTAATGAAATTAGTATTTTCTTAAAAATTCGATTTGCTCATAGCAGCAACTCTGTTTTGACAGATACATATTTCATTCCAAGGTCCCATTGGCCACAAACAATCATTGGGAGAATAAAATCGAAAAAAAATCAAACCAAATTTTTGTCAAATGTCATATTTCCATAAATATTCAGTTTACAATGCACAAATGTTTCCCCAATCTCAAGCAACCATATTCGCATTAAAGATGAATACGTAACTTCATTCTACTTGCTTCAGAAAAATCGAGAAAAAGAATTCATGCACTTTTAGTCGATTCCAACTTTCGCTTCAATGATTCCGGCATTTGGGGTGGAGGAGGACGTGGCAAATTCATTGCAACCTTAACACGATATTCAGAAAATCCATTAATAGAAAATTGTTATTTGATTACCTTGAACGAATCGTAGATGAACCATTGGAGCGCAGTCAATGTTCCGACCATAATGATTCGAGGACCCAGTCCTCCCCACAGACCTTTCCATCCAAGTTTCTTGGTGAGACTCACAATGCTAGCTCCAGAATCTTGATTGAGTTTGGAAACCAGGGTATCTGGTGGATGAGAGACGACTGCACAGAAAACGCCAGCAATGTATCCGGCCACGAATGTCACTAAAAGCTGCTCGCCTTTGCTACATTGGCTGCGAGGTTTCGGCACAACGTATTGGTAAAGCAATTCCACAGTTCTCTCAAAACATGTGAATTTCATCATAGTATACGGAATTTGGCGCGTCCAAAGAGGTGGAAGTCCCTGAATATACGAGAATACAACTGTTACCTTAAAAATTCATTCGCACCTTGAAGAATCCGAAGAGTCCTTCAGTCTTATAAATCATCGGAGCACAACCGCGAAGAGTTGGAGGCGCAGTTGGAGAAGTTTGAATTCGAACTTTTACGGCTTCCATGGGGGAGAGGAAAATGTCCGCAAAGAATTCAGCAGAAGCAGAAGCAGCGAGATAGACGGATGTACGGTATATGTAGGCGTTCTCCTCGCTAAGCATTCCGCTGTAGAGGTTCTTGAAGACCTCATAGAATCCAAATTTTCCGAGTCCTTGCAGCGAATAGCCAATGAACGTCGGCGCCCAGCCACGAGTCAATCCCTTCATTCCTTCTTCAGCAACCGTTACACGGAAACCTTGAACCATATTTCCATATTTTTCTTTATCGACCTAATGATTTGATAATGAGCAATAAGTGAGTAATTGAAATCAAACCTGAATTCTGCACTTCACAATGTCGAGTGGGGTGATCGAAAAATGAGTTATGCCGCAAGAAAGGGATCCGCCGAGAGCACATAATGCGTAAAATTTCGCCGATCCAACTTCCACGTCGTTTTCTAAAATTTCCACAATCAGTTGTAGTCTTTTGGAAGATTTCAACTTGATGAATCTTTCGAGGACGAGGCGCATCGTGCTGTTCGAATAATACTTCCTGGTGTTGGCAGTGCCAGTTTGTTGTTTTTCACCGAATCACACATTTCGTAAAACACTCCCATCTTTCTGAATTTTGATTATTATTATTATTATTATTAGTAAATATCGAGACTAACCTGGTTTCGATGCAGCGGGATATATGAGAACTGTGCCGATAATGAATATTCAACTCTACGATTCCACGCGCAAATGCCACATTCACGTCTCACGCAATTCATTTTTCTTTTTCATGATTTTATTTTGTTGTCAGTGTGAATGCATGGAAACCACAATTGTTCACCGTTTCCCTAACTGATCGCTACGTTTTTACGCACTCTATTGTTTTTCGTGAAATTTTACGGAACGAATAGAATACAAATATTAACCAAAGAATTATCTTATTTAAAAGTTTATCACAGTAATTTAACCAATGTCATCATCCGTCATGTAATTTTTGACCATATATGTAAATTCGTCGTAGTCAATTACACCATTTCCATCCACATCAGCCTGAACTTGAGATAATTGAAATACACTCACAAAATGTGAAATGTTTACCTCGTTAAAAATTTCGTCTATTACTTGATTATCTGTAATATCGCCAAGTTCTCTCAAAATGTAGCGAAAATCTTTTTTGGAGATTCCGGTGAGATTCTCGCTCTGAAAAATAATGAGATTCTTCTGCGAATTGACAAGTTATTTGTTTGGTTGTTGTTTTTTATGCACTTCATGTAGATAATTGTCGTAATTTTTAAAATTAATTTTCACCCCTCTCGACATTGTTATTTTTTTGTTTAGGTCCTTTTTGATTATTTATCATTACTGTGTTGCATTTTAGCGAATATGAAATCCGGCCAGCATAATATTAGGGATGATGGTCGATTTCCCTTTGTTAAATTATGTAGATTTTATTAAAGTCCGATTACTCTAATATCGCGAAACAAACAAGAAATCATTAATGTCTTGATTCAAAAATAAATCTAGTCGTCGTTCGGCGACTGCTGTACGCGGGTAAAAAAATTAACACGCGAAAACGGCAAAATAAGCAGTCACACGTGGCGAGACCTTTTCAAGGCGCATGCGCGTAAATCTACCCGCGTACAGTAGTCGCCGGACGCTGACTATATTACAATCGAAAAAAACGAATACCTTAAATTTTTATATATTTTTTCAGGAAGTAATTAGGTTTTCCGTAATTGTAATATAATAATTGCTTTCGCTTCAAGACACATGGAGTGTGCTTTTAAAATTTAAAATTGTACACGTTATGCGCCTTTAAATATTAAATAAAAAGAATTACGATAATTTAAGACATCACCTGCATTTTTATCCCGCTGAATAATTAACAACAAATATAATTACCCTGTCAAAGACGGTAAAACATTCCCTGACGACTTCGTTCCAGTTGCTCTTTTTCATTGTTAGTCTTCTCATGACGACGCAGAACTCATCGAAATCGATTTGGTGATTTCCGCGTTGATCTACCTTCAAACAAGACGATGAAACAGAAATAAATGAATGTCGATGCATTCAAACAAGACAGAGTATTTAATTTCTAGTCAAATAAGCCGGTGGCTGTTTTTTTCGTTATCTAGCAAAAGAATAAACAAAATTATTTAAAAAAAGAATGGGATTCTGTTACCACCAAAACATTTTTGCTTTCTGTTTTAATTGAAACGCCAACATACTTCGTCAATAATCTTGTCCAGTTCATCACGAGTTTGCTCCAGACCCAGATTTTTTATTGCAGCTTCAAGCTCATCAATTGCAATGGCTCCACTCCGATCTGAATCATATTATTTGGGATGTGGGAAATTCGATATGCGAAGGATTTCTCCTCGTTTCCCATTGTTTTGTTTTCCGAACAAGCGAAGTCGTATAATTAACACTCACCAGCATCGAACATGTTGAAGACTTGTCGGTATTCGCTCAGTTCTTCTTCCGAATAGCCTTCGAGCAAATGCTGCGACAAAAGTGGATCGGCAACGCCGTGTGGCGAGCTGCCATCGCCACGATCCGAATGAAGTTTGAGCTGAAATATGACCACGTTTCGCATTAATAACAGAAATTCGATATTATCTTGAATGCCTTCTTGTTTTCAATAATAGAAGAATCGAAAACACTGTTGTTCTTTCATTATTGAAGACGACTGATTTCAAAAAACTCCAGGTGGCAACCATATGTTCAATCTCAGTTGAATGCCATTATAACCGAACAATTTATTAACAAATGAAAACACGTATTGATTAATTCACGTATGTAGTTGTCAATTGGAAAGGCATGAACTCGAATGCCAAATATATCCACTCGGATATATACATATGTCATTTTTATAGAGTAAGTCAAGAAGATTCTTTACATCGCAAAGACAAACCAATTCATTCCTCGGAGATCGCATATTGTGAATTGGGAATTCTAAACGTAGCAGCTCACAAATTTATTGATACAACACAATTTATGTTGTTGTACGACTTCTATGATGACTAACGAAAACAACTTGGAATATTGGCTTATATGAAATACATGTATACGTATATTGTGGGAGAATGGAAAGCTGACAAGCTACTTGTCCCGCTAATCGAATGAACATGATTACCCTTCGAAAGTGCATTGTACTTCGGATTAGTCAACGAAAATCAATTACCTCTTCTCCCATAAGGAAGGTATTCTCGCTACTAAATTCGACATTCATTGCGCAAATGAAATGCAGCTAAAAATGGCCGATCTCTTTTTGTTTTACGACGTCATGTACAATAAAAAAAATAGTGGGTCTTGCGAGGAAAGCAAGCAAGCCGACGGCAGATGAATTTATAAACTGCCAAGTGTCTTGACGCCGAGCCCCGTCAATTGTTTGGAAAAAAAATAAAACAAGGGCATTGTGAGAAACACGACACGAAAAAAGGAAGCAATTCGCACCTTGCGTAACGATCCTTGGTTGAGAAGGCCGCGCGGAGACGTGAAACATCCATTCGCCACCATTATATTTTCTCTTTTTTTTTGGCCGACTAAGCAACAAGGTTCTTGCTTTGTTTGCTTCTATTAATAATGCGAATGGCGTGTCCCTTGGTGACGGTGAAACGCTGCTAAGTAATGAAGTGCTCAATGAGCCAGAGGCATGTGAGAAACGAAAGCAATCGATTTGCGCATGAGCACAATAGGTGCGCTCGGAGTGGAAAACTACGAATTATTAGAGAGGAGGACGTATACACTTATGAGAAGAATGGAATATCTGGAAAATGACCCTATAACATGATTGTTTTCTGTCAATAAACAAATTTAATTACAAAAATGTGCTATATATTAATTTTGAATTAAGCAGTAATTAAGTCATTAAGGATTCTTTTTGTTTTCAATGAATGCTCAGACTCTCTAAAATTTGAAAACCTTTCCAAATTTTTAAACATGTACAAGATGAATTAACTGATTCACTGACGTTATTATTTTTTTGGTATTTTTAAATTATTTTGCAATATTTATTTATTTATAATTTTTTCATTTTTGTTTTAAATAGTCTAGAAGACATATTTTTCAAAACCCTTTGCAGATTGAGCAAAACACCAGTATTTTTAATTCTTTTTTCACATTATCTGCATATTACAAGAAACAATGAAATTATTTCGGATTCATCTTTTTATGATAGCCGTGGCGGTTCTCAACAATTTAAATTTTATAAAAAATTTAAACCGATTGGTAATCTAAGAAAATTGCAAGAGAGAATAAGTAGAGCGCGTTTTATTAAAATTTGAATAGAAAAATTAAAAGAAAAACAAGATATTAGGATGTTTTTGTATAACTTTCAACATTGTAACTCTGCTTAAAATGGAAACCAGAAACTACCAGAAACAGTCGCAGCGAGACCCAGTTTTTGATACTTTTACTTTTTTTTTTACATAAATTGAATAATTGGTTTTTAAGATTCAAATTCAAAAAAACAAACCTCTTCGATCATGAATTGCGACAATCTTCGTCGGACATTTGGCATTTTAATATTCAACCGCCCAGAATGATATTCCAATGGTAATTTGGCTGGCATGATGCCAAAAAAAAACACAAATAATGGAACAAGAAAAAAACACGAAAAAATGAGAGAAATTCCTCTTTTCGGCCACAATAATTCAATTATCGAAATGGTATATGCATCTGGGAGGGGCTTTAGGGACCGCCTGTGGCTCAGTGTCAATTAATACGAAATAGGAAATGAATTTCGAGGAGACAGCACGCTTTCAGTAGCACAATAATAGGAAGCCTCTTTTTGACAGCCAAAAATTCCTATTATTATTAAAGCTTTAAAAACAAAAAAAGAAGGGAATTGGATATTATAGTCTTTTGTTTTGTTTTTTTTCACCAAAATATTAGTGAAACTTGTTTTTGTAAGAAAATAATGAGAAGAAACATTACTCGAGTTGTACAAAATGCAACATAGCATGTGTACATAGTTAAACAGTTAAGTTGAGTTCTCGAAAACTGAGGGTAGGATTTGGAGTTTTTGAACAAGACAGAGCTATTATTTTATGTCGCTCGGAGAGCACCATAATTGTTGGGGGAAGCACAATGCAACTTGGTCCCCACAAATCACACATCACAACAAACAAACACAAATAGGATTTGGTTAAATGCGTTTTTTTTTGCTTTTTTTAGTAGACTCACATGCTTAGGTTGTTAGTTCTTATGATTCATTGAAACTCATTATATGAACTAAAATGATTTTAAATTCTGTTTCTAAAAAAAGAAAATTTTACGAGAATTAGTTACCGCGTGAACCACCCCAAAAATATACAACAGGCTTTTTAATTACTATATGTGAATAATATGTGCAAATTAAAAAAAAGTTAATTGAAAGAAAAAAATGATTTCATGCAATTCAGCGCATATTTCAGTTCCAGCAGACTGCACTGGGTCTCATAGCGACCGATTCTGGTTCTTCTTTATTTTTCCGATCTTTATAATGTAAAAAATACTGATAAAACAACTAAAATAGGATTCATGTAAAAAAAAATAGTGAATATGAATATCTGGAGACATTAACTGAGATTGTAACGTGAAGATTCACTAGATTCATTGCCATAGCTTTATATAATTCTTTCACAGAGGTTATACGGATTGGAATAATCTATCTTCTAATCTGTACAGGATTATATTCGCATGAACAAAATTTAGATGGATTTATTAATAATACATAATCGGGCAAACTAGCCCGATAGTATCAGGTTGTTCTAAATATGAAATCGCAAAATTGCCTCCACATTCAGTCTTGGTAGAAAAACTGTTATCACGCGAGAAAGGCGAATTGAGATTTCCAATAAAAAATGCAATTTTTAGAATACAATATATTTTTAAACGTCTTAAATTCTAAATAAAATTGTTTCATAGACATCTGTAGTCGAAAAAGATCATGCATAAATTGTTTATTGAGTTTTAAATTACGGTGTATTTTGTAAATTCCATGAAAGGTATTCATAGAAGAAAATGGCAGGCAAATATTATAATTAAATTTATGTTCAATTTTCAATTTATTTTAAATACACAGCTTTGTAAAGTAATAAAATTCATTAATTTAAAACAAAAACTAAAGCGGTTAAGAACAAAGTTTCTAACTGATAAAATATTTCCAATTCATGTTAACTCATCATAAATATGTAATTCTCAAATTCTCGGATGCTGCTTTGATTTTACAGAAATATCCTTATGAATGATCGATATGTTTTCATTAAATGATGATTATCGTTGGATTAGAATATTTCACATTTTTAATTTTAAATTTCTATTCGTTTCGTCATAATTAGAATGATTTTGTTTTATAATATCTACATACATATGTGCTGCATTCCTGAAAGAAAGAAACGAAAATGTCTCACCCGAATTGCGTCGATAACCGTTTGACCGGCCTTGCCTCGCAACATAAAACTACTTCTCGAGAATGAGCGTGACACCGATGAGCCCACTGTTAACGACATGCTACCCCGTTGCGAAGCAGCCGGCGTTGAGCCGCCGCCTCCGCCGACGCCCGTTGTCAGTATATGAGGAGCTGCATTGTTGTTGGTGATACCGCTGCCGCCGGATGTTGATGAAGCCGTCATCGGAGTGCTGCTTTTACGAAGTTTGCTGCTATTCATTGTTCTCTCGCCGGCAACTGAAGATTAGCCAAAAATTAGTTGCATATTTGTGCGGTAAAATCGAAATGTTTGTTTGATTAAACGCGAAGATTAGAATGAAAGTTTTAATGAAAAATGCAGACAAAAAGTTTTAATTAATTTAATAATTTCCCGTTTGACTTTATAATTCAATTATTGAATAAGAATAGCGATTTCTAAAAAAATGATAAATTTAGATTAAGAGTCATCGAATAGACTATTTCCTACATAATTTACTGAAAAAGTAATAAAAAACTTAGACAACGTAAAATCTATTGCATTATAACAATAAATGATTTAGATTATTCAGATTTTTCCATTGCTTTAATTTGGATTTTTTGATTTGGTTAAATAAAAATCTGATTTTAATAATTGTCCGTCTCACAAAATGTCATCAAATTACTCGTGCTTAATAAAAAAATGCTTAATAAAAATATATTACAAGGGTTTTTTGTTACAAAATTAACACCCACAAACTGAACCTAAGCTTTTGTCCTTAATTGTGGTGAGAATGAATCAACTCGCTCGCGTTTTTTACGATAGTTATATGACAGCAAGGAAAAACGAACTAGGAAAAAGATAGAGAAGATCTAAGTGAAGATAACGAATCAATTCGGTTTTTTAAAAATTCTAATGGTACTTCAAAGACAAATAACTACTTTTAATCGGTATTTTGAGTTTTTTCCTTCAAAATCTGCGTGTATTTCACCATAGAAATACTCTGGAAAGCGAATATTGGACATATTCAGAAAATGGTTTCTAGACGTTTTCATATTGTTGAAGACAGATGACTCTAAGCAATTCAAACAATCTAGATCCAATTCATCCTCAACTCTTGACGTAATACAAATATATGTTTTTATTTGGATATATTTAAACAGCACACCGTAATCGTATTCGATTACAAACAATTTATCAATGGATTTGAAAACGTCTAAATCTTAGTTTCAGGTCGCATGGGTTTCAATTCAATTATTTTAATTAAAAGAAAAAACAGGAGATAATCTTCGAAAAAATAGCAAAACAAATTCCAAATTTATTAAACAAACAATTATGCAAAACTTCCAAAAATAAAAGTCCGTGATTTCGATACAAAGATAGTATTCTCAAACGAATGAGACATACAAATGGAATAAAAATATTGAAAATAAATGCGCTTGATTCATCATTTTTTATGACACAATTAATCTGTTTTACTGAATTGAAGAGCAGCAAACACAAAAGGAATAAATAAATGAAATTTAGGAGCGGCAAAACGAATGAATCGAGCACTTGAGCGAGCAGTTTTGGTGAGTAAAAAGATCATTGTGATGAGAAAATCGTTTGAATTTACTCGCTTTTGCGGATTTCATTTCAATAAAAAATAAATAAAAACTACCCAAAAAAATTCCAAAATATATTATTTGAGAGTTGAAATCCTATATAAAAATGTCAAAAAAAAAAACAAAAGAATGCATGAATAAAAGATTCCATAAAAACTAGAGTTTATGGGTGGGGGTCAAGCCTGCGTCTCCGCATGAGGCGGCTCGAACCACCATTTATTGTTGTTCAAACGGACGCAACTAAAAATTTTTGAATAATAAACATTTTAGGTAATCGTATTCGAACCAAACGAACAATGTGTGCAGACGTGAAGAAGAAGACGGAAGCCGGATACATTTATCTTAGCCGACCCGACCTATTATTATACATATAAAATGTTTTTTTCAGTCGCGAAAAAATTTTATTATTTATAGATTATCCGTTTATAAATAAGAATGAGTCGGTGAATTAAATCGAAAAATGTCTAGTTCTTTTTGGTCTCTTGCTCTTCTTTTACCGGCTCGAGATCCTTGCTCTTCTCCTCAACTTCATCGGTCTTCTCCTCCACATCATCGGTTTTCTTCGTATCGACATTTTTCACGTTGATTCTGAGGATTGTGCAGTGAACATCAGACTTTTGAAGAGTACAGAAATCATCAGCATCGGCGTTGAATGAAGTTGGCTTCTCGTTGCACGTAACCACCACATCTTCGCTGCTGAGCTTGGCGCGGATAGCTTCAATCGAATCTTTCACATTTTCCTTGACGTTCTGAAATGAAATTCAATGAAAATTCAAATTTAAATTATTGAACTACCTCTTGAAGGATCAATCTCAATTCTTCGCTGTTGCACTTCTGGTCATCAGTGTGAGAAACAACATTCTCAGCCTCCCTCTTCGTGCGGCATCCACCGCATCCTCCTCCTCCTCCGCCTCCGCATCCTCCACCGCACGATGGTGGTGGTGGTGGTGGCGCGCAACCTCCTCCGCAGCCTCCTCCACCTCCACCACAGCCTCCTCCACCTCCACCACAGCCTCCTCCACATCCTCCTCCTCCTCCGCCTCCGCATCCTCCTCCGCACGATGGTGGTGGTGGTGGTGGCGCGCAACCACCTCCGCAACCTCCTCCACCTCCACCACAGCCTCCTCCACATCCTCCGCCTCCTCCACCTCCGCAGCCTCCTCCGCATGATGGCGGTGGTGGTGGGGGAGCGCAACCTCCACCGCATCCTCCTCCGCATCCTCCGCCTCCTCCTCCTCCGCATCCTCCTCCGCAAGGAGCTGGAGGCGGTGGAGGTGGTGCACATCCTCCTCCACATCCTCCACCACCTCCACATCCTCCGCCACATGATGGCGCAGGTGGTGGTGCACATCCTCCGCCACATGATGGTGGTGGTGGAGGAGGAGCGCAGCCTCCTCCGCATCCACCTGTAATAGTTGGATTAAAATCAAATAACAATAGGGGGTAAACTCACATCCACCTCCGCCAGATGGACTAACGGATGGGAATAAGAATGCGGTGGTGCATGTTGCTCCAAGCAGAACTAATAAAACGCTTCGCTTCATATAATCCTTAAAAAAATGCTTCTAAACACAACCATTTTTTAAACAAATCTTACGTTAATGATATAAAGCTTTGTAGAAGCAATGTATAATTTTCCATCCAATTATGTCATCTTTTATATGAGTCAACATAATACCAGTTTATGGAAGAGGGAGATACGCGAGGAGGAGTCGATTCTGAGATAACGTACGAAAATGTTATCTGTTTCCTCTATTTCACTACCAGTTGCGCAAGACCAGTACGATATACTAGATGCTAATTACTAACGAACAAATATAAGGAACTTGCTTTAGTATTATCCTATCCATTAAACAAATCTAAACAACACGATAAGGTGCGACAATCTGTTAAAAATAAACAACAAGAGTTCAGAACTAAATGTTTAGTTTTGTTTAAGTTAAGCTCCCACTCATATCTGTTGCTTATCGGCGTCCGGTGACTGCGGTACGCGGCTAGATTTACGAGTGCGTCTTTCGAAATAGTTTCGCTTATTTTTAAATTTTCACGTACATAAACTGTTTAATTTTTCTTGATAAGTATGTATATTAATTTACATATATGTATTTAAATTCTCAATTTCATTGAAATTAAAAATTAACGGAATTATCTCTAAATTGCAAAAAAAAACAGATAGTCCTTGAAAAATGGTTGACAATCTTAAAACATTTAAGCGGAAACATGGCTCCTCCAAGGGATTTTCAATTCTTTTCCGTTGATGGGTAGCCCATTTGTTTCGATTCGAATTTTCCACAGTCGTTCATTTGAATCATTCAATGCTTACAAGTTTCGCATTTTATTGAAGATCTGTTTTGTTGAATTCCGCAATCAACAGTGATACACATTTCGAGAGCGTTTTTCTGAAAATTAATATTTTGAGAAAATTGTCTTTAAATATTCTTTATTTCGTGAAAGTTGCACTTCTTCAGATTTACGTACATATCTTCATACATTTGCTCCATTTCATAGTGTTTCTGTCAAATAAAAAATGATAATGAGTGTGTGTGTGCATGTTCTAATATAATATGTATTATACCAATGTTAATATGTTTTTTGTTTCAGAAAATAATCGACGTCTACGCCCGGATCTTATCCATGTTTTCAGTTGCGCGATGTAAATTCTATATTTTCAGAGAAAGGATATGCCTCCCTCGAATATATTATTATTATCAGACAATTCATTCGATATGAATGCGATGCTTTAAGCTGACTATTTTCTTCAATATTTTGTCATACTCGATCTTATGCGAAAGGTTTTATTGCATTTTTCAAATCTCTCGTTTTATTCAATGGCTTCAAATTGTATAGAAGAGCTCCAAATAAATTAATGATTTTTTCATTCCATTGCAGCGTCAGCTTGAGAAAAAATTTATTTTTTTCTTATTTCTCATTTATTTTTCAAAAATTTTATACTAAAAATCTCAATCATCATATATATATATATATATATATATATATATATATATGCATTTCAAACGAAATTCTCATTTTTGTTTAAAAAAACGCTTTGTGAATAACAATTCAAAATAGCACGACAACTAATTTGATTTTTTTCTATTGCAAAAATTTACAATTTTGTTCGATATTTAGCAGAACCAATTTATAAAATAAATGGACTTGTATTATTAAATTGTTGTGATAAACATTATCAATAGCTAACAACCAACGAAAATTTAGTTAATGTGATATCATATCTTTTTTTCATCGCATCAACTTTAATGTATGGCTTCTGTATTTACGTTATTCGTTTCGAAACAAAGCGGAAACAAACATGTACTTTGAAATAAGCAGAAATGAAGAAATTTTGTGATATTTTAAATGCACGCTTTGAAAAATTCCGAGCTGAAGAAATTGAAACAAAAGCAAAGAATACGTCATATATGTATGTTGAGTCGTAAAAACGACGACTTCGAAATAACCGCTTCTTTGAAGTTTTTCCTTGTGGTCTTCGAATTCCCTGCTATGTTGTAGCCACCCACTCTTTTATTTGTATGGTTTCCGGCTCGCTTGTATAAATCATGGGTTCTCAGGGAGACTTCATTATTCTTCATTCTCTTTATGCGGTTTTGACTAATAGAATGTCCGAAATCTCCGATCATCATGTTAATTTGTTCCATACTTATCATTCGATTATTTTTATATCGCTCAGTATACTTAAATGTCTACGTTAAAAAAAGATTTCAAATTTGCACAATGTATTATCGAATTTACGTATATATTTCAGTATAATATTAAATATAGCGTGAAACACCATTATAGCTTATATAAATTCGTGTAGCCATTGGGTATTTTTGGTATTGCGTCTATGACGTATACCTGCATGAATCCTCGGTGGGAATTTTCGGGTCCGGTGCGAATGGAAATAGTGAGGACCCCTCGAAAAAATTATTTGGCACCTTGTGGTTGATATGATGGTCCACCTCGATGAAAGTTTTTGCATTTTCATCCGCGAGCGACCCACCAATTTCCATCGAAGAGGATGTAGTAGATTTTTTTCCCAGTAAATATCAATAATATCATGTCTTATATATCGCATCTTCAAAAGTTGAAAACGTTTCAATTTTCCTATCTGCAATTTCATTATTATTTTTGTTCTAGCGCATTGAACACCATGTACTATGAGTTCTTAAATGTTTTGGCAAAATATTTTATTCTTTTGTATTTGATTCTGAAACTTTGTTGAGCACAACAATTTTCCATTTATTCAACGCTAAAAATTATAATTGAATTGATGAAATTTTGTTTTGCAATTTTTAGCATATTGTTTCTTATAAATCAAGGCATTGTTGAGGGCCGAAGAATTATAGGGGATCGTGGTTTTTGGTGAAAATTTAAGAGCCGCCAAAATCGTCCGTCTTCGGCAATACTACAATCTCTCTGATATGGCGCCAAAAGAAAGAATATCCTTGTTTTTCATTTTTTTTACAATTACGAAATATTATTTATATTTTAAGGTTAAGGGTAGAAAAAAATCGAGAAATAAAATCTATAGATCCCGGATCAACCAGAAATTTAGCAAGCATTATTCTAATAGATTGACTTAGCTTAATTTGAATTAATTTTAAACCATACATTTTATGTTATGATGACGATAGGTGAGGCAACAAAAACGGTTAATCGATGGCACATCGTTGCATCAAAGGAACAAGCTCGGTAAAATTTAATGAGAAAATCTTTAAAAAAAAATTAATTTTAAAATTCTGGAACAATGCCTTAACTTGTCTATTATTTTATTCGGCATCCTTCAACTAATGTACATGTGAGAGTTGATTTATTGATATTAATTGTTATATCCTAACCGTATATTGTTGAATGAAATTGTAGAATATTTGTGCAAAATAATACTGAAAGATGATAATTAATTTACTCCAACATTCATTAATCGCTGAAGTTTTCAACGGCCAATACTGAATGGGAGAAGCTGAATGGGGGAACGTCTATTATTTGTCTTAATGGAGGGAAGAGCTGAATGGGGTAAAGTTGAAAAACGTTATTTCTGAATTATATCAAACATTGATTCAAATGAGTGTTTTTGTGCGCTTTAGGCGGTAATAGGCTTAGGTAAATCAGTGTTGGGCTTAGCCTAACGAATTGTTGTCTCTAAGCCTTAAGCGAACTGTTTGAAAAACGAAACCAACTAAACATTTCATGGTTTCACCTAAAACTTTTATTTGAAGAAAACATCAAGAAAATAATTACAATTGCTTCTGCTTCATCTTGGATGGTCTTACGCCGATAATTCTGAATTAATAAGCGCACTCGAAATATGTTTTTGTAGTTCAATTCTCGCAACGATTAAGTTTTTTACATTTTCAAAATTTTTTACATTTTCAAATATTCATCACGACTTTTCCCCCATTCATAAATAACAATTTTCAACTTTACCCCCATTCAACCCTCCCCTCCCCATTAAGACAAAAAATAGGCGTTCCCGCATTTAGCGATTTCCTCCCATTCACCATATTCAGCTTCCCCATTCAGTATATACCGTTTTCAACGTATTTTCAAGTATCTAAAAATGTGAACCAACGTCGCACAGACGGTATTATTTTCAACAAATTGAGGTCAAATGCATATCACAATTTAATGTTCGTAATTTTGATGATCGCTTAAATTTGCATGCATTCGAAATAGCACCGTTTTACGTCAGTCCCAATCCGAGGCAGGTGAAATCAAAGTTTTACGAAAGTAAAAAAGCTAGACAAGCGGCATCCTCGTATCCAATTTTTCAATAGACTCCGCCCTTTCGCAGAAACAACTGCGACCCCCTCATTCATTCGTCGTGTTTTCAGGTATCACACTCGGAATTTGCGATGCTCGCAAATATTCTGGCAATCAATGTTTTCGTCTATGTCGCGTTTGCATCTGCAGTACAAAACGAACTAATTCAAGGTAAAATTCGAACTTCGCAATGATAGGCATCATTCGGGTTTAGACTTCCCAGTTGTTGATTGCGGAACACTCGCAATATGCAATGGGGACCAAGAATGTCTCGAGGTTCTGACGAGATTATATCGTCTGGATTGCCCGATGAATGGTAAAACAAAATTCTATTTGCGGAAAAATATTCTGACACTGATGCCTTATTTGCCTTGTTAATTAGTGCACTTCTGTTTATGACGGTTGAGCGATGTTTGGATTAGACAAGAAAAAATTAACAAAAACATGGATTTAAAGACCAAATTTGCAGCGCAAAAATGATTTCGGGGTTTTTTTTTCTAGAAACAATCATTTGATTTCAATTCATTTTTTTAAGTATTTGATGTGGAAAACGAGAAATCCTTATCGAGAAATAATATAAAGTTTGATCAGGATAGGATTATTCGCCACATAATGTATTCATTTCTTAAATAAAAGCTAGCTACAACTGCGCATAACTTATAATAAATTAGCTGTTTACAAGATATTTATGAATATTTTTAGATTTGGAAGACTCATCTAAACGATCAATTGGCGGCGAAAAACGCGCAGGACTCAAAAATATTAAGGAAATCTTCATGAAGAGTTATTTGAACCGAATGCGTTGACCACAAACTATATATGTGCATATGAAATATTTGATAGTTATGTCTTCTCATTCATTAAAATCAACGATTGAGTAGAACTGATTGTTAACGAACATCCCCCGATTCACATATCTTCTCTTCTCAATCATTCGTCGCGCTACCGAACCTAATAAACGCTTTCCAGTGTTACGTTTGAGATGTTGCTTTTATTAAAGCGTTGACACACGAAATACAACAATTTGCAATAAAATATATTCATGCAAAATCTAAAATTACTGTTTGGCAAGACAGTCAAGAATTGTTTTAGTTCTGTTGGTACAAATCGCTGGATGTTCTCCAACTTCGAATGGGGTCCCAGTTGATTTCTTAAATTGATCAAGCGAATTGATTTGACCATCTTCTACTTTCGATACGGCGTACTTCTAAAAACAGTACGGTCCTATTTGGACAAATGCGATATGATCATAGAATATGAAGCTGCCAAATGGGGTCGAAGCAATGTTTTTAAGTGAATATATTAGAATAGCAAAACAGACTAATTTGTTTTTGCTATCGGCAAAGCGAAATTTTATGAAAATATCAATTTTAATCTTCGCTTCAACCTAAGCTTGTTTTATTTTCAAAAAAAGGAATACGAAATGCAAAATAAAAAGTAATCCCGAATAGTTTGGTATCTTTGGTCCGCAAAGACTTAAAAATTTGAATATGAGGAATACATATCTACAAAATTATCTCCCCATTATTTATCAGATTCACAATCCTGACCCTGGTCCCATTCGAATGGACCTTGTTCTCTAAAGACCGGTCCGTTTAGTCACTAAGCCTCACTTGGCAGACCAGATTGGGAATTGGCCGCAATTTTCACGATTTTTACGAACATTCGTCCCCATCGATGGTGCTATTCATTCAATTCCGTTTTCAGCTGGCATTCACTGCTGTTCTTCTGTTGTCTTTAGGTCAAGCAGCTCGGCAAAAACATCAAATATCGAGGCGTTTTCGGTCACAACCGCCATTGGCCCTATGTGTAGATTATGATGAATTGTTGGAAGTAGCTGAGCACGAAGATAATTTGATATCTTTTCGCCATCTCCCAATATTTTTAAAAATATTTTACCAGGCCAAAGTAATAAAATCTAACAAAGCTTAAAATATAAAATTTTAACACGCAAAACTGATGTCGTGAAAGATTTCGCAATTTTCTAGAAATTTCGTGAATTTCGTGATAGTCCTTTTTTTTGGCGTTTCGAAGTATTCCCAATATGATAACGAATAATAATAACGTAATTTAAAAATGCATGCCCTGGATATTCTTATCTTATTATAAGAATTCAATTCCTTCATTAACGCTTATTTTCTTTTAGGGAAAAGAAAAACAAATTGAAAATTTCACCTGGTTAAGCAGATGAATTTTTAATTAATTTGATTTATGACGGTTGAAGAAAAGGAACAAACAACAATTATATCTATCTAACCTTGACATTTAAATAATAAAGAAATTTCTTAACAAAAATTAAAACAATTCTATTCCTTCTTTGGCACGATGTCAGAGAGCCCAATACCAACTGGGATTGGTTCGACACCTGCCACCATTCGTTCATGTCGCTCTGCAGCCCATCCAGCTCTAACATCTCTTGTCCATCGTGGCACGACACCATCAGCAAGGAGTCGTACCATAACATCCTCATGATTCCGGAATGGATGTTTCCTCCAGCGGGCTTTCAAATGGCCTTCAAGATTTGAGAAGAATGGTAACGCCTTTGGTTTTCGCAGTGGATAGCGACCTTCACCGTAGAAATCATCGAGATTGAGTCTCTGAACATGTAAAAACTTTAAAAAAAAATTAAGATGGCTATGCATACACATAATTTAGACCAAATTCAAAATAAAGAAAAAGAATAATTGGTTTTTACTATTGTGCAGGGTTGGTAAATTGAAGCCGGGACCGAAAGCCGGCCGGCCGGCCCGGCTTTCGGCCGGCTTTCGGCTTTTTTTTGAATTCCCGCTTCGGCCGTGCGGCCGTAAACAACGGAGTTGGGGGCCGAATCGCGGGCCAAAAATTTGACAGCGAAAAAAGCCGGCCGAAAGCCGGCCTCAGGCCGGCTTTCGGCCGGCCGGGCCCAAAATTTAACAACCCTGCTATTGTGAACAGACGAATCTGTTTTCAGATTTTTATTGGAGCCTTGGGCCTTGCAACATTAAAATCTTACATCCAAAGCTTCGAGCTCATCCTCGACCTTAAGTTCAGTAGAAATTGGTGATGCCACAATTTGGGGTAGGAAATGTCTTGAAGGTGACATTTCCACAACATGCAGTCCTTTTCGTTCAGCGAGCTGCTGGTGTGTCTCCTGATTCAGTAGTCCGGTAACGAAAGCATGTGTTAAGGCTAGATAATTTTTGGTGGATCCTTCAACTTTAACGTAAATATCCTTGATTCCAATAGCTTCGCAGATCTTGATCAGTCGAGGATGACAAACGAGACCGTAGCCGAGCGGACGACGTTGGGCAAACACGCGTGTGTTCCTGCATTCTGCATAGAAATCTTGATAGATGGTTCTATCCTCGTGCAATTCGACGAAGAACAACTTTTTGGACGCCATGTTCATTCCATTAATGATTGCTGTCGTAGTACGATGGATTGGCGCTTTTCCAACGGCGTAACCAGCAAGACCTTTGCCGTTACCCGTGACAATTAGTGCTGACATGGTGTGAACACGACCGAACACATTCGTCATGTTTGACGTTCGTTTGACCTTGGAATATAATACTGTGAAACTGTGAAAATTATTAATAAAAAATACCTCAAGACAATAGGTTTCAAAGTCGCTGAAATCGACACCATCAATAGGTGGTGGCGGACCCAATTTCTGACCTACAAGCTGTGTTCCAGAGAATCCTCGTTCCATCGGATGAAGCTTTTCGCGATTTCTCTTCTTTTTTCCAGTATCACGCTCTTCGAGGTTTCGCTTTACGCTCCCGAAATTTTCTCTAACCTCATCTTCAGTTTGCTCGACAATTCCCACCAATGGTTGATCCTCCTTTAATCTAATTGGAGCATTTAAACCAGCAAATTCCACTTTCATTGGACCTGAATTAGTATAATTTACGCAATAATTTCTAGAGATTCCACTGACTTGATCCAATTCTGTAAAAGCGATTCAAAGGTCTCACAGGCTGCCTAGTATTCCTACGACCTTTCTTCTGTCCTGATTTTGAAACAGAAGTCAAAGTTTTCCACAGTTCTGGTCCAGTTCCTATGAAATAAATAAAACATTAGAGATATAAAAATTAAACGACAAATGAAATTCCATTGTTGTAAATTAAAGAAAAAGACATTAATTTTTATTCATGACGCCTAATTATTCAACATGAAACATACATATATATGAAAAAATTATCAGCACCAATCATTCCACATATTTATAATTCTCAGCGAATGTAAAAATAAACTCACTTCTCATAAAAAAGTTAACCGTATTGCTACGTATTTGAACGAGAGGAAGTAAAGAAGCCATCTGTAATAATAATTAAGAATATTATGTTAATTTAATCTATGATATGGCAATGGCAACGAACACCATAGTGTTATAAATTGTAAATACACATTTGAAATGTTTTATAACGGATGCATTACATACAAAAATGGAAGGCAGAAATGTGAATATATGGAGAAACCCGGGCTGTAATCTATATCACTTATTAGACTTATAAACAATCAAGAATACAAGTGGCAAGAAAATACCAAAAACAATAAATTAATTAATTTTTGCATAGAGTTATGCTTATTCTAAATCGTTCCTTCGTCTCGCGAAAATTATAATTACCGGTATCACGAGAAGCATACTCATTGCTATGATATCCCATCGCGAGCCGAGTGTGTTTTCAAGAAACGAAAACAATGGCAACTAAATTATCCATTGATTATTGCATTTCAAATATGAAAAATACCTTGTTAATTTGCTCGAGATAAAATACAACAGCCAATTTTGCCAGTGCCAACTTCGCCGGGAAATAAGCATCTGCATTATGTTCTATTGACTGATCATAGAATCTTTTTGCAAGATAAAGATCCTGAGAAAAAAGAAAAATGATTGAAAGAGTATAAAAATTATAATGTTACCCTAGAAATTCCTTCTCCTACTTCATGCATATATCCAAGATTAAACATAGCTTGAGCAACAGCATGACGATCTACAGCAGTTTTGTAGTTCATAAAAGCCTGCAATTTACATAATCACGTTATAAAACTGGGATTTACAATGTTGGAAATAAATAAATCTTTTAAAACATGAATTTCTAACAATTTAAAAATACACACCATTCCGAAATCGGGCTCGGTTCCAAGACCATAATAATAATAATCTCCGAGTTTCACCCGAGCCACTGGATATTCTTGATTTGCAGACCTTTGCCAATTTACAAAAGCTCGTTCTAAATTATTTTCTCTTGATCCCGGGAACAGTGCAGTCGCTTCTCCACGGTCCAAAATGTACGCCAAATTTGTCTGCGCAACTTCATATCCTAGCTCGGCGAGGAACAAGTACTTCATTGCCGCTTCGTCTTGTCTGCCATTCTTATATGCCGAATAGGCTTCCATCAATCGTTCGCCCCATTTGCCACGCTCTGCCACCGATTTGAATAACTCGACGGCATGTGTACACGAGCGAGCAACACCAGTACCAGTTGCATGCATTTGAGCGAGATTGTAATATCCGAGCATATGACCACTTTGAGATGACATTTGGAACAGTTTGAGAGCTTTTTTGAAATCTCTTTTAATTCCTGCTGAAGTTGGTACACCTTCTAAAACAGGAGAATGGTTTGCAAATGAAAATAATATTTCGAATTACTATAATAAAGTTCTCCAAGGTAAAGCTGTCCTTCAACATGTTTCTTATCCGCAGAAAGAGTGAGCAATCTCAAGGCTTTGTCGAAATTTTTTTTCACGGATAAACCTTTCATGTACATTAGTCCAAGAGTAGCTTGAGCACTAGCAGAACCCTGAAAACAAATTGCAGTTAATTGAGAACGTTGGCGAAAAAATAAACAAAAATTACCCTATCTGCTGCTTTCAACAAATATCCAAATGCAATTTCACCATCCTTAGGAGTCGACGGTGTTCCTTCTAAATACATTTTTCCAAGCTGAGCATGCGCATCCATATTTCCACTCTTTGCAGCCGCGTCGAAATAATTGTGTGCAAGTTCAAAATTTTGTTCAACACCACGTCCACCATTCAAATAAATCTGTCCGAGACCCAATTGAGAAGATACATCGCCTTTATCAGCGAGCATACGATAGTATTCAAGAAGATTATTGTCTAATGGTGTTGTTCCAGGTTGGACGGTGATTGTTGGATCATTTTCGTCAGTAAGACGAACGCGTTGAATAGCTTGACTTGTCGTCAGCCTAACATTGTCAGCAACAAATTTCGCAACTTTTTGATAATATGAAAGTGCAGATTCACAACTCTGAGGAACACCAACTCCAGAATGATATCGAAAACCCTAAACCTAAGTTTTTCTAAGTGTACGAAGAATTAAAACATACCATAGCCATTTGAGCCAACGGATTACCGCCTAAAGCAGAGAACATGTAATAAACTATCGCTTTTCCTTGATCAGATTTTTCCATTCCAACTCCGGTCGCGTGCATGAATCCAATCCCCAATTGAGCATCTGGTGATCCAGTCGATTCCAACTCAACGAATGTCTTTTTTGCTTCCTCTATAGACCAACGAGTGTAATCACCAAAAAGATGTCCGTATGCTTAAAATTAAAAAAAATTATCGAATTGTTAAAATAAATTTCACCAGTGATCTTTTTTGCTTCCGGATGTCCTAGCTGGGCAGCAAGTTCGAGCAATCTATGTGCTGCTCTTTTTCCATCTTTACCATGACCTTTTCCTTTTTCGGTATAAGATAAAGCTTGTGTAAAAAGCATTCCAGCTTCATGAGCACTTGTTGATGACATGACTGAAGCCTTTTCAGGAACATACTCATCGCTAAAAGTTGTTGCCACATTATTGGCTTTCTTTTGTGCACGTTGTTCTTCGATTTGTTCCCAGTCTAAGTCATCATTTGAAAGTTTAAGCCCAGCTGAAACAATGAAATATATTTTAAAATTAAAAAAAAAAATATATATACCAGTTTGAGTCTTTTTTATATGCAACTCCTGTTCATCTTCAGATGTTAATCCAATTATATTTTTCTTCTGGCAATCGATTCCAATTAGCAGAAATAACGCCAATATTGCACATTTTTTAATCATCCTGTATATGAAGTAAATTCATTTTTTCGAATAATACATATTAAGTATAAATTTAAGAGATAATATTTAAATTGATTAACAAACTGTATCGTTATAAAAAACGGACAGTTGTAAACCAAGAGTTATGTAAATTAAGGAGCATGCGAAAATATCTGACGTTGAGAAAATAAAATACGATAAACCGAAGGCAGTGTTCCGTTTACACGAAGTATCGTAGCGTGGGAAACTCGGCCACAGCAAAACTAGTCCAAAATAAAAAAATGAATGGCATCATTGGCTGTTTTAAAACAGCCTCATTATAAGATATTACATTTTAAGAACTGTTTTATTAATTAAATAACCCGGAAAAATGTATTGAAGAAAATTAAAAATTAGGAGATGAAAATTCGTCAAACTCTCAAAAGTCACTAGATGGGACATTTTGTGTCCAATTTTCGATTGTTTTAACTTTTGATATTTGATTATTGAGAACCTTTAATAAAAGCACATAAATTATTTTTTATGATAAATCTACACTTTTCAGGAAATACATATAAACTGAGTTGGCGTGCACACGATCAGTCTTTTGATTTCGACTAGATACTAAAAATTATGTATTTTTCTTTAAATTCAAGAAAAATGTCATTAATGACTACCGGAAAGTAGTCTAAAGGCCATCACAAATCATTCCTCGCCATCACAATTCAATATCTGAAGCACATTATTGAAAGTTTAAAATTGATAAACTATTATTAAATTGTACCGCCAAAGCCACACGCCACCAAAGCCACCTACGCACACAGTGTAACCTTTATATTGCATTCGTGTGCCCCTATAAAAGGGAGCCTCAACGCCCATTTTTTCACTTTCTTTCCCTTCGTTGGTTGTTGTTCAACTTATATTCAATTTATGTCCAATTCATGTTTAACTTATTTTTAATTTATTTCTTTTACAATAAAGTTTAATTACCCAAGTTTGAGGTTGTCCATCTCCTACTGGTTAATAAATTTGGTGCATCGACGACTTACGAATTCAAGCCGCCGAAAGATCAAGCCAACAAGTTCAAGTCAACAACCAAAAGCCATCCTGAAAGAAAACGACTCAACCACAACTACGGCCATCCAGCTTCATCTTCGAATTACAACAAATCGAAGGTCCGTTTTCTCAACATTGCAAGACCCGCGTGGCACAACTCATACTTCAACGCTTTGCACGATACTAACAACACAAAGAACATCGATTTGATCGAAATCGAGTCCTAAACCATCAAGCCATCCATCCATTTGTTAGTCCTTCCAAAAAAAACTACACAGTCATTCATTAAAAATGAGTGAACTTCGCTATTACCTGACGGCAGCCACACGCTCAATGAACTCCCTGGCACAACAACTTATCGACGCAGAAAAAATGCGATCAGTCCTGAAGAAACAAGAAGAAAGTCATCAACCTATCACGGAAATAGAAGCCAGAAAAGTCTCAAATCGATTGAGACACATCATCCAAAACAGGAGCGACCTCGAAGAGCGAACTAAAGAGCTTATGACAGCAACCCGCCAAGTAGCTTGTGATGAACAAGGCCAGAAAACCCTCGACGAATTCATCGATAAAGCCACTGACGTAATCCAAAGAGCAAAGGACCAGGAGTTCCAGCTGGAAGACGACGAAAAGACAATCGAGACAATAATCAGATTGGAACAACCCAGCATAGAGCCATCGGAATCAAACGTTACACAACGACGAGAAGAAAGCAAACTGCCACCTATTCCAATCCCGAAATTTGCTGGAAATCTGTCAGAATGGACGAATTTCTACACAATATTTGAAGAGACTATCGACAAAAGAAACATATCCGACCTGGAAAAGCTCAACTATCTGCAACAAAGCTTACAAGGACAAGCGAAGAAAGTCATTCAGAAATTTGAATTCCGAGAGGAAAACTACAAAATGGCAATGAGCGCACTAAGAAAGAGGTACGACAACAAAGACGCCGCCATTCGCCAACTCAGCGAACTGCTGACGAACGAAAAAGCAGAAGGAACAAAGCTGAATCATCAACGCGAACTTTTCGACAAAGTATTCGCGATTACGCAGCAACTACGCAAACATGGCGAAGATTTGAATTCGCGAATAATCAAAGAAATGATTATAAGAAAGTTTTCGGGAACCATCCAACGAAAAGTTTTCGAGGATCGTGCCGAGAATTACGACAACGACGACAGATCATGGGACCTGGACGCAATTATGGACGAGATTGAGAAAACAATCAACAAAGAAGAACAACTTCAATCATGGATGCCAGAAAGCGCCAACGAAGCTGAAAAAAGTCATAGTTATCGACATCAGGAAAGGCCAGAACTATATCACCAAGGGAAGCCAAGACAACCAAAATATCGACAGGAATTGGGAAATCAACGACATGATTTCCATCGATACGAACCCAAAAATTCATATCGTAATGAAACTGATACCAAATCAGACAGAATAGTGGATAATCGACATCGAAGCTCGTTTTCGTGCGTCTTTTGCGAAGGAAATCATCTGAACAAAGAATGCACAATATCCATTACGCAGAAACGGGACGCACTCAGAAGAAAAAACCGTTGCTGGAAATGCTACAAAAATCACAAATCGAACGAATGCCCGACTTCAATCAAATGCTCGAAATGCAATGGAGATCACATTCAATATTTGTGTCTGAAGACTACGGAAGTCGACAATCAGAACTCTGGAAACCAAGGAAACCAGAACAACAATAGACGATCGGTACATTCGTCTAATCGCAGTCCGAATATAACGCATGCCACCATTCAAAGCAAGAAGGAATTGCCATGCGAATCAGAAAACTCGTCCGAGATCAAATTTATCCCAAGGCCACAATCGGGAATTCTACCAACCATCAAGGCCATGGCATTCAATCCAAAGACTGACCAATGGGAAAAAATAACAGTGATGTTCGATTCAGGAGCAGAAAACACATTCTGCACGGAAAAGCTTGCTGACAGCTGGAACCTGACGAAACTCGGAACCTCGAAAATCGTTCTTCAAACGTTTGGAGAACAAAAACTGACACAACATACGAGTGAAATTGTGGAATTGAAAATGCTCATTCGAAATGGAACCGAAACCATTAAGGCAATGCTCACAAAACAACTCGTCGGAACAATACGGAAAGCGGATATAAGTCAAGAAGACAAGCTGTTCATGGCCACGTTAAAAACGAAATTCAACGAGGATGAACACAATCTAGCCGCTGTAGAACCAGACATGATCATTGGTATGGACCATTTGACAACATTCTGGAACGGATCAATGATTAAACTTCCATCCGGATTGCATCTCATTCAAACGGAATTTGGGATGACCGTGATAGGCAAGACGATCAAGCAATCAATCGAAGACGAAACCGGAATTAGTCGGAGCAACATTATAATTTCCGGAGACGACACCATCGAATGGAATGAAGTGACGAAGACTGACAACGAATCAGCAGAATTCACAGGTTCCACAAAAGAAGAAAAAGCGAAAGAAGTTGAAGAAGTATGGAAAACGTTCAATTCCACCATCGAAAAGAGAGAAGAGGGATACTTCGTGCGTCTACCGTTCAAAAAAGATGCAGATCAACTTCCCGGAAATTACGCTATCGCGCACAAGCGACTGGTCAGTGTATTGAAACAGAACACACCAGCCATACTTCAACAAATCGATCAAGTGTTCAAAGATCAATTGGAGAAGCAGATCATCGAAAAGGTCAATGATCAGGGAAATGGACCCATCTCGAAAATCGTCCATTACAACCCACACCAACCTGTCATCACGCCGCATAAAACAACGACTAAATGCAGAATCGTGATTGATGGAAGCTCACATTTTCGAAACAACCTGAGCCTCAACGACGTACTTTACCAAGGAGACGTCATCCTGCCTGATTTAAAGAAACTTCTCATCCGATTCCGAACCGGGAAAACAGCAATCGTTTCCGACGTGGAAAAAGCCTTTCTTGCGGTTCACCTTCATGAAGATGATCGAGATGCAACCAGAGTTTTATGGGTTCACGATACATCAAAACCAGCATCTGGAGATAATCTCATGATCCTGAGATTTCGACGCGTACTTTTTGGACTAAATTGTTCACCATTCCTACTCGGAGCTACAATCAAATACCACATAGAACACAGCAAGCGATCGCAAAGGAGATCAGCAATCAGCTATACGTTGACAATCTTCTGGTGACAACCGATGAAGAATCCCCGGAAGAACTAGAGAAGAAATATCGCGATATCAAGAATCTGTTCAACGAAATGAGCATGAACATCAGAGAGTTTAGAAGCAATGATAACAAACTAAACGAAATATTTGATGAAAAAGACCGATCAATTGAAGAAGACATGAAAATACTAGGAATTCAATGGAAGTCAACTACAGACCAACTTCAAGTCAAGTGCGACGTCAAGCCACCTGAAAAATGGTCAAAACGATCAATTTCCGGTCTCATTGGAAGCATTTACGATCCACTGGGACTGATGGCACCACTTGTCTTGCCACTAAAAATCGAACAGCAGAAAAATTGGATAGAGCACATCGATTGGGATGACAAACTAGACAACAATCAAGAAACCAAATGGAATAATCTAATGGAATCGACAATTGGCTTCACCAAATCTATTCCACGGAACGTCATCCTGAAAAGCGGAACGAATACAATTATCACCTTTACGGATGCCAGCATACACGCAACTGCCTCATGCACATTCATCGTCAATACTCTAGGATCACACCTTATATATGCAAAATCCAGCATTCGGCCAGCCAAGGAAAAATGGACCATCCCGAAATTAGAGCTCAAAGCAGCATGCATGGGAGTCACATCAACCATAACCACGATATCAGCCCTCATAGAAGGAAATATCAAAGTCGACAAAGCTTATCTTCTCACCGATAGTGAAATCGTCAAAGCCTGGATAAAATTACCTCCAGGAAAAGAAAAAGGAGGAGTTTATGTCACCAATCGACTTCGACAAATC